GACATTTGAGAGTTGTAGTCACTGGGATTCACAGTTCACCTACAATCAAGTGTTCTGAACCCCATGAATGACATAATTGGGGCAAACTTCCCTCACAGAACCCCCATGACCAACAGAAAATACTTAAGGCCACCCAGTCCAACTCCCTTCATCAGGGCAAGAAAACATAATCAAAGCCCTCCTGACAGAGAGCCATCCAGCCATAGATAGAGATAGATATGATTCACACACACACAGATATAGTTTCATAGATTTGAAAGGGATCCCTAAAGAAGGACAATAATATATTGCATGTTCCAGGGTGGGCAAACCAGACACTCTCCACATCAACACTGACCAAAAAACCAGCAAGAAATACTGTTTACCCACAAGCAGAAAGAAATTACATATATTAGAAACCAACACTTTCTCATTACTTTATTTTCCAGAACAACAGACTGGGCCACTGCAACGTGTGGCAGGGGACAGCTAGTACAATATAATACTAATAGGAATACAATAAATAATTATATATTTTATATTACTTGTAATATTACTAATAATAGTGTAGTAAAGTATATAGTAAGATAATATTGTGTAATATAATGTGTACATATATAATACTGATGATATTATAATGTTATGCAATATAATAATAATGCAATATAGTAATTTTATATTACATGTAATATTACTAATAATATTACAGTTTACCTCTAACCCCAGTGAATGTGGAAAGGTTACTGTCTTTATATTTGTGAGAAAACATGCATAGGTATACGGTAAGGAAATATGTACTACAGGGTGAGGCAGCATCACTTCCTTTTTTAAAATGCGCGCCATTCAGTCTGTTGAAGGCTGTAGCGGAGTGCTAGTGGTCTCTTTCGAGAGGTGGGGGTATAAAATTTTGTCCTGACACAGTTTAGTCGCCATCATACATTGGAACAATGAGGAGCGTACTTTTGCCGTTGAGGTCTACTTTTCGAGGGGATTTGGAGTGGCCTGCCCGCTCTCCAGATTTGGCCCCTTGTGATTTTTTTCTATGGGGATCCCGTGTTTATGTGAACCGTCCAAGGGCCCTACAAGATTTGAAGACCAACATCCAGGAAGAAATTGCCAACATAATGCCTGCTATGCTGGCAAGAGTCATGACAAACGCCAGAAATCGGTATACTCAGTGAATGGAGAATGGGGGACGTCACCTACCTAATTTGATTTTCAAAACTACATAAAACAAAACTTTAGGTATGTGCCTACATTATAAAAAAATAAAAAATTCTGATTCATACAGTGGGTTTTATTAAGTTTTGAAAAAAGGAAGTTATGCTGCCTCACCCTGTATATATGAATACTACAGTCAAGTGATTAAAAAAAAGGAAATCTATGTTAGCACAGAGGGGCTTTACTGAACAACTTGAATTGCACAACCACTTACAAAACTGGATTGACTTTTTTGTAGACTAGGGTGTCATTATCTAAGTACATGTTTGAGACTATCTTTTTAATCTTGGATTCCTAGCAAATCCAGTTCTTCAAGTGCCAGTCTGCATGTAAGCAAAACCTTTTCCTCCATGCACCACAATGGAAGCATTGAGACATTTTGGGGTAACCCCCAGACATTTAGAAAAGGAACCTAAGTGTTTGGGATGCCCCAAAAAACCTAAATCGGTCTAGAACAATGGTTCCCAACTTTTTTTTTTTTGACTGGGGACCACTCTCCAACATTAGTACCAAAAGGGTTACTAATTAGTTTTGGACAACTTTAGTTTCGGTTTGGCTATTTGAGGTGCTGATTCAGAAAATTGCATTGGATAGACCACATCAGCTCTAGTTTCTGATACAAAACATATGCCATCCAGCAGTCGCCATCTGTTCACCCATAGAAAACTGTATTTAATAAGCCTTTGCACTGTAAGGGTTTTGCGAGACCAGTTGCTCTTGTTGCAACGGTGAGGCTGCGGACCATATTTAATTCTTGCGGACCACTAGTAGTCTACAGTCCACAGGTTGAGAACCACTGGTCTAGGATGAATATATTGACTGCAGGCTGAGAAATTGATAAAATTTAATATCTTGAAGACCCAATTGGCAAACAGAATTTTGTTACAGAATTGTTTTAGGTCTCATCTAAACTGACAATTTAATGCACTTCCAAGCCGGTATTGAAGAAAGTGACTTCACTGTACAGGTGATTACTGTACATAGAAAATCTTAGAATCAGTTTGAGGCCTATATGGTATTACATAAACAACAGAGCACTAATGCACATTAAGGGCTTTCTTTTCCACCCTTTTGTGGCCATTTGTTGTCTGGCCGCCGCTGTTTGAAGCTAGTTGCAGATCATATTGAAAGGAAGGGGCACACATTAGGACAGAATGGAAAAAAATGCAGTGCAGCTATTCCAGCAAACACCCATTAGGTTTAATAATGCAGGAGGTATGAGGTTCTTTAAAACACTGCTATTTCTGGGAAAATTGGAAGCTTTTCAAGTCATAATTTAGATGTCGTTATTGGTATTTCTGTTGCAAGATGTGGTCAGAGGCTAAGAAGTCTTTACTGGGGGAAGGTTTTTGATTGCAAGTGCAATTGGATTTAAATCTCTGTCTGTGCAAAATGAAGACTGGACAGAAACCTCTTTGCAAAGGCAGCATAACATGGCTCCTCTTTTATGTTCCAGAAAGGACCCCTGCACACACACAAATGTAAATCAGTGCAGTATAATGTTGATACTGCTGTATCACTTCACCATTTAGGCTAGCAGCTTGCCTTTGTGGCACATCTTCTGAATATAAGAGAAAGAGGCCATAGAATATCCATATTAACAAAGAGATTGGGCCCTCTGTCCCTAATAGTAATTTAAAGCAGGGGATTTTAGTAAGTGCAACTTGTCATGAAAAAACCCCCACAGAATTTCATGTTCTGTGTAACTTTGAGAGGTACAGAAATCTTATCTCTCTGGAACTCAGATCATGCAGCAAACCTGCAGTATGTTGTGCTATGACTGTTATGTACAACCTATAGTTCTAATTGAATTAATGTGTGGGCAGGGAATTCCTTTCTAGTGCTTATTTACCAGAAAAAATGCAGGCCAAAAAAAGCTCTGTTGTGTGCCATCCTCATATACTTCTACTAATTGTTAACTTCTTGTAGTCATTCCACAGATTTTGAGGTGCATAGGAACTGGCTTGCCATAACTCATAGCTTACCTGTCTCTCAGTGGTATTATGAGGTAAGTGTGTCTGTTTCACTGTATTGTATAAAATCTCCCTCGATTAAAAATGTGACTGCATCTCATTTTGAAAACCAATGAGATGCAGGGTCTTTAGGAGTTTTGAAGTCTGTAGTTCCTCTTAAATATGCTAATTTTCTTTAGACCTGGGTTTCTTAAACTTTTTTCACTCAAGACCGCAGATATATAGGTGTATAAGATAAATATAAAATCGGACATTTACTCGTAACAAATTAGCATTTGAAGGTCTGGCTAAGGAGGCTGATTTTCCTTTTTATGAAGTACAGCTTCAGTATTTTCTGCAGAGGCCACTGTAAATAATGAACATAGTTGCTACAGAGTCATTAAATATCTAAACGAGCCACAAGATGGCAGAACTTTCACAGTGGCCAATTTTTTTCTGTCCTCAACATTTAACTAAGGAGTTGGGACCCACAGTTTTAAGAAGCATTGATTTAGACAAATAATGTCCCTTAGCAGTCCATGATTTTCTACTTTTGCATCCTGTATAAGAACTACGTAGGAATTCACTACAAAGGGTCCCGTGACTCCCCAATTCCTGTTCAAAATTTTACTCCTGGACTTGGAAACACATTATTTATGGTTGGGCATCCAGTTTGCTGGTATTTTCCCCTCATGTCCTTCAGTGCTGTCACTAAAAACTACCTTCTGTAATTTTAAATGCTACAGTGAAATTTTTAAACATTGTGTAGCACTCTAACAACTGCCTACCTCTGTTTGTGCTTAGTACAGTTACACTTTATCAGGTAGTGAAGAGAAACTGGAAGGCAGGTACTTATAATTTGTCAGAGTTTATTATTTATTTATTTATTTATTTATTTACTTCATTTATATACCGCTTTTCTCAGCCCTTGGGCAACTCAAAGCGGTTAACAATAACAAAATTCAATGCTCAACATCATAAAAAGAGTGAAAAAACAGTTTAAAACAATGATATAATAAACAATCAGTTAAACATAACTATAACATGTCATTAGCGTCTCATAGGTAGAATCAAGATCCAATCTCATTTTATATTTCTTATAACATCGTAGAGTTGGAAGATACCACAAGAGCCATCCAGCCAACCTCCTGCTATGCAATCAATCATAGCACTCTTAGCTGCTCATACTTCTTGTACTTGTGTCCTGCCTTCAGATCTCATGACTGAAATATTTTAATACATAGAGAAGAGCAATGATTGGATTTTTGTGTGATTGTTACTGGAAGTTGAATACATTGCAGGCAAATGAAATATCTTTTGTCTGTGCTTTTCAGACTTCCTAGAATAAAGTGAAGGTCTCTGTCTGGTTTAGAGCAGTCAACTAAGCCAGATCGTTCCCCTTTGCACATTTTTGAAATACAAAACTACTCAGAGCTAGAATGTGACACCTGATCTGTAAATCTTGTATATTCTTGTGTGTTTTAAAAGTTTGCATACTGAGAATAAATCTCAACATGCTTGGGTATTTTACATAGCACTTTCTACTCTTGTTTATCAAGATGTGGGAGAATTCTGTCTGAGTTAGGGATGGAGTATGGTGATATGCATCAGCATTGTGTATGCACCTGCAATCCTAGATGAAAACTTTAAGAGGCAAGGTGGGACAGGCATGGAAACATTTGCTTTATGGTAGTCTGTTCTCTCAGTCAAGTCATCCCTTGACATTGCACTCACCAATTTTATTATATTTTATTTATTTATGCCTGACCTTTCTCTGTGTATGATGTCCAGGTATGCAACAGTGCATTGTTTTACATTCCACCAGTAATTGACTCCTACAATCTCACATAGATTTTTGTTATGTCTACTTCATTTCAGGCAACTTCTGAGTGGACTTTGGACTACCCTCCCTTCTTTGCCTGGTTTGAGTATGTTCTTTCACATGTTGCCAAGTACTTTGACAGAGAGATGCTGGTGGTCCAAAACCTCAACTATGCCAGCCACAAGACCATACTGTTCCAAAGGCTTTCAGTCATCTTTACTGATTTGCTCTTCATATATGCAGTTCATGAGTACGTTCACGCATTATTGTTTGGGTACAACACCTTCTCGGAAGAGAGGAGTGATTGAGTGAATACTGCCACCATGAAATGCCTCCATTTAATGGCTGTATCTCAGTGAACAAAGTAGATGTGTTATTGGACAGAAACCTTTTTAACAGAAACGTTGGTAACAGAAGTGGAAATAATATGGGAAAGAACAAGGATAGTTTCCTGCACCACAGATTGGAAAAGTGGGTAATTTAATCTTATTTCACATATGGGCTCCTGTTCTACAAGAAACTTTGAAAAGCCACTAGCAATATCGATATACAGTAGATAGCCTTTGCAAAAATGGTGTTAGGTTACATAATATACTGCAACACAGTCTGGTTGTCACAGGTTTGAGAAGGGAGGCTTCTACTTGTTTGCTTTCTCTCTTACCTGCTTTTCACTCAGCAGGTAAGAAGCATTACCTCCAATGAAATGTGCACCCAATGTGTTGGGTGCTTTCTTTTGCAGATAGAATTTGGTTTTTTTATACTTAGAGTGGAACTGTGCATAGGTTTGGAGAACTTGTCAAGAGTAATTGTGATTCTTAAAGTGATGCATAGGAGAATAAGGCAAAATTTCTCAGATTATGTATTTCAGATTCTTCTTTATTCAGGTGCTGTAAATGTGTAAACGGAAAGCAAGGTGGAAAAGAGCCTTTGGAAAACCCTCCGTTTGTTCTTTCAGTTCTCCTCTTGTGGAACTTTGGCCTTTTAATTGTGGACCGTATCCTTCCAAATCAATACTTAAATTGAAACCAGGTCAGGTTATCATAGCCAGCTATTAGATATTGGGGGGGGGGGGGGGATGCTTACCCAGTTGTTGCTAATGAGATCTGTTGGACTTGCTTGTAGTTTGATTTATAAAACATAAATCCTCCCTTGACTCAGTTTCAGATATTCACTTTCAATATAATGGCTTTCTGTTCGGATTCATGCTTCTATCCATTGCACGACTATTTCAGGTAAGACATAAATATTCCAGAAGGAGAAAGTGACATTCAGTCTCTGTTGTACAGATGTAATTCTTAACAAGGAGTCAGCAACTATGATATGATAGAAATATGGGCAGACTCTAAGGTTAGCTTCATTAGAAGCTTCAGCATGTCCTGCCCATCTCCTGTGTGTGTGTCAGCAAGCTTATTTTCTGGGCCGTCTGCCATATGATTCAGTAGAGGTTGTATGAGTTCTGATGCAATAAAAAAGAGCGATATTCATTTTTAAAAGCACCCTCTCTAATGCTGTTCTGTACCAAGCAAGGTATACTGGGAGTTGCCATTGGACTTTCTGTTCTAGAAATCTCATCCTGTTGTTGGTCCACATTTATTTATATTTATTGCAGTTATATATCGCTTTTCTCAATCCTAGGGGGACTCAAAGCAATTCCCAACATAATCAGTGGCAAAATTCAATGCCTCACATGTATAACACAACACAGAAACATAGAAAAATAGAGTTGGAAGAGACCTCATGGGCCATCTAGTCCAACCCCCTGCCATGCAGGAAAAGGACACTCAAAGCACCCCCGATAGACATATCAAAACAAGGACAATAGATTTAAACCCTTAAAATTATAAAACAATAAAACAACAGTCACTTGCAATACATAAAACATTTAGGCCTTGCACAATTTTAAATAAGCTTATGACCCTTGGTTCCCTTCAGTAACCACCTACCCCTTTCTCTTCCCCATCCCTGCTTCGTTTCAGAAAAGGCACTTAGAAGGAGCTTTTCTCTTTGCCATCCTCTTACATCTCAAGCACATCAATCTCTACGTAGCCCCAGCATATGGCATGTACCTACTCCGATCTTACTGCTTCACTGCAAATAATCCAGGCATGTTGTGAGTGATTTCTTAATTTGGAGAGCAGCCGGGAGTTGGGGGCTTGCAGTTGGAGTACAGCATATGCATGTTTTCAAAATAGTTCCGAGAATGCCAAGCCCTTTCAGTAGTGTCTTATTTGAGTTGAAGAATGTCAGGCTAAACTCCCCATCAGTGCAACCCCTGCTTCTTGTAAACAATGTTTCTCATTCCTGGGCTCAATAGAACTACCCCCTGTGTTTTGTGGAAGTATTTTGTTTTCCTTGGGATTAGCTCAAGGAGGCTCTGTCTTTTATAGCAGAAGGACAGGTGAAATGGAGATGATTAACATACTTTAGCTATTTTAGTTATAGTGAATCTCCAGCCCTCAAACCTAATCCAGGCCAGCTATATCATTTTTCCTTCAGACTCTATTTATCTTCAAACTTAATTTTTTGCTGCTATTGTTAGTTTGTTTACTCATGTGGCTGACTGTCAGAAAATGGTCTATTTTTTGTTTTGTATGTATTATGCCTTTAAGTCACCTGTTAATTTATAAATTATGTAAACCACCAGTTATTTTGTTCTTGTGGGTTTTTTCGGGCTATATGGCCATGTTCTAGAGGCATTTCTCCTGACGTTTCGCCTGCATCTATAGCAAGCATCCTCATGCTTGCCATAGATGCAGGCGAAACGTCAGGAGAAATGCCTCTAGAACATGGCCATATAGCCCGAAAAAACCCACAAGAACTGAGTGATTCCAGCCATGAAAGCCTTCGACAATACACCAGTTATTTTTCTTAATATTCAGCTGCCAACTTGCTTTTGCACTTTCTTCCTTAACTTTCTGTAGTAGTTGTCTCAAGTCTTCATTATTTTCTGCTAGCAATATAGTATCAACCCATACTGTAAATTGTTGATATTGCTTCCCCTAGTTTTCACACTTCTTCCCTTTAGGTATGTTTAATGCCACTTTCTGTAGGATGTGTTCTATATATAAATTAAACAGACAGGATGATAAACTTGTTTATCAAAAGATTACTGTTTTCTTCCATGTGTATTCTTCTGTGTTAATGTTGATGTCTTTTTTGTTTCTAGATGGATCCATCCAATGGCGCAGGTTTAGCTTTCTTCGCTTAACTGCTCTGGGATTAATAGTCTGCCTTGTTACAGCATGTTCACTGGGACCCTTTATTGTCTGGGTAAGGACCTTGATCCTCCTTAAACCTGTGCTATTCACTAAGTCCGTGGTTCTCAACCTGTGGGTCTCCAGATATTTTGGCCTTCAACTTCCAGAAATCCTAATAGCTGGTAAACTGGCTGGGATTTCTAGGAGTCGTAGGCCAAAACACCTGGGGACCCCTAGGCTGAGGATCACTGCATTAAGTGATCCAACGGCAACCCATAAACCCATCAGTTGCTGGTCCGCAGGTAGCTTGAGAGGCGCTACTGAACAGCCCATTTGTGTTTTCCTAAATGATTACTGTGGAAAGCATTCTTTTTCTGTGTCTGAGAAAATTATCATTATTACTATTATTTACCTGCCTCTCCCTGTGGCTTGAGGTGGAAACAATAACAAATAGAATAATAGAATTGGAAGACAGCACAAGGGCCCTTACCAAACAGGAACATACAATCTAAGCACTCCCAACTGATGGGCATACAGCCTCAATTTGAAAACCTGCAGAGAAAAAGACCCCACCACAGTCTGAGGCAGCATAACATTAGTTAAAGGAGCAAATCAAGCCAAAACACATTAAAATCCATCAATCCATACTTTAAATAACCATGATTTTATAATTATCTAGATAGGACTGTAACTGGTCTTTACTGCTGATTTAAATTCAGACAGTGTCTCAAGATGACAGGTGTCTTTTGGCAGATCATTCCACAGTCTCTGTTGAAGAAAATGTCCTCTAAGTAACATTAGTCTAGTTTGGCTCACAAGTAGATGTCCCCTAGAATAAAATCCCACATTATCTGCTTTGAACTGAAATATAATATGGCTGTGTGGAAGGGCCCTGTGTGTCCAGGGAGGATTATATGAGAGATAGTAATATTGTGGATAATCTGGACGCAAACTATGTAGGGCTTTCAAGGTTATAAACCAACACTTTGTACTTTGCGTGGAAGTCCATGCATAGACATGTGTACATATGTATATACCTACGCGTAAGTAAGACATGTTGAGAATTACCAGCTGGGAAAAAGTGATTCATTTAGATTTTGTCTGATTTTTCTTGGGTGGGTAGGTTCGTTGCCATTTTACAATATTGGAATTGATTTAGGAAAAGCATGATACAGGATTATTTTTCTGAAAATGTCTGCCAATCAAAACCTCTCCAAAGATGGAAAACTTAGTTGTCAGGGAAACCTCTTATATGTAAGAAGGAATTGTTGAAGAGTTAGTTCCAAATCACCCAAAGCTTCTTACAATAAGTCAAAGCTATTTTTATTTATTTATTATTTATTTACATCGCTTCTACCCTGCCCTTCTCACCCCTGAGGGGGGACTCAGGGCGGCTTACATGGGTAACAATTCAATGCCATAATATCAATACAACAACATAAAATCAAATACATAGAAAATTAACAATAACGTTCATTAAAATCACATACTCATATACTAACATATTTTGACAAAACAATAACAACTGGAGGGGGGGCGGTAACAGCAGAGTTAAAATCATACATCTAACAATAGTATATTACTTTGTTTTGTATTGTAGTTTAAGTAAAATTTCAATACAGTTAATACTCTTTTTTTCTTCATTTAGGGTCAGCTTCCACAAGTCCTCTCTCGCCTCTTCCCTTTCAAGAGGGGCCTTTGTCATGCATACTGGGCTCCTAACTTCTGGGCAATCTACAATGCTGTAGACAAAGCTCTCTCTGTTATTGGTACAGTACATTAATCCTGTATTTTTCAACTGCAAACAAGTTGCAAATTCATTTTTTTCAGAGGTGGTTACTTTGAGAGATGACCAGGCAATACATTCATCAATGTAGGGTACCAGGGGTTCTTTAGGTTTTCTGTTTTACTGCTATAATTAGTCCCAGGCATAGGTTTAGGTAAGGAGGGGTTTGGGAACTATCTGAACACATCTGGAAGGCACTAGGCTTCCTAACCTCTGAAAGCACAAGTAAATGGCTCTCTTCCCAGTGTATGTCATTCTTACAATTTCAAAATGTGCATAAGAATATTTGAAATAACGGCACAGTGTTGGGCAAGTGACTCATCAAATCCAGCCTTGTGCCTCAGACAGACTTGGCATGCAGACGCAGCACTGGAAAGGTCACTGCCTGTACGTTCCTCTGACTAGCTTGGAAGGTCAGACAGAAAAGCTGGAAATGTGCACTGAAACATGAGTGGATGTCATGGCCATTAATGCAATCAAGTTCTCTGGAATGTCATTTCTGATTTCCCCATGCTTAGTCCTTTTGGTTTCTTACTGCTATACTGAAATTAACTTGTGTATGCACTGTAGAATTAATGCTGTTTGGCCCCACTTTAAATGTCATGGCTCAATGCTATGGAATCTGGGGATTTGTAGTTCGGTGAAATACCAGCGTTCTTTGGCAGAGACTATGTAAAACTACATTTAGCACCAAACTCCTTTAACATCAATTCTCCCTTACACACCAGAGAAGTTTTTCAGAAAGATTTCTCAAACTTTTCAGCTTTGAAGCTATTTGGTGTATAGAAACTGTCAGAGACCACCAACAATTTAGTGATTGTACAGATAGGTCTTTTAATGCAATCAGGAGTATACTATTCATTTATTTTTAATATGTTTTTACACTTTAAAATTAGTGATGTTTTAATAGGATGGTTTATGTAACTTTTAAACTTATATTGATTGCCAATTTTTAACTACCCTGCTATGTGGGTCTCATATCAAGAGAAAGACAGGATATAAATAAAATAAAAATAAATAAACTTGCTAAAGAAGTGTGACATTTCATCTAGGTGAGCCTAAGTGTTTTAATTAAATGACTGAAAACCGACTATTATTCGAAGCTTAATCACTTGGGCATGAATAATACTGAGGTTTTCTTTAATATTTACTTTGATAGCAGGATTGACGAATAAAGCATTTTTCTAATCTACATTCATTTTAACCTCCAGGTCTGAAATACAAATTCCTCAACCCTGAAGGGATGCCCAAGGCTGCCATGACTGGAGGGCTGGTCCAGGAATTTCAACACACTGTCCTTCCATCTGTGACCCCACTGGCAACTTTAACCTGCACTGCCATCTTTATGCTGGTAAATCCTAGATTTGATAAATTCTTATTTGATGTGGGTAGCATCAACTGGGATCTTCGCACTGTTGCAATGGGGTAGTAAACTTCTCGCTTCTTAAATGCTTTTAACCATCTTCTCCAATTGTCAGGTCTGATGGAAATTGCTGTCCAATCTCTGGGGGATTGGGGACAAGATTCACCCCCACTGGCCTAACAAGTCTGATGTGCAGTAGTTTAATACATGAAGCTTTTCCTAAACTACCAAAGAAGAACTCTGTATTCCAATTTGGGCATATCAGGATCTTTTTAAAGATCCAGGAATAATGTAAACAACTGACCGCTCCTCCAATAATAGGTATATCTGTGTTGGAATAGCCCAGACTGATTTGGTTAAAGTTGAAAGGGCCCTCTACTTAAAATCCTGCCATACACAGCTAAACATTCTCTTTATAAACTTCCTTTGGAAAGTACTGGCAGATTTAATCCAGTCATTTACTATTGGGTATAATGGATGGATGGATCACGACTTGTTAGGATTGCAACCCATCAGGGGTAGCAGAGCTTGAGAGGAGTATTCCTTGAGTTTATTTGATGCTTTAGGCAGGCAAAGATTCAAGCAGACTTCTTTTAGAATAACAATATTTAATTGATAATATTAATTGATAATATTATAATGTAATACAATATTATACTAATAATACGATATTATAACTATATATTTTATATTACATGTAATTTTACTAATAATATTACAGTATAATGTTATAGTACAATATCATATATAATATTAATATTGTGCTAAGGTGGCACAGTGGCTTAAAGCACTGAGTTGCTGAGCTTGTTGACTGAAAGGTCACAGGTTCGATTCCAGGGAGCGGCATGAGCTTCCGCTGTCAGCCCTAGCTTCTGCCAACCTAGCAGTTCGAAAACATGCAAATGTGAGTAGATCAATAGGTACCGCTCCGTGGGAAGGTAACGGCGCTCCATGCGGTCATGCTGGCCACATGACCTTGGAGGTGTCTATGGACAACGCCGGCTCTTCGGCTTAGAAATGGAGATGAGTACCACACCCCAGAGTCAGACATGACTGGACTTAATGTCAGGGGACAACCTTTACCTTTACTATGGTAATAATATAATATATTGTATTTATATATTACTTGTAAGCCGCTCTGAGTCCCCTTCGGGGTGAGAAGGGCGGCATATAAATGTCGTAAATAAATAAATAAAAAATAATGTTTCTTTACTTATGACTTCATGCATTCAGGGATATAGGAACACTTCTTTTGTATGTTAAAATACTTCAGAAACGTTTGGAGAGTATGTATCTTAAAACTTATAAACTTTAACCATTTATTCACAAACTACGCTGCTCCACACAGCTCTCCTCAATAAGACTTCACTTTAAAAGAAAATACAAGCCTCAACAACTTCTACCTCCAACAGCCATTCTCTAACAAGGCTCAAAGCTCAACTGATTTCTCTAACTGTCATTCCCTTTTAAAACTAAGCATTCTAAACTGTCAGTCACATGATTGCAGCCCCTCCCACTGCTTCAGTACAAAGAGACGAGGTAACTGCAAACTACAAACAAGATGTGCAGTTCAGGTTACAAAATGACATACTAATAAAACGTTATTGCACAACAGACAAACATTACATAGAGGAGCCTTGAGAGGTTGCATTCTCCAACATTTTCCATACCCTCTATACTTGGATTTCTTTATATGTCGATTGACTGCTTAATATTGGAAATACAGAGTGAGGCAGCATAACTTCTTTTTTTCAAAACTTAATAAAACCCATTGTATGAATCAGAATTTTTTTTATAATATAGGCACATACCTAAAGTTTTGTTTTACGTAGTTTTGAAGATCAAATTAGGTAGGTGACGTCCCCCATTTGCCATACACTGAGCAAACTGATTTCTGGTGTTTGTCATTACTCTTGCCAGGATAGCAGGTGTTATGGTGGCAATTTTTTCCTGGATGTTGGTCTTCAAATCTTGTTGGGTCCTTGGACGGTTCATATAAACACGGGATTTCAAAAAACCCCATAGAAAAAAATCACAAGGGGCCAAATCTGGAGAGCGGGCCAGCCACTCCAAATCCGCTCAAAAAGTAGGCCTCAACGGCAAAGGCAAAAGCACGCTCCTCATTGTTCCAACGCATGATGGCGACTAAACTGTGTCAGGACAAAACTTTATACTCCCACCTCTCAAACGAGACCCCTAGCGCTCCGCTACGTCTTCAACCGACTGAATGGCGCGCATTTTAAAAAAGGAAGTTATGCTGCCTCACCCTGTAGATCTTCTGTTTGCCTCTTGCTATATTTATTTGCAGAAAAATAACTAGAGGTATCTCTGTGATATAGAATTAATGCAGCTTCACGCCACTTAAGCTGCTATGCCTCAATGCTGTGGAATCTTGGGTGGTGAAGTTTTACATTTTTAGCCTTCTTTACCAAATAGTGCTAAAGCCTCACTAAAGTATCAATGCCCAGGATTTCATAGCATTAAGTCATGGCAGTTCAAGTGGTAGCTGTCTGCATTAATGCTGCAGTGTTGGTACGTCCCTCATTCTTCAGTGTTGTGTTCTTGCTTGGGGTCTGTCTTCACACACAGTAGAACAGGGTAGTGAGATTGACTATAAAGACCAGACTTTGAGGAGGGGGGACTATAAGGGCAGGGGTGGGCTATATTGCAGAGGAAGTTGGTACTCTTGTAGCCCCTTTCCCTTCCATTTGAAGACTGTGATACAAGAGTAACACTGAATTTTTTTTGCATTTTCCTCAAAACTGCAGAATATTGGAGACATACCAATTAAACTGGTGTGTGTTATGGATGTGCCTAGAGTCTCTTCAAAGTAACTTAACTTTCTCTGACATTTCAAAACAAATTTATAAAGGTCAAAACCCAGCCCCTTGCATCCCAGAAACAGGAACCGTAGAATGTTATCCTATGTGTCAGATGTCAGAATGCCCACTGAAGCTTTGTTTCTGCTGTCATTTCTAGCCCTCTGTTTTCTGTCTTTGGTTTAAACCCCAAGGGCCCCGAGGCTTCCTGCGGTGCTTGGTTCTCTGCGCACTGACCTCCTTCATGTTCGGCTGGCACGTTCATGAGAAAGCAATTCTCCTTGTCATTCTCCCTTTGAGGTAAGAGTGCGGTTGTATTTGAGGGCCAGCTGTCTTCCACAGTCCATAGTCAAATAGCTCTTTCTATCAGGGAGTTCTTACTATGTTTAGGTAGATTTTTCTTGGGCTTGAAGAAATTGCTCCATATCTTAGTCTCTGGTGCAGCAGAAAATGAATTTGCCCCTCCAGTGGTAGCTGCTTTCCAAACACTCCTCTGTCTCTTTTTTTTAAGTTTACTGTCTGTGGAAAGGTCAAGAGATGCTGGTGTCTATCTAATCCTGGCTACTACAGGACACCTTTCCCTCTTCCCCTTGCTGTTCACAGCTCCAGGTAAGTCTTTTCCTTCCCTTTCACACTGTTTGCCACCCTGAATCTGCCTGAGGAGATAGGACGGTTTATAAATAAAGATTATTATTGTTGCTATTATTATTATTATTATTATTATTATTTGCCTCAAATACATCTTGACTTTGTTAAGGCAGTGGTTTGGTGGCCAGAAAACAGCTTTTCCAAGCTATACTGAAAGATGAGGTCAGAAAAAGTTTACTTGCCTGTGCTGGTTATGCGTCACCTATAGAAAGGAAGGACAGAGTTTGTGCTTAGTGCTAGCCTTCCTTCTGATATTCTGCCACTTGCTGGATTGAACATTATTGGTGTCTTCATGTTTCCACTAAAATGCGTGGCAAGTCCAGAAAGTTATTTTTGTTCTTTACACTATGTTCTGTCTGCTTGATCTTTATGAAACAAATTGCTTTTCTTCTGTCCCTTATTCGGCAAGTATTTCTACTTCTGTAACCCTAAAAATAGTGTTAAGGTTTCCATAGATGTATTCCATAATACTGCTTCCTTTCATTGTTGAAATACTCTTACTTCCAAAATACTTCGTTTAATAAACTGGGAGCCCCCGGCCGATGGCCCTGATTAAATCCTTGTGCCAGCAGGATTGCTGAACGACAGGTTAGCGGTTTGAATCCGGGTTGAGCAGGTTCAGCTCCCTCTGTCAGCTCTAGCTCCCCATGAGGGGACTTGAGAGAAGCCTCCCACAAGGATGGTAAAACATCAAACATCTGGGTGTCCTCCTACTTGCAGACTGCCAATTCTCTCACACTAGTTTCTCAAGTCACTCTTGACACACACACAAAAAAAGTAAACTGGTGGAATGTCTGAGAGATAGAACTACAAATTAGGAACCCATGAGTCCATATCTCACTTCTGGAGAGCTTCAGAGGGGGAATTTGCAGCTTCCCTGTGCAGCATAAAGACAACAAAGGGCAGTGAAGTGTAGTGGTTTGAGGGAATCTGGGAAAGACAGAATCTAATCTGCACCGAGCCATGAAGCTCTCCAGGAGACTTGGACCAGTTATTACTTGCTGACCTACCTTATAGGATTGTTGGATGAATCAAGCAGAAGAGTGGATTGAGCTCATTTTAGCTCAGCTTATACTTAAATGGGTACTAACTGTCCCCTGCCACACATTGCTGTGGCCCAGTCTGTTGATCTGGAAAATAAAGTAATGAGAAAGTGTTGGTTTCTAATATATGTAATTTCTTTATGCTTGTGGGTAAACGGTATTTCTTGTTGTTTCTTTGTCAGTGTTGATTTAAAGATTGTCTGGATCTGTCATATACATATATATGTGTGTGTGTGTATTAATAATATATATCTATATCTATGGCTGGACGGCTCTTTGTCAGGGCTTTGATTATGTTTTCTTGCCCTTGTGAAGGGAGTTGGATTAGACAGCCTTAAGGCAGCATTTCTCAACCTGAAGGTCAGGACCCATGGGGGGGGGGGGTTGTGAGGGGGTGTCAGATGACTCTTCTGAGTCATCAAAGCCCACCAGAAAATACAGTATTTTATGTTGGTCATGGGGGTTTTGTGTGGGAAGTTTAGCCCAATTCTATCATTAGTGGGGTTCAGAAAGCTCTTTGATTGGTACATGACCCCTAAAAAATTAGGTAAAATCTATAACAACACGTCCACCACATGTTGGAAATGTAGGAGTAAAGAAGGGTCATTCTTCCACATGTGGTGGACGTGTGACAAAGCCAAAAAATTTTGGAGGATAATTCATAAAGAAACCCAAAACAAGTTAAAAATACAGTTACCCCTGAAACCGGAGATATTTTTGCTAGGAATGTATGACAGAAACATAGATAAAGACAAAGACAAATTATTATTCCTGGCGCTCACAGCAGCAAGAATGTGTTACGCCAAGATGTGGAAACAAGAAGAGATCCCAGAGGAAGACGATTGGATTATAAAAATATTAGATATCAGGAATCTGGATAAATTAACCTTCCTGCTGTTGAAAAATAAAGAAATCAAAAGAAATGAAACGGACTGGAGTGAAGTCACGGAATACCTAAAAAAGAGGAAAAAAGAAATAGTAATATGAGTAAAAGAAATTAAGACTGAAGCACGATAAAAAGAGGGAAGGACGAAGAATAAGGAACCAGTATGAAATGACTCTTCCAAGAAGGTCTCTGGAAGATACCAGGAAGCATCCTTTTTAATTTTTATTTTTCTTTAATATTCTTTCTATTGTTTGACTTGTTTTCGACTTTTTTTCTTTTTCTTTTTTTCTTTTCTTCTTTTCCACTGGTAAAGCTGGTGTCTTTGTCTTCCTCTTTCTTTCTTTTTGCTTGTTTGTTTTTATGAAAACTTTAATAAAGATATTTATTAAAAAATTAAAAAAAGCTCTTTGATTGTAGGTTAACTATAAATCCCAGTAACTACAACTCCCAAAAGTCAAGGTCTGTTTCCCCCAAACTTCATCTGTTTTCATATTTGGGAATATGGGGTATTCGTGCCAAGTTTGGTCTAGATCCTTCATTGTTTTTATCCACAGTGCTCTCTGGATGTAGGTGAACTACAACTCCAAAACTCAAGGTCAATGTCCACCAAACCCTTCTAATGTTTTCTGTTGGTCATGGGAGTTCTGTGTGCCAAGTTGGGTTCAGTTCCATCATTAGTGGAGTTCAGAATGCTCTTTGAATGTACGTTAACTATAAATCACAGGAACTACAACTCTCAAGTGACAAAATCATTTTTAGTGATGGTCGCTCCTTGGGTTAGTAGGCGTCTTGTGGCCAAATTTGGTGGCAATTCATACAGCAGATTTTGAGTTATGATGTCACTAAAAACAAACACAGCATTGTGCTTTTTGTTGGTATATGCATATTATGCTACAGATCATGAGAAAACCAGTGAAATCCCCCCCCCCTTTCAAAGCTTTGGATTTAGCCCAATGCCATCCTTTCTTTCTATTTCAGAATTGCCACTTAAAATACTGCTCATGCTGCTTTTCACAGTGTACAGCTTTTCCTCACTGAAGGCCTTATTCAGGTAATAAAAAAATAAATTGTACAGACTAAGAGAAGGTGGTTTCCCAAATTTCTGGGATAATCAAGTTGTGCATTTCCTACACTCCAATCCCATGGTTGTTTCCTTAGCTGTGATGAGGGTCATAGAATTTTTTTTCGCATAAAACAGTAGGTGTGCAGCTTAAACTTTACTGGTGTTTACTGAAAGGTCCTCTAAAGCAGTTTATGGTAACTTCTGGCAGAAAATAACGTAGAATTGTCTCAAGGAACTAGAAAATTCCTTGAGAGGACCTTTATTTTGTTTAGGCAGATAGGTTGTACTAAATTTACTGTTGCTTGTTGAAGACAGCAGTATATTGAAAATATACTAAAATACTTTCTTTACCTCATCCCCACTCCCTTTTCTCTCTCTGTAGGAAAGAAGGGCCTCTGCTTAACTGGCTGGAAACTCTCTACCTCCTTGGTTTGCTCCCTCTTGAAATTTTCTGTGAAATTGTGTTTCCTTTCACGGCCTGGATGTCGAAGTTTCCCTTCCTGCCTTTAATTCTCATCTCTGTGTATTGTGCTCTGGGCATCATGTATGCTTGGCTCAAACTGTACATCTCTGTCTTCAGGGGACCATTGACTTTCAGGCAAAAGAAAGAGTAATATAATGTTTACAAATGGACAGAGTCGACAGGGATCCTTCCAGAAAATGATCCAGGGCTAAACTGAAGCAGGGTCTAACACTTGGGATCATTGGGCTGTACATGTATCAATATCACATCTTGTTCCACAAATGGCTTATGTTTCTTTAAGGGCTTTGAAGCAAGTAAGTGGACTGCAAAATACTCAAAGAAGTTTGGACAGTTCCTTTATGAAATGAGAATCCGGGGGAAGAAACCTTGTTTACAAAAGAACTTTGAACTTTTTAAAATTGAATTTTTGACCTTCAATTTGTGTGTGCCAGATACTGGTTTTTGGGATTTAAATGGTTCTGTCTTTCCTTGTGATTTGTAAGGATTACAATATATCACACTGGTCTCTAGAAAAGAAATTGAATTACAATCATGCGTAGGAAAGAGTGTAAATAAAATAATTTTTATATATATTTGCCTGTTAGAAAAATCTTAATTGAAGGTACTTCTTGTGGTATAAAAGGTAAAGGTTTCCTCTGACATTAAGTCTAGTCATGCCCCACTCTGCGGGGTGATGCCCATCTCCATTTCTAAGCCGAAGAGCCAGCATTGTCCGTAGACGCCTCCAAGGTCATGCGGCCAGCATGACTGCATGGAGCGCCATTAACTTCCTGCAGAAGCGGTACCTATTGATCTACTCACATTTGCATGTTTTCAAACTGCTAGATTGGTAGAAGCTGGGCCTAACAGCGGGAGCTCACCCCACTCCCTGGATTTAAACAGCCGACCTTTCGGTCAGCAAGTTCAGCAGCTCAGCAGTTTAACCCACTGCGCCACCAGGGGGCCCTTGTGGTGAATTTCCATTTATATTCTCATAAGACAAATTGTCTAATAGAACATAGATTTATTTCAATGTTTTAGCCATCAAAGCCTGCAGAATATTGACATCTCATACCACAAAATAGCAATTGCTGGCAAAACAAACATTCAAATTACTTTCCAGGGTGGTGCCATAATTCAAAGCACATGCCCCTGAAGCAGAAAGCTAGGAAAGAACACCAAAAGTTAAGTACTGATTCTAAATGTTTCTGAAATAAGTTTTCAACTGGTGCCTGAATTGTTACATGAAAGCAGTGTGCTTTCAGTAAACAACACAGTAAAAAATCTTGAGCTGGGAGAAAACAGGATTCTCTAGCTGATGCTGCTGTACCCTGCAATGGGAAAGGTAAACATTAACTATCTCAAGGGGAAAAGCAAAGCAAAGGGTAAAGTATGTAATCCTATCTCACCAGCTATCCATTCCTCTCACATATTTATACATGGCTATCATGTCTCCTCTCATCCTTCTCTTCTGCAGGCTAAACATGCCCAGCTCCTTAAGCCGCTCCTCATAGGGCTTGTTCTCCAGACCCTTGATCATTTTGGTCGCCCTCCACTGGACACATTCAAGCTTGTCAATATCTCTCTTGAATTGTTGTGCTCAGAATTGGACACAATATTCCAGGTGTGCTCTAACCAAAGCGGAATAGAGCATGGGGAGCATGACTTCCCTAGATGACACTATGCTCCTATTGATGCAGGCAAAAATCTCATTGGCTTTTTTGCCGCCACATCACATTTTTGGCTCATGTTTAACTTGTCCACGAGGACTCCAAGATCTTTTTCACATGCACTGCTCTCGAGCCAGGCATTGTCTAAATCAGTGTTTCTCAACCTGGGGGTCGGGACCCCTGGGAGGGGTCGCAAGGGGGTGTCAGAGGGGTCGCCAAAGACCATAATAAAACACAGTATTTTCTGATGGTCTTGGGGATTCCATGTGGAAAGTTTGAGCCAATTCTATCATTGGTGGAGTTCAGAATGTTCTTCGATTGTAATGAACTATAAATCCCATCAACTACAACTCCCAAATGTCAAGATCTATTTTCCCCAGACTCCACCAGTGTTCACATTTGGGCATATTGAGTATTTGTGCCAAGTTTGGTCCAGATCCACCATTGCATGAGTCCACAGTGCTCTCTGGATATAGGTGAACTACAACTCCCAAACTCAAGGTCAATGCCCATCAAACCCTTCCAGTGTTTTCCATTGGTCATGGAGCCAAGTTTGGTTCAAATCCATCGCTGGTGGAGTTCAGAATGCTCTTTGATTATAAGTGCTATAAATCCCAGCAACTACAACTCCCAAATTACAAAATCAATCCTCCCCCAACCCCACTAGCATTCACATTTGGGTGTATTGGGTATTTGTGCCCAGTTTGGTCCAGTGAATGAAAATGCATCCTGCATATCAGATATTTACATTATGATTTATAACAGTATTTATTTATTTGTTTGTTTACTTTGCTTATATACTGCTGTTCTCAGCCCGGAGGCGACTCACAGCGGTGTACAACATAGAAGGAACAAAATTTAAAAATTCAAGACATAATCTAAAATCCACATCAGCAATAAACAAAAACATCATCAAAAACATCATCATCAAACATCGTCATTACTACAAAAGCCATTCCGTGTCGTCTCATCGTCCAAACCACAATCCAGTATCATTTCCGTTGTTCCAATCCTATCATCATTACCAATCATTGCACTTCTTGTTCGAACGCCTTCTTGAACAACCAAGTTTTTAATTTCCTGCGGAATATCATCAGGGAAGGAGCCATTCTGATGTCCACGGGAAGGGTGTTCCACAGCCGAGGAGCCACCACCGAGAAGGCCCTATCTCTCGTCCCCGCCAGCCGTGCCTGTGAAGCAGGCGGGATCGAGAGCAGGGCCTCCCCGGAAGATCTCAAAGTCCTGGTGGGCTCGTAGGTCGAGATGCGGTCAGATAGGTATCTTGGGCCGGAACCGTTTAGGGCTTTATAGGCCAACGCCAGCACCTTGAATTGAGCCCGGTAGCAAATCATCTAAAATTATAATAGCTAAACAACAGAGAGGAAAAAACCAGGCACAGATTAACACCTCCCAGCAACAGATTTTCCCAGGCTCAGGCAGGCCTTCAAATGCTAATGAAGGTGATCAGCTAAACATTCACACCTAACTGCAGCAGGGAAGAGCTCCTTGCCCCACCCCAGCCATTCCACAGACATATAAACCCATTTTTCCTACTTCCAACAGACCTCACAACCTCTGAGGATGCTTGCCATAGATGCAGGCGAAACGTCAGGAGAAATGCCTCTAGAACATGGCTCTATAGCCCGAAAAAACCCACAAGAACCTAACAATATTATGGTTGGGGGTCAACACAACATGAGGGACTGTATGAAGGGGTCACGGCATTACGAAGGTTGAGAACCACTGGTCTAAATAAATAACCTGCAAGTTGGCTAGGACGAAAGAAGAGAGAGGGGGGGGTATGGAGGTGTGCTTGAAGAGCCATGAGGGAACGAAAAAAAACGGAAATGAAAGAGAGATCCAAACAGAGTTACAAAAAAACAGAGTAGAGGAAGCAGAAGCGCGTAAGAGTAAATGGGTGAGACAGAAAGTGGGAACGGTGGCAAGAGGAAGACAAAGGGGGTGCAGAGGAGAAAAGGAAAGAAGGGGGAAGTGAGAGAGTGGACAGGAAAAACAGGTATTGTAACAGGTATGGAACGGAAGGGGAAGGGGAGAGATTGATAGGAGGGAAGGAAAGGAAAATGGATACAGTTATAGTGCAGCACAGGAGAAAAGGTTAATGTAATAAAATAAAACGAGGTGGGAACGAGGACAAACTTCAAAGCGGGTCAATGTTGAAACTTGATGGCACCCACAAAGGAGTGACAAACTCGGAGCAGTGAGGGTAACCTAACAGCACACACAAAAAGTGGAGAGAAAAGTTGAGGGGAAACGACAGAACATCAAAATGAAGAGAATAAAGAAGTCAAGGGAAATGCAAAAAGAAAACAGGAACAGAAGCTCAACTAATCCCCACTTTTAGATGGTGGGAAAGAAAGCTGAGGAATAAAAAGAGTGGAGTGAAAGAAGAAGATGGTTTACAGGAACGAACCACAAAGCAAAAGGTAGAGTAAAAAAGGGGGCAAACAAAAAGGGAGAGACGGTGTGTAATATCTGAGGATGCTTGCAAAAGATGCAGGCGAAACGTCAGGAGAAATGCCTCTAGAACATGGCTCTATAGCCCGAAAAAACCCACAAGAACCTAACAATATTATGGTTGGGGGTCAACACAACATGAGGGACTGTATGAAGGGGTCACGGCATTACGAAGGTTGAGAACCACTGGTCTAAATAAATAACCTGCAAGTTGGCTAGGATCCTTGTGATATCCTCAATCTTCTGCAGTGGGAACGAAATATCTCCGGAACCTTCGTGCTAGAGATGCGTGTTGCAAGGGGGACGGTAGTACGAGACGCGCCTTCTGCCCTTGCATTGAGGAAGCAGCTTTGTCTTGACAGATTCAGCCAGAGCGGAACCAAAAGCGGCGGAACGTTTGTGGTGGCGGCGCGCGTTGCGAGGGGGGCCGTGTAAGGGGACGGACTCCTGCCTCGTCCTTGGGCCCTTGCGGGAGGCAGCCATGGTCTTCTTCCTGAGGCTGCCGGACGAGGTCTTCTCGCTGCCGCCCCCTCCGCTGCTCAACCATGGCTCGGTCTGGGGAGCCTTCATGGGCTGGGTCGCCGCCCTGGGCGACAACGCCGTCAACCGGAGGCCCGCCCTCGGATCTGGTCAGTCCGGGGCCTCGCGTGGGCGGGCAGGGCCTCAATGCCCAAAGGATCTAAGGAAGTCATGGCGCCCCTCTATTCTGCTTTGGTCAGACCTCTTTACCTGGAAAGCTGTGCCCAGTATTCATCTATTTATCGTGTCATCCGCAACCAGAGCATTGTATTACATTTCTAACAAAACAAAACAAACAGATAAAAACAACACAAATTTTGCAAACTTGGTAGCTGATAAAATGTCCTTTGACCAGTATCTGGCCACTTGGAGTGCCTCTGGTGTTGCTGCAAGAAGGTCCTCCATGGTGCATGTGGCAGGGCTCAGGTTGCATTGCAGCAGGTGGTCAGTGGTTGGCTCTTCTCCACACTCGCATGTCATGGAATCCACTTTGTGGCCCCATTTCTGAAGGTTGGCTCTGCATCTCGTGGTGCCAGAGCGCAGTCTGTTCAGCGCCTTCCAAGTCGCCCAGTCCTCTGTGTGCCCAGGGGGGAGTCTCTCATTTGGTATCAGCCATTGGTTGAGGTTCTGGGTTTGAGCCTGCCACTTTTGGACTCCCGCTTGCTGAGGTGTTCCAGCGAGTGTCTCTGTAGATCTTAGAAAACTATTTCTTGATTTAAGTCGTTGACGTGCTGGCTGATACCCAAACAAGGGATGAGCTGGAGATGTCTCTGCCTTGGTCCTTTCACTATTGGCTGATACTTCCCGGCGGATGTCAGGTGGTGCAATACCGGCTAAGCAGTGTAATTTCTCCAGTGGTGTAGGGCGCAGACACCCTGTGATAATGCGGCATGTCTCATTAAGAGCCACATCCATTGTTTTAGCATGGTGAGATGTGTTCCACACTGCGCATGCGTACTCAGCAGCAGAGTAGCAAAGCGCAAGGGCAGATGTCTTCACTGTGTCTGGTTGTAATCCCCAGGTTGTGTAGTCAGCTTTCGTATGATATTGTTTCTAGCACCCACTTTTTGCTTGATATTCAGGCAGTGCTTCTTGTAGGTAAGAGCACGGTCCAGAGTGACTCCCAGGTATTTGGGTGTGCTGCAATGCTCCAGTGGGATTCCTTCCCAGGTAATCCTCAGACCTCGGGATGCATGTCTGTTCTTAAGGTGAAAGGCACATGTCTGTGTTTTAGATGGGTTGGGGATCAGCTGGTTTTCCCTGTAATAGGCAGTTAGAGCACCTAGAGCTTCGGAGAGCTTCTGTTCAACCATCTCAAAGCTCCCTGCTTGAGCGGTAATGGCACGATCATCAGCATAGATTAAACTCTCTGTCCCTTCTGGCAGTGGCTGGTCATTTGTGTAGATGTTGAACATGGATGGAGCAAGCACGCTCCCCTGAGGCAGGCCGTTCTTCTGTTTCCGCCATCTGCTTCTCTGGCCCTGGAACTCAACAAAAAAGCTCCTGTTTTGTAGCAGCTTTCCTATGAGGCGGGTGAGGTGGCAGTCCTTTGTGATATTATACATTTTTCTCAGGAGGAGGCGGTGGTTTACAGTATCATAAGCCGCTGACAGGTCTATGAAGACAGCTCCTGTGATCTGCTGCCTTTCAAAGCCATCTTCTATGTGCTGAGTCAGGTTCAGCACTTGCCCAGTAAAGAGAGATTGACTCTAAACTGGGAAGTATCCCGCTTAGAGGAAGAGAGAGAGACTAAAATGATTTAAGGTCTGGAGAACAAGCCCTATGAGGAGCGGCTTAAGGAGCTGGGCGTTTAGCCTGAAGAAGAGAAGGCTGAGAGGAGGCATGAGAGCCATGTATACATATGTGAATGGGTGTCATAAGGAAGAGGGAGCAGGCTTGTTTTCTACTGTCCTTGAAACTGGTTTCAAATGATAGGATAGGAGATAATATTTATTTTTTTTAGTATTGTCGAAGGCTTTCATGGCCGGAATCACTGGGTTGTTGTAGGTTTGTCAGCCAGACAGAAGCATTTACTGGTAACACATATTATTATTATTTATTTATTATTTAACACTTTTGTATACCGGTCTTCTCCCCTCTATCGGGGGACTCGGGCCGGTTTCCAACAATAAAATCACAAAACAATCATTAAAAACATCATATAACATAATTCAATTAAAACGTTATAACAGCAAAATGCAATCACATAATAACCATGGTCAGTCGTCATAGTGAATTCGTTGTCCATCATTCATCGTCATCTATCCGATCACAGAAATATTAAGTTCTTGTGGGTTTTTTCGGGCTATATGGCCATGTTCTAGAGGCATTCTCTCCTGACGTTTCGCCTGCATCTATGGCAAGCATCCTCAGAGGTAGTGAGGTCTGTTGGAAGTAGGAAAAGGGTTTATATATCTGTGGAATGACCAGGGTGGGACAAATGACTCTTGTCTGCTGGAGCTAGGTGTGAATGTTTCAACTGACCACCTTGATTAGCATTTGATGGCCTGGCAGTGCCTGGAGCAATCTTTCGTTGAGAGGTGATTAGATGTCCTTGTTTTTTTCCTCTCTGTTGTTGTGCTGTTGTAATTTTAGAGTTAGTATTTTAAAACTCCAAAATTAGAACAGCACAACAACAGAGAGGAAACAAACAAGGACATCTAATCAGCTCTCAACAAAAGTTTGCTCCAGGCACTGCCAGGCAATCAATTGCTAATCAAGGTGATCAGTTGAAACATGCACACTTAGCTCCAACAGACAAGAGTCCTTTGTCCCACCCTGGTCATTCCACAGATATATAAACCCTTTTTCCTAGTTCCAACAGACCTCACTACCTCTGAGGATGCTTGCCATAGATGCAGGCGAAACGTCAGGAGAAAATGCATTTAGAACATGGCCATATATGATAGTATTAGCATAGCACAATATGTTGTTCATTCGTTCAGTTGTCTCCGACTCTTATAATATTAGTATTATATATTACTATTTTGTACTATGTAATTATACTGCAATATTATTGGTAATGTTGCACATAATATATAATATATAATTACATAATTATATTGCATTCTTATTAGTATTATATTGTATTACAATATTATCAATATTATATGTACATACATGTACATACAATATATTATAATTATTAGTATAGCACAATATTAGTATTATATATTACTATATTGTACTATACCACTCTACTGCAATATTATTAGTATTATGTAATCTATAATATACAATTATTATATCATATTATTATTATTAATAATATTACTATTATTAATATGTGAATGGGTGTCATGAGGAAAAGGGAGCTGGCTTGTTTTCTGTTGTCCTTGAAACTAGGACTCGGAACAATGGTTTCAAATGATAGGAAAGGAGATAATAATATTTTTTTTAGATTTTATTTATAAATTTGTCCAACAAAATGTATAAGCATACATTCTTCTCTCTTAGACAAAAGAGTACGTCATCTTCTCTATATAAATAAAAATGTAATGTTCGTTTGTGGAATTAACAGAACTCAAAAAGCACTGGGGGAATTGACACCAAATTTGGACACAAGACACTTAACAACCCAATGTATGTCCTTCACTCAAAAAAATTGATTTTGTCATTTGGGAGTTGTAGTTGCTGGGATTTATAGTTCACCTACAATCAAAGAGCATTCTGAACCCCACCAACGATGGAATTGAACCAAACTTGGCACACAGTTCTCCCATAACCAACAGAAAATACTGGAAGGGTTTGGTGGGCAGTATCCTTTGGTTTTGGAGTTGTAGTTCACTTACATCCAGAGAGCACTGTGGATTCAAACAATGATGGATTTGGACCAAACTCTACACAAATACGCAATATGCCCAAATGTGAACACTGGTAGAGTTTGGGGAAAATAGACCTTGACATTTGGGAATTGTAGTTGCTGGGATGTATAGTTCACCTACAATCACAGAGCATTCTGAACCCCACCAATGATAGAATTGGACCAAACTTTCCACACAGAACCCCTATGTGGGCCACAGCAACGTGTGGCAGGAAACGGCTAGTTTTATATACAATTTAACAGTAAATAAAAATAGAAAACGTCTTTAATCATATTTCTTATTATTTTTAAATTTCCATTACAACTTACATTACTACATATAACTCTATCACACACCTTTTGTCCACTTATAAATATTGTATTTCTTTATAATTATTATTATTATACCTTTATTCCCTTCTTCTCCTTACCCTTAGTTTGTGCCCCCTTCACCAGGACCAACCAACTCATGTTGTTTCACCATTCCAAAATATCATTGTTTCTCTTGCTGGCTTATACCCCTTTCCCTCATTAAACACATACTCAATAAATTCTCCCCATATTTTCCAAAAGTCTGCTTGTTTACAGATTCCCTTTTAATTTTAATATTGCAAGTTAGCTTATCATTAATCACAATATTCCAAATTTCCCTATACCATTCTTCTAATTGAATTTCTTTCTTTTTTCTTTCCACTTTTTTGCTATTAACAATTTAGCTGCTGTTATCAAATTAGAAATCAATTCTTTCTCCTCTTGTAAGGGAATTATATTATCGTGTAAGTAATGTAATTATAATGCGAATTTTGGTGTAATCTCAATCTCTATTTTTATTATTGCTCTTATTTCTTTAAATATACTTTCCCAAACGTTTTGTATAATTTCACATGACCACCTCATATGAAGGTAAGTCCCTATTTCCTGACAGCCTCTCCAGCACTGATTTGATGATGATGATGATGATGATAATAATAATAATAATCTTTATTTATATCCTGCCACCATCTCACCAAGGGGACTCGGGGTGGCTTCCACGAGGCCAAGCCCAACAACACATCAGTAAAACAACAAAGCAGCAAGCAAATAAAACAGAACAATGTATTGTCGAAGGCTTTCATGGCTGGAATCACTAGGTTCTTGTGGGTTTTTTCGGGCTATATGGCCATGTTCTAGAGGCATTTTCTCCTGACGTTTCGCCTGCATCTATGGCAAGCATCCTCAGAGGTAGTGAGCCTCACTACCTCTGAGGATGCTTGCCATAGATGCAGGCGAAACACCTCTAGAACATGGTCCTATAGCCCGAAAAAACCCACAAGAACCTAGAATAATCAATATTATTTATTTATTTCATATTCGTCTGTCCCGTCCTTCTCCGCACAAGGGGGACTCAGGGCGGCCTCACATAGACATCAACAATGCTTGAAATGTATGCATCATTTATATATGCTTCTGAAACATGGCCATACAGCCTGGAAAACTCACAGCAGCCCTGTATTTGTTGTGTTCCAGGGGTCCATCGGCAACTCCTGTGGCTTTCTGTGGGTTTCTACCTTGGCCACTACCTTGTAAGACGAGCCAATTACACATATGCAAAAAGAGACAGAGACATCTCTGAGTACATAAGGCACCACCCTGAAGACTTTAAGGAAAAAGGTACTTTATGTCAAATGGTTCTATGTAGAGTGACTTCCATGGGCAGATTCACTCGCATGTATCTTGTTGACCACTCCAAGAACTGGGTCCTGGAGTACATGGGTCTTTGGTCATATTTTTGAGGGGTTTCCCCCCATTATGTATAACCAAAAGGAGAACTTTAGTTGCACAGTCATTCCTCCATATTTGTTGACGTTAGGGGCACAGGACCCCCATGAAAGTGAAAAACTGCAAATAAGGAAATGTCTAGGTTTCCTTACCTAAGGGAACGCCTCTCTAACATTTCTAGTTCTTCCAGCATGACTCAGTCTGCTTCTATACTGTAGAACAGTGGTTCTCAACCTGGGCTCCCCAGATGTTTTTGGCCTTCAACTCCCAGAAATTCTAACAGCTGGTAAATTGGTTGGGATTTCTGGGAGTTGTAGGGCAAAAACATCTGGGGACTCCAGGTTGAGAACCACTGCTATAGAATGAATGCAGTTTTGATACCATGGCTCAATGCCTTGGGATCCTGGGAGGTTTCGTTTGTGAAGCACCAGGACTCTTTGGCAGAGAAGGATAGAACCTTGTAAGACCATTATTATTTTTTAATTATTTACTTGCTTTATGTATACCTCTCCTTTCTCCCTGAGGGGATGAAGACTCCCAAAATTCCATTGCCTTGAGGCATGGTAGTGAAAGTGATGTCAAACTGCATTAATTTGGTAGTGTAGGTGCACCCTCTATGGCAGTGGTTCCCAACCTGGGGTCCCCAGATGTTTTTGGCCTTCAACTCCCAGAAATCCTAACAGCTGGTAAACTGGCTGGGATTTCTGGGAGTTGTAGGCCAAAAACATCTGGGGACCCCAGGTTGAGAACCACTGCTCTATGGTCAACTTCCCCAATTAAGATTGTTAGCCAGACAGAAGCATTTACTGGTAACACATCTGTTGCAACTCACAACGAACGTATTGAATTATAAAATAATAATATTAATATATAATTAACTATAGATAAATAACATTATTGACATAATACTATGGCAGTGTTTCAGAAGAAGATGACACGACTGTATGTGAATAAATGCTATTTTTTTCTATATGAATAAATGCAGATTGTTGTACATAAAAAATAAGACATCCCCCCAAAGTAAGGAGCATATATGATTATAAGAGCCAGTATATTCAAAACTAATCCCCTCTGGAATCAGAATATGGCCCCTTTTGAATTCAGTTAGTATGTTACCCTTTTCCATGGACATAACTTTGGAACATCTCAGTTTTGTTTGGCAGGAAGAATGGCCATGCTGGCTGGCATTAAGGGGAAATATAGCTCAACAGATGTAAAGAGGCACCAAACTGGGGGAAAATGCCTCAATGCATGTTGCATAGTTTGATCATAGGATTCAGAGTTAGGTTTTTACACCATGTTACAAGATCTTGTGAATTGTGTGCAATTTGGCTTTTTGAAGAGTGTTTCCTTTTCTTTTGATAGATAAGAAAACCATGGCAGAAGTCCTGGAGGGCTTTCAACCCATTCGCTGAAGACTTTGCAAACAGCTATAGCATGTCTCTTATGTATGTTGACTTGTTTTCAATATATGTCAGCATTTAGGGCAGAATATCTGATATAAAGAAGGACTGTAATCTTATTAATAAACTATGAATAAATACAATCTGCTTTTAATCCCTTGGGGTTGGGAGTGAGGAGATGCAGATTTCTCAGGTCAGATTACATTGATTTCATGGACTTCAATGCCACAAGATGTGGCAATAGGTCTGAAGTGAACACTTCAAACAATAGGCTTTTTGCACGGACAGAAAGACCAACAGATGAGTCAGAAAGCAATGAACCTGACCTTTTCTTAGGAGCCAAAATCAATAATGCGCTGTTGCAGTTTGGAAATACTAGGATGGCTGTAATGTTGAGTAAGATTGAAAGAGTTGGGGAAGAATGCATTGTGAATGGATACATTAATTCACCCTGAGTTTGCAAGACCTGGGAAGCGTTGCTGATGGAAGTTTCTCATTCACAGGGTCATTGTAAATTGGGACTGATGTGATGACAAATAAGAAAAAATAGTGGTGCAGCCAAGAGGTGTGTATGTAGCCTCCAGGTACACTGCCAATGAATTAGTTTCTAGGGTCCTGCAATGAGATTTAGCTATTCTCTTCCTGCTTCATTTATGTGTTTCTCAAAAGACTCTAATTGGCTGCCATATTAGTTGTCAGATACGTCCATTTCCCTTCTATCTCCCAGATTGGTCAAACTGATGTATGTAGCTCTTCTACTGCTCACTTTATTTTCACAACAGCCCTTGAAGTTGATCAGCCTGAAGAAGAAAAGGGAGAAATGAAGGAGAGAGAAGGACTGAGAGAAAATAGTTCAGCATCTCCCAATATAGTTCATTCCTCTGTAGGGATTTGAACCTTGTTCTCTCAAATGCTGGTTGGATTATCCAAGGATGAGCACAGTGTCACTTTTGGATCAGATATGGGCCCTAGACCCTACTTTTGTGGCCCCATTTTTTATTATTGCAAAAATACACCCTGCCCCCCGACACATACATTCCAAATATCTCCATTTGCTTCTTGTTTGTTCTCAAAATGGTACCATTTTGAGAAAGTCTGCAAAGGAAATATAATATTGAATGCTAAACACCTTGAAGGAGCTGCTGGTTGCCACAGCCAACAGGGAGCTCTGGCATGGGCTGGTCCATGAAGTCACGAAGAGTCGGAAGCGAATGAATGAATAAACAACACAAAGGTCTCCCCATAAGAACCAGTGTGGTATAGTGGTTTGAGCACTGGATTACAACTGGACACACAGGTTCCAATCCCCGATTGGTCATGAAAACCCATTGGGTGAGTCACACACTCTTAGCCTCCCAAAAAGTCCCATTATAAGTTCGCCTTGGGATCAGCATAATTTGGAAACAAAGGCGCCCAACAACATCTCTACATGACTTCCTGATTTTTCATAGTACCACAGATGGGAGAACTTGAGAAAAGATAGATTTTTAAACCATCATTTGCACCATTTCCCTGTCTGGCACCACTGCAAATGGAGATTCAAGCCCCAGCTACATCTTTTCTAGGATTTATAAAGGAGATCTGGAGCCCCATGATGCCCTGTAATGCAATGTGGATGTATGCCCACATCAATGCCACCACGAGCAGTTCATGATCCAGCAAGGCTTTCAGTGTCCAGAAATTAACACTGAACAACAACAAGAATATTAAAATGTCCAAAGCAGCAGCTGCTGCTGAAATGCTGACTTGGCAGGCTGCAGATTTGGAGAAGCTGCCTGTTCAAACAGAACGCCCTTATTCATGAAACTTGTACCCATCTTTGTTTAGGTTGGCACAAACCTATTGAAGACCCAGTACAGTGTGACCTGAATGTCTTCTTGATGCCCTTTAAAACTTTTTTCTCTCTCTCTGTCATCTTGCACCTGCCCTGCCTACTTTCACTAGATACCAAAGGGGCTTCTAAAGTTCATGCATCCATTTTAATTTGGAACCAATGGGTTGTTTCCTTGCAAACCCACCTTGATCCCCTCCCTTTGTCAGCAAACTTTACAGGTTGCCTGCAAGGACACTTACATCGCTGATGGGGATGATGGGAGGTGGAATACCCAGGTGGCACTTCTATACCACCACTGCTGAGTTTGGAGTTGTGTCTACCAAGAAAGCAATKCTACAATGTGATGTTTCTGGTATTCACTGCTACAACGTATAGTGATGGCAAGTAATTTAAGTAAATAAAGGTRAAGGTTTTCCCCTGACATTAAGTCCAGTCGTGTCCAACTCTGGGGGTTGGTGCTCATCTCCATTTCTAAGCCGAAGAACCAGCATTGTCCATAGACACCTCCCAGGTCATGTGGCCAGCATGACTGCAWGGAGCGCCCTTACCTTCCCATTAGTATGGTTCCTATTGATCTACCCACATTTGCATGTTTTCGAACTGCTAGGTTGACAGAAGCTGGGGCTAACATAGGGAGCTCATGCCACTCCCTGGATTCAAATCTGCGATCTTTTGGTCAGCAAGTTCAGCAGTTCAGCAATTTAACCCACTGCCCCACCGAGGGCTCCTAGTAATTTGGGTGTCTTCAAAAATTATTCCCAGGGCATAAGCACAATCTCAGTAGCTTTTATGTTAGCTATATGAAGCCTCCATACATAGGCACAGTCTATCACTGGGTGCATTTTGCTGGCAACCAGGAGAAAGCCTTTGCCTTCATGATGGCATAACATGCATATGTTGTGTGCTTTCAAATCTGTTCTGATTTAAGGTAGTTTCTATCATGGGATATTCTTGGCATTTATTCAGACAGGATTTGCCATTGCTTTCCTCTAAGGTTGAGAGAGAGTAACATGCCCTATGGTATCCACTGGATTTCCAGAGTTGAGTGTGGACACAGCTCCTAGTCTCTTGAAGCCATTCATGTCAACTTCGTTTTACTGTAAACATTTAGTTCTATTATAATATATATTATAATTTTTGCACGCTTTTAATTGTACAGCTTTTAAGGTTGGATCCCGAAAGGATGAGATGGTGGATAGGAGAAAAAAAGTGTATCCATTAGACCCCTTATTGCTTACTCCTAATATATAATCCTAGAATCCTGGAGTTGGAAAAGCCCTCCAGGGGCCATCCAGTCCAATCCCCTGCCTTGAAAGAAGGCACACTCAAAGCACTCCCGATAGGCAGCCTCTGCAGAAAAGCCTCCTGAAAGGGAGACCCCACCACACTTCCAGACACACTGCTACTCTCCAACAGTTGTTACTCTCAGTAAGTTCTTCCTAATCTTTTCAGTCAAATCTCTTTCCCTGCCATTTGAACCCATTGCTCCCTTTTGCCCTGGTCTTTCTTTCTTTCTTTCTTTCTTTCTTTCTTTCTTTCTTTATTTATTTATTTATTTATTTATTTAAAAACACATACAGTCGGTAAAATATCAAAGTACACATTACAATAAAACATTTAAAAAGCACATATATTTAAAATACAGTGGCCAGTCGTCATACTAAGCTCGAATATTGAATATACACCGTCTTCCATCCAGATCGTTGTCTCATTCTTCGAAAGCCTGTCTCCACAACCACGTCTTCACCCGTTTCCTGAATGTCAGGATTGTTGGGGCGGTTCTGACCTCTGGCAGGAGAGAGTTCCAGAGTCGTGGGGCCACCACCGAGAAGGCGCTGTCCCTCGTCCCCACCAGCTGCGCTTGTGAGGCTGGTGGGACCGAGAGCAGGGCCCCTCCAGACGATCTTAGTAATCTTGATGGTTCGTAGGGGAGAATACGTTCGGAGAGGTAAACCGGGCCGGAGTCGTTTAGGGCTTTATAGGTTAACACCAGCACTTTGAATTGTGCTTGGAAGCTAATTGGCAGCCAGTGGAGCTGGTGTAACAGCGGAGTGGTGTGCTCCCTGTACCCAGCACCCATTAGTAGTCTGGCTGCCGCACGTTGTACTTGCTGCAGCTTCCGGGCAGTCTTCAGAGGCAACCCCACGTAGAGAGCGTTGCAGTAGTCTAAACGGGATGTAACCAAAGCATGGACTACCGTGGCCAAGTCAGCCTTCCCAAGGTACGGGCGCAGCTGGCGCACAAGTTTTAGTTGTGCAAAAGCTCCCCTGACCACCACCGAGACCTGGGGTTCCAGGCTCAGCGATGAGTCTAGGAGAACTCCCAGACTGCAAACCTGCGCCTTTAGTGGGAGTGTGACCCCGTCCAGCACAGGCTGTAACCCCGTACCTTGTTCGGTCTTACGACTGACCAGGAGTACCTCTGTCTTGTCTGGATTTAGTTTCAATCTGTTGTCCCTCATCCAGTCCGTCACAGCGGCCAAGCACCGGTTCAGGACCTGAACAGCTTCCTTAGTAGCAGGTGAAAAGGAGTGATAGAGTTGGACATCATCTGCGTACAGATGACATCGCACCCCAAAACTCCGGATGATCTCTCCCAACGGCTTCATGTATATGTTAAACAACATAGGGGACAAAACTGAACCCTGCGGGACTCCACAGTACAATGGCCGAGGAGTCGAGTAGGCGCCCCCTAGTGACACTTTCTGGGAGCGACCCTCGAGGAAGGACCGGAGCCACTGCAAAGCAGTACCCCCAAGACCCATTCCCGGGCAGCAAAAAGTCAATTTTCCCCCTCCTACTCAATGGGTAAAGGTAAAGGTTTCCCCTGACATTAAGTGTAGTCGTGTCCGCTTCTGGGGAGTGGTGCTCATCCCCATTTCAAAGCCAAAGAGCCTGGCGTTGTCCGTAGACACCTCCAATGTCATGTAGCTGGCATGACTGCATGGAACGCTGTTACCTTCTCACCCAAGCAGTTTCTATTTATTTATTCACACCTGTATGTTTTTGAACTGCTAGGTTGACAAGCTGGGGCTAACGGCAGGACTCAACCCGCTCCCCAGATTTGAACCGCTGACCTTTTGGTCAGCAAGTGCAGCAGCTCAGCAGTTCTACCCGCTGCACCACCAGGTGCTCTGGACCTCTAGAATATCAAGGCAGAAAATCCCACAATATCTGCTTTGAACTGGGATATCATATCCCAGTTGAAAGCAGATAATGGGGGAGAATGTCTGTAAACACCTCCGAGGTCATGTGGCCAGTATGACTGCATGGAGCACCTCAATGGGACACCTTTTTATACCTTGAAACATGGTTCTCATGTTTCCTCTCTACCTTCTCTTCTCCCAGCTAAACATCCCACAGGAGGAAAGGAGGAAGGAAAAAGAGAAGGGAGGGAGGAAGAGAAACATGGAAAGACAGGATGGAAGGGAAGGGAGGAAAGGGAGAAGGGAGGAAGGGAGGGAGGAGATAGATTTAGGGAAGGAAGGAAGGAAGGAAGGAAGGAAGGAAGGAAGGAAGGAAGGAAGGAAGGAAGGGACAAAAGGGTGGGAGGGAATGGAGAAAGGGAGAAAGAGTGAGAAAGAGGGAGGGAGGAAAGAGAAGGGAGGAAAGACAAAAGGGGAGGAAGGAAGGAGAAAGAGAGATAGGGAACTTGAAATCAGAGCTGCATCATCAGCATAAAGTAGGGTGGAGATATGTTTCCCCCTGCGAGTTTTGGAGGGGGAAAGTCCATGTTGTGCAATTGGTCCACCGTAGAGTTGATGTATAGGTTGAATAATGATGGGGCTAAGATGCAGTCTTGTTTGACTCCTTTCTCTGTGCTAACTGTGTTTGTGAGGTGGCCTTGAGAGCTACATCTTATTTTGAGAGACGTCCCTTCATGGAGTTGACGGATAAGCTGTCTGTCGATTGAGGTGCCTTCTAATTTTTCCTATAGCTTGGTCCTAGAGATTGAGTCAAAGGCAGCCTTAAAGTCTATAAAGGCCGCATACAGAGATGCACAATTGTTGGTGGAATATTTTTCTATCAGATGCTGGAGCACTAGGCAATGGTCTACCGTAGACCGTCCTTCCCTAAATCCAGCTTGTTCATCGGCTAATATGCTTTCTTGATCCATCCAATCCTGCAGTTTCCCTTCTAGATGCCTTGCATAAATTTTACTGATAGTGTTAAGAAGGCTGATAGCTCTGTAATTTGCTGGATCATCTCTTTTTCCTTTTTTTTTTTAATATAAGGGGACGATGATTGCCATCCCCCATTCCTTGGGAATATGACCGTACTTGTCAATGCAGATGAAAAGTGATGCTAAAATAGTGGCCCAAAAGTCTTGGTGGCTTCCAAGGGAATGAGATCTTCTCCTGGGACCTTCCCTTGAAGTAATTGGTTGACAAGGCTCTTGATCTCTGTCAGAGTGACAGCAGGCCATGTCGGGAGCTTTTCCGAATCTAGGATGGAACGGGCATTCCCACCAGAATGATCCTTATATATGTCCCAAAGATATGCTTCCCAGGACCCTTTCCATGCGGGAATGGACATAGTTGACTGTACATGGGAAGGAGAGAGGAAAGATGGTAGGAAGGGTAGAAGGGAAGGAGGAAACAAGAAAGAGGGAGGGAAGGAGGAAGGAAAGAGAGAAGGAAAGAAGGAAGGAAGGAAGGAAGGAAGGAAGGAAGGAAGGAAGGAAGGAAGGAAGGAAGGAAGAGAAGGAAGGAAGGATGGATGGATGGATAGGATGGTGAGAGGAGGGCCTGAGAAAATCTTCAGAGGGGCTGCATCAACCCCCCAGACCTAGGTTTGCCCATACCTGGTATAAACTATGTATACCTGCAGCTCTCCTTTACAAATGGGGTCAATGGCTAAGAAGCTCATAAATGGGAACTATTGCCATCCCAGAGTCTTTGCTCTCTGGGGTTGGTTGGGTCAGTTCAGTTTCCAACTTATTTTTGTGTGTTTGCGCTTTAATACACTGTGCAACTCCTGCATATCACAACAACAGTGGCAATTGTTTAAAAAATATAAGCAATTTATTTGTGTTTATTGGAAATTATCAACCAAGTGAAAAAACGTATCGAGAAATACAAAAAATTGTACTATTTCTTAATCATATTAATGTAATATCTCTTAAATAATTAGGAATTTTGGTGTGTAATACCAGCTGAGGCATAGGTATGCCCAGATACAGGTATAAATAAAATAAAATAACACATAAAATAAAATACAATAACACAAAACATGTGCTTGAAATGTTCAGAGATGATGCTGTTAAATGACAGCTATTGGTAATGTCTCAGTGTCGTCCGGTCAAGCAATTTCTTTGCAGAAATCTGTTCAAATAGATCCTCGAGGAAAGAGATCAGGCTTGTCTGTAAATGAAAAGGAATGGGGGGAAAAGTTAGTTTCCAGAAGGACATTTCCAGTGATGTGTCAACAAAGCAATAAGGCTTAAATGCCGTAATTACATTTTGAGCAGGTAAAATTAATTGAAGTCAATTAAGATTGAAGTTCCCAGAATTCCCAAACATAATTGCCACCAGTTATGCTGGCAGGGGATTCTGGGATATGCAATCCGATAGAAAGCAGCCCCTTTTGAGTGTTGTTTGGCTAAAGCTTGCTTGGAGATAATACTATAATACTATAGTATCAGATATGATACTACAATAATAATAATAATAATAATAATAATAATAATAATAATAATCCCAAGGTTGGGGTCTCAAAGCTACTTATAAATAGTTAAAAGTTCACAGTAAGCAGAACATAAAAATCAAGCAAATTATCAAAAATTAAAAGCAGGATTGATCTACACTGCCATATAATGCAGTTTCTCACTGCAGACCAACTGCATTGAACTGGGTTATATGGCATTGTAGACTTAGGGCCCTTCCCTACAGTCCTATATCCCAGAATATCAAGGCAGAAAATCCCACAATATCTACTTTGGATTATCAGAGTCCACACTCAGATAATGTGGGATTTTCTCCCTTTGATATTCTGGGATATAGGGCTGAGTGGAAGAGCACTCAGTTAAAACGCAAACCATTAAAAAGAAGAGCAACAACAGTGTGTTGTTGTAGGTTTTTCGGGCTATAGCATTCTCTCCTGACGTTTTGCCTGCATCTGAGGTGTGCTGTGAGCCCAAAAAACCTACAACAACCCAGTAATTCCGGCCATGAAAGCCTTTGACAATACAATAGCAACAACAAATCAAAGCACATTATACAGTATCTGTGTATTGTTGAAGGCTTTCATGGCTGGAATCACTTAGTTGTTGTAGGTTTTTCCGGCTATTTGGCCATGTTCTGGAAGCATTCTCTCCTGATGTTTCGCCTGACCTCACAACCTCTGAGGATGCTTGCCATAGATGCAGGCGCAACGTCAGGAGAGAATGCTTCAAGAACATGGTCATATAGCTCAAAAAACTTATACAGTATCTGCTTCCCATAAAATTGTACTTTTTGCCCTATTATGACTGGCCACTAGGAGTTTTGGGAAGTTGTCATCCAAAAGTGGGGTTTGATCAAGGCTACAGACCTATTTCCTGGAAATAACCTTGTTCTACAACTATTTGATGTACCTCTCTTTTATCTCCAATATCCCATCCACACTGCAGAATTATAGCACTCTGACACCACTTTAACTACCACGACTCAATGTTATGGAGTACCAGGATTTGTAGTTTCGTGAGGCTGCAACACTCTTTAGCAGAGAAGGCAAAAGAGCTTGTAAAACTATAACTTGCAGGGTCCTATTTGGCAGGTAAAGTATTGAGCCTTGACATTACTCACCAAGGTGCAGTCCATGTTTTGAGGTTCACCAACGAAGAGAGATTTCGTTCATAATTTCATTGTATCTGGACGTCACGGCGTCGGCTCTCCTGGTCAGCTGCTGGAGGATGCGGTGCAAGGCCGAGACGTGGTAATAGAAGACTCTTTCGAGATCTTGCTCTTCGTTGGCTTCTGGTTCTTTTGCTCTGTTGGCGATGCCAAGCAGCCGGCGGTTGTCCGAAGGCACTAATCCCCCTTCCACCATCGGCTTGATGGATTTCAGCTGGGTGAAATATTCATACAAGTCTTTGGCACCGTCCGAATCGCAGGCATCCTCCTTCTCTTCGAAGGAGACTCCTTGAAGGAGGCTGGGGAACATCACTGTCTGCTCCATCTTCTGGACAGCCGAGAAGTAACTTTCCATGGCAGCGAGGGAATGGATTGCTCTGGATTTGTGATCCCAAGAGAAGGAGTGGATTCCTCTAAGGCGAGAAGTGAGCTCTATTCGACGGCTCTGCTTTCTGGTCTGGTTCGGTGGCAGCTTATGTAGCAAAGTGTCCGCAAAAGCCCAGGCACGGAGAACGTGATTCGAATCCGTGCCAAGCATAGACACCCTGGCCAACCTCCTCTTATGTAATCCCGCAACCTTTATCCTTGCCCATCCATGCATTGTGGGCAGCCGTGTGCTTCTTATTTGCAGACTGAAATCTCTCCCCAAAATAGAACTGCGCTGCACACAGAACCTTGACCCCTTCTTTACAAAATCAGACTGTCTTGCCACACCGGTTGATAATAGACAGGGCCATGCACTAGGCAGGCTGCCGGAAAATGGAACGAGAAATGTTCCCAAAGGTGGCTGAAATTCCAGATCCTAAAGCACGTCTCAAGCACAGAAGAGTGGCATAGTGCAACGTTGGTGTCTACTTGTTTTAGATGTGTGGACATGCTAATACACGGTGGCATTCTGACTTTGGAAACCTTTATCCCAGATAGAATCGTGGAGTTGGAATAGACCCCCAGGGTCATAAACCGTGACTCCAACCCCAAATGGGGACCCCTTAACTTAGGATTGGAGTCACGAAAAGTTTGGCAACAGTAAAAAGTTTCTGAAAGCCACCAATTTGCACAAATCTGTTAGCAACAATGTGCAGTGTTTACAGTGGACTCAGCAGAAAATGATTCAGCCGCACTCCACGAAAAGGCAACTTTAGCAAGCCTTGCTATTGCTGATTTATTACTAGTACATATTTAGTGTTTATACCTATTTTATATACCTCTATACACGAATTCACACAAAAATGTCTCAGCTGGAAGGGGGTTGTAAGTGGGAAAAATTTAAGAAGCACTGATCCAGTCCAACCCCATATAATCCAAGCAATGTCGAAGGCTTTCATGGCCACAATCACTGGGTTGTTGTAGGTTTTTGAACATGCTTCTAGAACATGATCATATAGCTCACCAGAAGATCCAACCAGTCCATACTACAGGAAATAAAGGCCGGCTGCTCATTGGAGGGAAGGATAGTAGAGGCAAAGATGATGTCCTTTGGCCACATCATGAGAAGAAAGGAAAGCTTAGAGAAGACAATGATGCTGGGGGAAATGGAAGGAAAAAGGAAGAGGGGCCGACCAAGGGCAAGATGGATGGATGGCATCCTTGAAGTGACTGGATTGACCTTGAAGGAGCTGGGGATGGCCACGGCTGACAGGGAGCTCTGGCGTGGATTGGTCCATGAAGTCATGAAGAGTTGGAAACGACTGAACGAATTTATTTATTTATTTGTCGTGTCAGGAGCGACTTGAGAAACGGCAAGTCGCTTCTGTTGTGAGAGAATTGGCCATCTGCAAGGACGTTGCCCAGGGGACGCCCAGATGATTTGATGTTTTATCATCCTTGTGGGAGGCTTCTCTCACGTCCCCGCATGAGGAGCTGGAGCTGATAGAGGGAGGTCATCCACCTCTCCCCGGATTTGAACCTGCGACCTGTCGGTCTTCAGTCCTACCGGCACAGGAGTTTAACCCACTGCGCCACCGGGGGCTCCGACTGAACGAATGAACAACAACATGGACAACGCCAGCTCCTCGGCTTAGAAATTGAGATGAGCACCACCCCCAGAGTTGGAATCAACTAGACTTAATGTCAAGAGAGGAAACCTTTACCTTTTACTATCACATCATAAAGGATATTGCAGTATTGGAGCACTTCTACACTGATCACTTAATGCAGTTTGAAGGCAGCTTGAGAGTGTGGTGTTTAAATGATGCACACAGCGGACATGGCATTTAAGGGCTTTAAACCAAGATAAGCAAAGTTGGGGAGCATTCTGAAATACAGCCCATAATTCGCACATACACATCTAAAGGATAAGCCACATCATATGGTAAAATCAATGAAGGGATAGGTGCTCTGGTGATCTGCACATGGAAAGTGGGGGGGGGGGGGAGAAAATGTGATTCCTTCATGGCCATAATGTTGCAGATCATGCAGATCCTGTAACTGCTTTGGGGCCAGTTTCTGTGATGTGTAGAAGCACCATTCAACCTTTGAACCAATTTCAGGACATTAAATGTAATCATCTGCACAGTGCATTTGCTTCCTTCTCTGCCAATCTCACACTGACCTAAATGGCCAGTGTAGAGCTGCCCTAAGTTTCTGCACCTTAAAAAATAGTGGAGAAGAGTTGTAGAGTGTTGTCCCAAGAATGTTGATGTTTGAGGCAAAATACGCCTTCTGTTTAATTGACAGGAGAGAAAATGGAATATTCCTGCCTTTGAATCTTGCAGTGCATCTGCATGGGCTATTTGACACCACTTAAACTGCCATGGGTCAGTGCTATGGCATCCTGGGAGTTGTAGTTGGGTGAGATGCCAGCACTCTTTGGAAGCGAACTCTAAATAAATGACTTGTAAAGATACTACGCCCATGATTCCATTGCATTGAGCTATGGTAGGTAAAGTGTCCAACAGCATTCCTACATGGCAAGGGGTTGGACTACATGGCCCTTAGGGTTCCTTCCAACTCTTAAGAGTCTATGATTCTATAGACCAGACATGGTCACACTCTGGCCCTCCAGGTGTTTTGGATTTCAACTCCCACAATTCCTAACAGCCTACTGGCTGTTAGGAATTGTGGGCGTTGAAGTCCAAAACACCTGGAGGGCCCAAGTTTGCTCATGTCTATTATAGAGATAGCCTATATTGTCTCTGTAATACTCAGAGGTCTGTTTTAGGGTCAAATGTAATTGTGTCCACAGGACTTTTGTCCCCCATATCTCTGCCAGACATTAAAAAAAACATATAAGAAGGGAAAGTCTGCTGTCTGGAAGAGAAAGAGCACGCAGGGAAGGTGTGCTTAGCCTTCCACCACCCATAACCTCTGCACTGTGTCAAGTGTTGTTAGATTAATGTCTAACCATTTGTCTCATGTTTGGGTTGTTGTAGGTTTTTTGGGGGGCTATATGGCCATGTTCTAGAGGCATTCTCTCCTGGCGTTTTGCCTGCATCTATGGCAAGCATCCTCAGAGGTTGTGAGGTCTCATAACCTCTGAGGATGCTTGCCATAGATGCAGGTGAGGCGTCAGGAGGGAGTGCTTCTAAAACATGGACATACAACCCGAAAAAACTGACAACAACTCAGTGATTCCAGCCATGAATGCCTGTCTCGTGTTTTTTCCTCTTTTTTGTTGTGTTTTCAGTTGTTTGTCCCTGTATTGTTGAAGGCTTTCATGGTCGGTATCACTAGGTTGTAGGTCTTTTGGGCTATATGGTCATGTCCTAGAAGCATTCTCTCCTGACGTTTTGCCTGCATCTGTGGCACCTTTGTTTGTTTTTCATCCAGTGCCTCGGTGGCGCAGTGGGTTAAACCCCTGTGCCGGCAGGACTGAAGACCGACGGGTCGCAGGTTCGAATCCGGGGAGAGGCAGATGAGCCCCCTCTATCAGCTCCAGCTTCCCATGTGGGGACATGAGAGAAGCCTCCCACAAGGATAGCAAAACATCAAAACATCTGGGTGTCCCCTAGGCAACATCCTTGCAGACGGCCAATTCTCTCACACCAGAAGCGACTTGCAGTTTCTCAAGTTGCTCCTGACACAACAAAAACAAAAACAAAAAACCTCTGCACTACACTTCACCCCCTTTTCTCGAGTACATTTACACTGTAGAATTAATGTAGTGTGACACCACTTGAACTGCCATGGCTCAATGCTATGGAAGCCTGGGAGTTGTAGTTTGTCGAGGCACCAGCACTCTTTGGCACAGAAGGTTAAAAGACTATGTAAAATGACAACTCCCAAGACTTGTAAATAATGTTTTTACAAACTGTAAGAGTAGAGGGGGGAGGAAATCAACTTTGCAATAATTTCAGTTGTCCTTTCCTTAGCTTTTGCTGGTAACTACCAATCAGAATATCTTCTACACACACGCGCGCGCACACACACAAATACATATATAATGAGAAGTGTGATATCTGTTAGCAATATTACAAAAAAAAACCTGTGAGATGGGGGTCTCTACTAATCCATCTTCACAAGGGCAAAAGAACAGCAGAAGAATAATATTAAATTTAGCTATTTATTTATTTATTTGCTTCATTTACAACCCACCTTTCTCACCCCAGATGGGGGATTCTAGGCGGTTTATAACTCCGGCGAAATTCAATGCTGTATACAACATAACAATAAAAATAGGAGGGTCTGTTTAACTGTAAAATATTTAAAACAAATAAGCAAATACATAGAGTAATAAAAGCAGATTAAAAACGTGCTCGATTCCATTCATCCATAATACTTGTTTATAATCCTTATTCAGACCGTGTCGAAATCCCTAAAATTTCTACAAAAGCCTGCATACAAAGCCTGAAGACCAAAAGGGATAGGACCTGCTTTAAGATCGCTGGGGAGGGAGTTCCACAGTCGAGGGGCCGCCACTGAGAAGGCCCTGTCTCTCGTTCCCACCAGTCATGCCTGCGAAGGGGGTGGGACCGAGAGCAGGGCCTCCCCAGCAGATCTTAAAGCTCTAGTTGGCTCATAAGGGGAAATGTGTTTGGACAGGTAAGTTGGACCAGAACCATTTAGGGCTTTATAGGCCAAAGCCAGGACTTTAAATTGGGCTCAGTAGCAAACTGGCAGCCAGTGGAATTGTGTGCTCCAGTGAAGAATCTGGCTGTTTTGGTAAAAATTATACAGCATTTGGGGATAGTCAGCTTCTCATAGTAATTTGCACCCCTATTAATATTCAGTGGACACAGAATTGGATAAATGGGGAGACAGGAGGGGATAAAGTATTAATTATTAATACTCTTTATCAAGCAAAAAGGAAAGACAGCATCATCCAAAATACCTTGTAATTTATTTTAGATGGGCTTAGCAGATCCTGTATTCAATTTGTGACATCTCCAGTTAGAACTGGAAAGCAATTGATGGCAAAAGTCCTGGGTTCAATTTCTTATTCACTCTCCAGGAAAACCAAATAACAGATGATGGGAAAGGTATCTGATTCAGTTCCCAACATCTCAAAGACCCTTTGATATGACACAATTATAGCACCATGATGCATTTGATGGATTCCAGGGTTTGTAGTTTGATGGAGGCTGAGAATCCTGATTGTGTCTTTCTAAACTACAAATCCCAGATGCCAATTAGAGGGAACCAAGGCATAGGAAAGGTCCCAAACTCAATTCTTACCATCTCCATCTTGAAAGGAATAGGTGAAAGGACATTTCCCACTCTGCGGAACCTTGGACAGTTCTTCAGAAGTCTGGAATGCAATCCAAAGCTTCAGGTGCATCTCCACTGTAGAATTAATGCGCTTTAATTGCCATGGCTCAAGGCTATGGAATCCAGGGAGCTGTAGTTTTACAAGGTCGTTAGCCTTTAGCAAATCACCAGCCCTCTGCCATACAATTCCTATAATTCCATAGCCTTCAACGGTGTCAATTAAAATGAAATCAAGCTGTATTGGGTTGTTGTAGGTTTTTTCGGGCTATATGGCCATGGTCTAGAGGCATTCTCTCCTGAGGTTTCGCCTGCATCTATGGCAAGCATCCTCCGAGGTTGTGAGGTCTGTTGGAACTAGGAAAACTAGGTCATTCCACAGATATATAAACCCTTTTTCCTAGTTCCAACAGACCTCACAACCTCTGAGGATGCTTGCCATAGATGCAGGCAAAACGTCAGGAGAGAATGCCTCTAGAACATGGCCATATAGCCCGAACAAACCTACAACAACCCAGTGATTCCAGCCATGAAAGCCTTCAACAAGCTGTATTAATTCTACAATGGAAATATACCCATAGTCATGACACCCTTGAAGTTGGAAGCCGCTGCTTTCCACAGAGTTCACAATATCAGGCTAAAGGACAGACAGTCTGGCTTAAATATGGCCACTTGCTATGTCTTTTCCCAATATTCCCTTTGACACTCTTAAGGATATATTTAGAGGAGACCTGGGTTACCAGACTTGGGCCGTTGCCCGACGTCTTGTGGTTGGAGAAGTGTCCTGAAAATAGCTCCTCCAGATACTCAGCAAAACTATGGGGAGGACCCATTTCGCAAACTGAGTACCAGTGACGAAACGTGGCTGTAAGTCCCTTTCACAGCCTTGGCTCGGCTCTCCAACCAAAAAAAGTAATAGGAGATTTCCATTCATGTTCATCCCTTTCTTTCCTTCTTGCTATTGGCCAACACCGAGGCAACATGAGCTCTAATCTGGGCAAAAGAGCTTGGGAATGAATCCAGATTGTAAATAAAATCACGTTGCCAACTGTGAGCAAGAAACTGCTAACTCAGCTGGAAGAAGAGTGTCCAGATTGGCACCATCCCAATCATGCGGTCCGACATGTGCCAGGAATATTGCATCTTGCTTTATAAAGGGATGCCGCAAGGTTTGGAGCTACGACTGCCTGAGAGTCTTGAGAAAGCAAAACTTAAGACTCAGAGAATCTCTTCACTCTTCGCCATGGAAGGCTACTTCGCCGCCGTCCGCAAGATGGAACAAACAGTGATGTTCCCCAGTCTTCTCTTGGGGGTCTCCTTGGAGAACCAGGACGACAAAGACTTGCACGAATATTACAGCCTCTTCAAATCCATCAAGTTGGCGGCAGAAGGAGGCCTGGCTCCTCTGAAAGAGAAGAGCCTCAGCCTCAGCGAAGAGGAAGGCAAAGAGGAGGCAGACCTTGAAGGACTCTTTCATTTCCATGTGTCCTGTTTGCACCACATCCTGACGCGACTGACCGGCATGGCCAACACTGTAACATCTAAATACAACGAAATCATGGGGCAGATCGGCCAGAATGAATTTTCTCTCCGGTGGTGAAGCCCTGTGCCAGGTGAGCTATCTACTAACGCTGGAACCACCTTATTTCGTTTTTGTATGGCCTGCTCTTCTAATCTTGCTTCTCTTGGCATCATTCGCCAGTAGAAACTGGAGGAATAAGCATTAATTTGCACCACACAAACCGGCCAAACCATTAGGCGGCTATTTGGAACCAACTGGTAGCTTTGGTGTCAATGAGGCAGCGGATCTGCTTTGGGTTTTAGTCCAAACTTTAAAGGAGCTCTCCACATTGAACACCCCTTTGCTCCTTGAAAAGCTCATTTAAAGTTCAGTCTTAAACCTAGAGTTGATTCACTGCTTCAATTGCATTTTGGACCCCACCTACACTGCCATTTAATGCAATTTGAAACTACATTGTATGGTCATATAGATGGGGCCATAGCTACTATCCAATGCTGACCATCATCTCAACAGTAGTTTTTAGGTGTTGTTATAGGGCCGTGCTGGCGCAGTGGGTTAAATCGCTAAGCTGCAGAACTTGCTAATCAGAAGGTTAGTCGTCCGAATCTGTGGGATGGGGTGAGTTTCCTTTGTTAGCCCCAGCTTCTGCCAATCTAGCAGTTCAAAAACATGAAAATGTGAGTAGATCAATAGAAAGTAACGGTGCTCCATGCATTCATGCTGGCCGCATGAACTGTGAGGCATCTACGGACAACGCCGGCTCTTTATTTATCATTAATCTATTTACGGCATTTATATGCCATCCTTCTCAACCCAAAGGGGACTCAGAGTGGCTTACAAGTAACATGTAAATATAATATATTGTATTGTTAGCATAGCACAATATTAGTATTGCATATTACTATATTGTACTATACAATTATACTGTAATATTATTAGTAATATTACATGAAATATAAAATATATAATTATAATATCATATTAGTAGTAGTACCATATTGTATTACATTGCATCTATGGACAACGCTGGCTCATTATTTATTATTATTTATCTATTTATGACATTTATATGCCATCTTTCTCATCCCGAAGGGGACTCAGAGTGGCTTACAAGTAACATGTAAATATAATATATTATATTATTAGCATAGCACAATATTAGTATTACATATTACTATATTGTACTATAACATTATACTGTAATAGTATTAGTAATATTACATGAAATATAAAATATATAATTATAATATCATATTATTATTAGTAGTATTAGATTGTATTACATTATAATATTATCAATATTATATGTATATAAAATATATTATATTATATTATATTCAATATTATATGTATATAAATTATATTATATTATATTATATATTATATTATATTATATTATATTATATTATATTATATTATTATTAGCACAGTTTATAATTTGACTTAGATATGGAGATGAGCACCACCCTCCAGAGTCGAACACGAATAGACTCAATTTCAAGGGGAAACCTTTACCTTTTATAGTGCAGAACACTTTCTATTATAACTTATTTCCATTGTCAGGAAAGATGTAGAATTTTCTGCTTCATGTGCCAAAATAAGCTATTGACACTAAGGACCAGAACTTTTAGGTAGTCCCAGCTAAAATTGATCCATTTAATCATCTTCTGAAGATGTAAACAAATCTCATTGACTCGCTGACTCTACTTTATTTGGAGCTAATAATATGAAAACTCTGACTTAATACAGCAGTGTTTCTCAACCTGGGGGTCGGGACCTCAGGGGGGTGGTCTCAGAGGGGTCTCCAAAGACCATCAGAAAAAACAGTATTTTCTGTTGGTCATGGGATTCTGTGTGGGAAGTTTGGCCCAATTCCGTCATTGGTGGGGTTCAGAACGCTCTTTGATTGTAGGTAAACTATAAATCCCAGCAACTACAACTCCCAAATGTCAAGGTCTATTTTCCTCAAACTCCACCAGTGTTCACATTTGGGCATATTGAGTATTCATGCCAAGCTTGGTCCAGATCCATCATTGTTTGAGTCCACAGTGCTCTCTGGATGTAGCTGAACTACAACTCCAAAACTCAAGGCCAATGCCCACCAAACCCTTCCAGTACTTTCTGTTGGTCGTGAGAGTTTTGCATGTTCAATACTATCATTGGTGGAGTTCAGAATGTTCTTTGATTGTAGGTAAACTATAAATCTCAGCAACTACAACTCCCAAATGACAAAATCAATCCCCCCTCCCAACTCCACCAGTATTCAGATTTGGGCGTATCGGGTATTTGTGCCAAATTTGGTCCAGTGAATTAAAATACTTCAACGATATTGGGCTTCAGTCCCCTTTGCTAACTCCTTTTTTCTTTACCATTTTTACAGGACAAACTACATTTTGCAACTTGGACGTATGTACAACCTTGGTCTTGTTCCTGGGAGGGAGCTCATTGCTGACACTAAAAGATCTTCGATGCCATCTCCATCCCGAGGACCATTGTTGCACGAATCATACTTGAATGACTTTCGCACTGATCTTTGTTGACCAAAGATATCATATCTATGAACCCAATGGCAAATTGTATGCCTTGGGCACTATTGCTTTCTGACGCTTGTAAATGGCGACTGCTTTCGAGAAATAAAGTATTTCCTACCACATGATATGACACTGACTTTAATTAAACCATCACTTCACTTTGCCCAATACCACATGGTGCTATAAGGAAGGGGGCTCTAAATATAACTAGACTATAAATCCCAACATCCCAACACCCTGGACATTATAGTTTGGGTAGATGGGAGCTTGAGTCCAACAACATCTGGAGAGCTTCACATTGCCCACATACAGCTCATCAATTTAACCAGTTTCTAGTAGTTATGCAGGTGGGTGATTCTAGGAGCTATATGTATTATCAAAGGCTTTCATGACTGGAATCACTGGGTTCTTGTAGGTTTTTCGGGCTATATGGCCATGTTCTAGAAGCATTCTCTCCTGACATTTCACCTGCATCTATGGCAAGCATCCTCAGAGGTGAGAGGTCCTCAGAGGTTGTGAGACCTCACAACCTCTGAGGATGCTTGCCATAGATAAATAATAATAATAATAATAATAATAATAATAATAATAATAATAATAACACTTTATTTGTACCCCGCTACCATCTCCCCAAGGGACTCGGTGCGGCTTACATGAGGCCGAGCCCCCAATACATCATACAAGCAATAATAACAACAATACAAGTAATTAAAATAAAGCATGGACAATACAATAATAATGCAGGCAAAACGTTAGGAGAGAATGCTTCTAGAACATGGCCATATAGCCCAAAAAACCTACAACAACTCTGGGAGCTATAGTTTAGCTTAATTTGCTAGTGAGGTCTTTCGACATGAGGCAGGCTTGATTTTAACTCATAGCTTGTCAATACAGCTGCCACGGACTCATAGAAGTTAGAAGAGACCCCAAAGGGTTATCCAGTCTGCCCCCTGGCCTGTAGGAAGACACAATCAAAGCACCCCCAGCAGATGGCCATCCGGTCTCTGTTTAAAACCCTCCATAGCAGACTCCATCACACCCTATTTCATGGAATCCTAGAGTTGGAAGAGACCTCATGGGCCATCCAGTCCAACCCCCTGCTAAGAAGCAGGAAAATCGCATTCAAAGCACCCCCAACAGATGGCCATCCGGTTTCTGTTTAAAAACCTCCAGAGCAGAGTCCATCACACCCAATTTCATAGAATCATAGAGTTGGAAGAGACCTCATGGGCCATCCAGTCCAACCCCCTGCCAAGAAGCAGGAAAATTGCATTCAAAGCACCCCTGACAGATGGCCATCCAGCCTCTGTTTAAAAGCTTCCAAAGAAGGAACCTCCACCACACTCCAGGGCAGAGAGTTCCACTGCTGAACGGCTCTCACAGTCAGGAAGTTCTTCCTCATGTTCAGATGGAATCTCCTCTCTTGTAGTTTGAAGCCATTGTTCCGCGCCCTAGTCTCCAAGGAAGCAGAAAACAAGCTTGCTCCCTCCTCCCTGTGGCTTCCTCTCACATATTTATACATGGCTATCATATCTCCTCTCAGCCTTTTCTTCAGGCTAAACATGCCCAGCTCCTTAAGCCGCTCCTCGTAGGGCTTGTTCTCCAGACCCTTGATCATTTTAGTCGCCCTCCTCTGGACACATTCCAGCTGTCAACATCTCTCTTGAATTGTGGTGCCCAGAATTGGACACAATATTCCAGGTGTGGTCTAACCAAGGCAGAGTAGAGCATGGGGAGCATGACTTCCCTGGATATGACATCCTCTCAAATGTTTACAAATGGCTATCAAGTCCCCTTTCAATCTTTTCCAAGCTACACATACCCAGCTCTCTAAGCTGCTCTTCAGAGGGATTCATTGTTTCTAGATCTTCTAGAGCTTAGAATCATAGAATCATAGTGTTGGAAGAGACCTCTTGGGCCATCCAGTCCAACCCCATTCTGCCAAGAAGCAGGAATATTGCATTCAAATCACCCCTGACAGATGGCCATCCAGCCTCTATTTAAAAGCTTCCAAAGAAGGAGCCTCCACCACACTCCGGGGCAGAGAATTCCACTGCTGAACGGCTCTCTCTTTGTCCATTTTAGTTGCCCATTTCTGATTTTGTTTGTTGATATCCTTCTTAAATTGTGGTGCCCCAAACATTCCAGGTGAGTTCTAACCAAAGCGAAATAGTATGGGACTATGATTTCCCTCAATCTGTACATCTAGACCAGTGATTCTCAACCACTGGGTCCCCAGATGTTTTGGCCTTCAACTCCCAGAAATCCTGACAGCTGCTAAACTGGCTGGGATTTCTGGGAGTTGTAGACCAAAGCACTTGGGGACCCACAGGTTGAGAACCACTAATATTGACACTATTCTTCTTATTGCTGCAGCCAAGACTCCCATTAGGTTTTTTAGCTGCCTCATCACATTGTTGGCTCATGTTCAACTTGTGCAGTATCAAAAGACTCCTAGATTTGGTGTGCTGTATGTTTTTTGTGCTGTATGGCCATGTTCCAGAAGCATTCTCTCCTGACGTTTTGCCTGCATCTATGGCAGGCATCCTATCTATCTATCTATCTATCTATCTATCTATCTATCTATCTATCTATCTATCTATCTATATCTATGACTGGGTGGCTCTTTGTCAGGAGGGCTTTGATTACATTTTCTTGCCCTGGTAAAGGGAGTTGGACTGGATGGCCTTAAGTATTTTCTGATGGTCATGGGAGTTCTGTGTGGGAAGTTTGCCCCAATTCTGTCATTGGTGGGGTTCAGAATGCTCTGATTGTAGATGAACTATAAATCCCAGTAACTACAACTCCCAAAGGTCAAGGTCTATTTCCCCCAAACTCCATCTGTGTTTATTTGGGCATATTGAGTATTTGTGCTAAGTTTGGTCTAGATCCTTCATTGTTTGAGTCCACAGTGCTCTCTGGATGTAGGTGAACTACAACTCCCAAACTCAAGGTCAATGCCCACCAAACCCTTCCAGTATTTTCTGTTGGTCATGGGAGTCTGTGTGCCAAGTTTGATTCAATTCCATCGTTGATGGGGTTCAGAATGCTCTTTGATTGTAGGTGAACTATAAATCCCAGCAACTACAACTCCCAAATGACAAAATCATAATTTTTTGAGTGATGGTCACTCCTTGTGTTGTGAGACGTTTTGTTGCCAAATTTGGTGTGATTTCGTTCATTGGTTCTTTTGTTTTTAAGGTACTCATTACGCACAGAGCATTTTTATATAGATATAGATGGTTTCTTGCTCTGTTCAGTCCATTGGTCAATCATTGCAACCTTTCCCATCTGACCTCTCCCTGCAGTTGTTGAACCCACCTTGGGCAACACGAGAGCCTGGGCCAAGGATGTCCTCATTTGTTCACTTTCTGAATACCTCCTTTCTTGATTTCTGTGTGTAATACATATGCTTTATTTCTTCTTCTTGCATCACATCGTTTACATCAGAGCCAGCTCCAACATTAGGTAAAGTTTGCTCAACATTAGGTAAGGTTTGGTGGTCACCTCTGGAGCCAAGTGGTAGAAATAAGGTGTTGAGGGACAGAGCTGTGGCATTATTTGTTTCACAAATCCAGTAAAATGAATTTGACAGCTTAGGTATAGCATAGAAGGATTACCATGTAACCCTTTGCCTCTGTAAAAGTTTCACCCAATTTTATTGTTGGTGGGGTTCAGAATGCTCTTTGATTGTAGGCGAACTTTAAATCCCAGCAACTACAACTCTCAAATGTCAATGTCTATTTTCCCCAAACTCCACCAGTATTCACATTTGGACATATTTGGCACATTCATGCCATGTGCAGGTACAACTGTACCAGGAGCTCCAATTTTGTTTGCTTTGCATTGAATGTTTGTTGTAGTCCTAAGTTTCAGGGACTCTGCAGATAGGTGGCTTCTTTTGGCTGCAATCATAGGGCAAGCCACCTGTCAATTATAGTTAGGTTCCCTGGTCCCGCCCCCTTTTTGGGTTTTGGAGGGATTAAGAGCCATTTTGAGTCCTGTCTACACAGAGAAGCTTTTTGTGCAGGACATAATACCAAGAGCTCCTGTAGAAAGCTTCGTCTTCTACGGCTTGGCCGGGGAGATATCCAGCCCACAGCTTGGCCGGGGTTATACAGCCCTACAGCTCCTTTGCTGAAGGACTTCAGTCAGCCATCGCGGAAACCTGCATTCTTTTTCCCCTGGAAGTCTACAAAGCTCTGCCTGGTAAGGGTCTCTCACGGAAGCCAGAAACAGTTGGTACCGGGTGCAGGGGCTCCACGCCAACAGAGGCAAAGACAGACTGCCCAGATTAGAAGTTAAGGATTTCCCCATTAGTTAAGTTACAGTTAAGAAGATAGTGCCTGTTCCCTGTGGACAAGATTGAGAGAGAGCCAATAGACTGTTAAGAAAGCCTTAAAGTACCTGTTTGTTTTCATAAATAAAGAACTTTGTTGAACCTTTAAGCAATCTAGAGACTCTGTTTTAAGGAAATCCAAGGGCCTTTAATCTGAAGCAGCCCCGGCGTCCCGTTGGGCACACAGAATTTATGTCCTGTCTACATTCTGATGCACAGGCCCAGCGTGCGACAGCACATGCCAAGTTTGGTCCATATCCATCATCGTTTGAGTCCACAGTGCTCTCTGGCTGTAGGTGAACTACAACTCCAAAACACAAGGTCAATGCCCACCAAACCCTTCCAGTATTTTCTGTTGGTCCTGGAAGTTCTGTGTGCCAAGTTTGGTTCAATTCCATCATTGGTGGGATTCAGAGTGCTCTTTGATTGTAGGTGAACTATAAATCCCAGCAACTACAACTCCCAAATGACAAAATCAATCACCCCGCAACCCCACCAGTATTCAAATTTGGGTGTATTAGGTATTTGTGCCAAATTTGGTCCATCCTACATGTTGACATTATGATTCATAACAGCAGCAAAATTCCAGTTATGAAGTAGCAATGAAAATAATTTTGTGGTTGGGGGTCACCACAACATGAGGAACTGTATTAAGTGGTTATGGCATTAGGATGCTCTAGAGCAGGGGTCCTCAAACTAAGGCCCGAGGGTCAGATACGGCCCTCCAAGGTCATTTACGCAGCCCTTGCTCAGGGTCAACCTAAGTCTGAAATGACTTGAAGGCACACAACAACAACAACAACAACAACAACAACAACAATCCTATCTCACCAGCCAAAAGCAGGCCCACACTTCCCATTGAAATACTAATAAGTTCATATTTGTTAAAATTGTTCTTCATTTTAATTATTGTATTGTTTTTAAGTGTTTTTTTGCACTACAAATAAGATATGTGCAGTGTGCATAGGAATTCATTCATTTTTTTTCAAATTATAATCCGGCCCTCCAACAGTTTGAGGAACTGTGACCTGGCCCTCTGTTTAAAAAGTTTGGGGACCCCTGCTCTAAAGCATCCTGTGGGTTCTGTTAATATGGTTCAAATCCACATTAAGTAAATCCTAGCATCATAGAGTTATAAGAGACCACAATGCCCACCCAGTCCAACCTCTTGCCATGCAGGAAAAGCGCGATCTAAGCACTCCCAACAGATGGCCATCAACTTCTAATTAAAAACCTCCAGAGAAGGAAACTCCATCACAGGGTGTGATGGAGTTTCCTTCTCTGCACGTGTTCATGGGTTGTGCAACCACTGTAACATGGATTTGCCATTCCTTTACGGCATGCATCCTCAAACTGCGGCTCTCCAGCTGTTTGGGCCTCCAACTCCCAGAATGCCTGGCAATTGAGCAAGCTCATTAGGGCTTCTAGGTGTTGGAGGCCCAGACAGCTGGAGGGCTGCAGTTTGAGGATGCCTGCTTCACAGTGAAAATGCACCTTTAGTTACATTCTTGGGCATTACTGCAGCCTTGCCGCTTTCTCATCCCATTCCCAAATACCTGGGAGTCACTCTGGACCGTGCTCTGACCTACAAGAAGCACTGCCTGAATATCAAGCAAAAAGTGGGTGCTAGAAACAATATCATACGAAAGCTGACTGGCACAACCTGGGGATCACAACCAGACACAGTGAAGACATCTGCCCTTGCGCTATGCTACTCTGCTGCTGAGTATTCATGCCCAGTGTGGAACACATCTCACCACACTAAAACAGTGGATGTGGCTCTTAATGAGACATGCCGCAATATCACGGGGTGTCTGCGCCCTACACCACTGGAGAAATTACACTGGCATCCTATGCAGACCGGATTTCTCGGACTCGGGGTCCCCTCGACATTGAATCCATTAATCCATTCACAAGCCCATTGTTTCTTCCTCGTCCCACCTCCCTTCTCCTGATTCGCTAGAGCACTGAGGCGGTAGGAGCTCTCCCATTGGTTCCTGTGCAGCAGAGGAGCTCTGTGATTGGCCCTGACGCGGGGCGGGCGACCAAGCCTCCTCCCAGCTGTTATCACGTCAGCCAATCACCTGCGAGCCGGACGGAGGGCGGAGGGCGGGAATTTTGAAACTTCTAAACCTGTAAACCCTATAAAAATGTCTCTGATCTCTGTACTGGCATGTTTTGTAGGCAAATGATTGCTACATTGCATCCTTTTCAATTGAATCGCTAATAAAAACACCTCGGTGCTGCTTCTTCAACTTTGGTGAGATTTATTTGGATTTTTTAAGGAAATAAAAGTTGCTGAAATCAGGCTTCTCTTAGCTCGCCAAAGTAGCGATCCCTCTTTGGTGGGGTCTCAGGGTCCCTCCTCCTGGGGACGACCCTCCTAAAATTCCTATTGACTTCAAAACCACTGACCACCTGCTGCAATGCAACCTGAGCCCTGCCATATGCACAATGGAGGACTTTCTTGCAGCAACACCAGAGGCACTCCAAGTGGCCAGATACTGGTCAAAGGACATTACTAAGCTTGCAAACTCTGTTTTGTCTGTTTGTTAAAAATCTAATACAATTGTCTGTTTGCCCCGTCACAATAAATAAATAAATACCCCATTCCCATAATGTGGAATAACAACTAGTTCCCATCATAAAGTGCTTCCCGTAATGATTTTGCACAATTGCAAGGAGATCCGGACTCACCGCACAAGGTTGGCCCTGGGACTTTGGCTAATGATGGGCCTCAATCAGGGGCTAATGATGGGCTAATGGGAGAGATAGCGGCCTGGCAAAAGGCATCACACAAAATCTGATGATCTGCTGTCTCACAATTTATTTGTCGTGTCAGGGCAACCAGTCAATTATATTACATTTCTAACAGAACAAAGCAAACAAACAGACAAAATACAGAATTTGTGAGTTTGGTAGTTGATTAAATGTTCTTTGACCAGTATCTGGCCCCTTGGAGTGCCTCTGGTGTTGCCGCAAGAAGGTCCTCCATTGTGCATGTGGCAGGGCTCAGGGTGCATTGCAGCAGGTGGTCAGTGGTTTGCTCTTCTCCACACTCGCATGTCGAGGATTCCACTTTGTGGCCCCATTTCTCAAGGTTGGCTCTGCATCTCGTGGTGCCAGAGCGCAGTCTGTTCAGCGCCTTCCAAGTCGCCCAGTCCTCTGTGTGCCCAGGGGGAGTCTCTCATTTGGTATCAGCCATTGATTGAGGTTCTGGGTTTAAGCCTGCCACTTTTGGACTCTCACTTGCTGAGGTGTTCCAGCGAGTGTCTCTGTAGATCTTAGAAAACTATTTCTGATTTAAGTCGTTGACGTGCTGGCTGATACCCAAACAGGGTATGAGCTGGAGATGTCTCTGCCTTGGTCCTTTCACTATTGGCTGCTACTTCCCGGCGGATGTCAGGTGGTGCAATACCGGCTAAGCAGTGTAATTTCTCCAGTGGTGTAGGGCGCAGACACCCCGTGATAATGCGGCATGTCTCATTAAGAGCCACATCCACTGTTTTAGTGTGGTGAGATGTGTTCCACACTGGGCATGCGTACTCAGCAGCACAAGGGCAGATGTCTTCACTGTATCTGGTTGTGATCCCCAGGTTGTGCCAGTCAGCTTTTGTATGATGTTGTTTCTAGCATCCACTTTTTGCTTGATGTCTCGCAATAATCATCACGCAATATATTCCTTTGAGCGATAGTAACCTTGCTATGGGTTATTATGCTTTTCCCAGGCCCAACAGGGATGCACAAATACACACCTCGACTCCTGTTAAATCCCCAGGTCAATATGGCGTGGAGTGGAATGACTTGCTCAAAACACACTAGGAATTTCCCACTCGGTGTCTGATGCAATGGATAGAGATACAAGCCGATCAGCCTATTCTGTCCCCATTTGAAGGGTCAACCGTCCTGATTCGTTTTGTTTGAGAGCATTCCAACCTGTAAACAAAGTCACATTGCGAGCGGGCCATTTGCTGGGGTGTTCAAGAAGGAGGGATCCTATTTGCTGGGGAAAGAGGAGTGTCATTCACCCCTTGAGTGGAACGTATCCCAGCTGCATGCTCTCTGGATGATTATCGTTCCGGATAGGCTCATAAATTGCCACCGACAGAGCGGTCACTGCAAACCAGCCTTCTGAGCTTTGTACTCCAGGATCTGAGACAAAGGAAGCCTCATTCTGAAAACCATGGAAGAGTACTTTTCGGCCGTTCACAAGATGGAACAAACCGTCATGTTCCCCAGCCTTCTGCAAGGAGTCCCTTTGGAAGGCCAGGAGGACACATCCAATTCCAGCTCTGAAAAAAAAGACCTGTATGAATATTACATGCTGTTGAAATCCATCAAGCTGGTTGTGGAAAGAGGTCTGTTGCCCCGAAGCCACCCAACGTCCCACGTTAGAGAACAAGAGGTCAAGGAAGAGGAGGACTTGGAAGGCTTCTTCCATTACCACATCTCCAGTTTGTATCACGTCCTCACGCAGCTGACCAGGAGAGCCCATGCGGTGACCTCCAAATACAATGAAATCATGGGGCAGATTAACGGGAATGAAAAGAGGCCCAGCTTCTGAGGAAAGCGCAGCTTAAGTAACCAAAGGTAAGATGTCCTAGCAGCTCCAGGGATGAATGGGAAAGTATGTCCCATTCAATGTGTTGGAAATGAGGCAAGTGGAGTGTATACATACCTTTGGAATACTGTCCAGAGTGGAAGAAAGAACCCTTGTCTGTTTGAAGCAAGCATGAATGTTGCAATTAGCAAGCTTGATTAGCATTGAGTAACCCTGTGGTTACTCAATGCATCCTTGAAGTGACTGGACTGACCTTGAAGGAGCTGGGGGTGGTGACGGCCGACAGGGAGCTCTGGCGTGGGCTGGTCCATGAGGTCACGAAGAGTCGGAGATGACTGAACGAATGAACAACAACCCTGTGGTTGCAAAGTCAATCAGTGAGGTTATTTGTTGGCTGCTGCTACCTGGATGGCCAGAATTACTGGGTTAGTTTGAGTTTTTCGGGCTGTATGGACATGTTCCAGGAGCATTCTTTCCTGACATTTCACCTGCATCTGTGGCAAGCATCCTCAGAGGTTTATTTAGAGGTCTGCTGGAAATTTATTTATTTATTTTGTATCAAAAGCATTGCATAAATTAGTATAAAACCGATAAAAATAGAAGGAGCGCAGGCGGCTAAATATCTTTTGACCAAAAACAGGCAACAGCAATGGCATTGTCTGTAGCCTCCAACAATTCTTCCTCTGTACATGAGGCAGGACATAGTGGACAAGCATACAGATGCAGAGTTGACTGTTCTGCTCCACAGTCACACAAGGTGTGGGATTCTTTTGCTGGAAATGAGGCAAGTGGAGTGTGTGTGTGTATACACACACACAGAGAGAGAGAGAGAGAGACCCTGGTGATGCAGGGGGTTAAACCACTGAGCTGCTGAACTTGTTGACTGAAAGGTCAGCGGTTTGAATCCAGTGAGCAGGGTGAGCTTCTGCTGTTGGCCTCAGCTTCTGCCAACCTAACAGTTTGAAAACATGCAAATTTGAGTAGATCAATAGGTACCGCTCCAGCGGGAAGGTAATGGTGCTCCATGCAGTCATGCTGGCCACATGACCTTGGAAGTGTCTATGGACAACGCCGGCTCTTCGGCTTAGAAATGGAGATGAGAACCACTCCACAGAGTCAGACACGATTAGACTTAATGTCAAGGAGAAACCTTTACCAGATATAGATATAGATATATAGAATGTCCAGGGTGGGAGAAAGGATCCTTGTCTGTTTGAAGCAAGTATCAATGTTGCAATTAGCAAGCTTGGTTAAATGGCCATGTTCTGGAGGCAATTTTTCTCCTGACATTTCGCCTGCATCTATGGCAAGCATCCTCAGAGGTAGTGAGGTCTGTTGGAACTAGGAAAAACCTACAACAACCCAGTGATTCCAGCCATGAAAGCCTTCGACAATACAAGCTTGGTTAACATTGAGTAGCCTTGCAGTTGCAAAATCAATGCATAGATGTGTATGCATTTGTGTAAATGTGGTTTTGTGTATGTGCTGTTGCATCTTTTTTCTTTTTCTTTTTGCTTTTTAAGTCCCTTCTGTTGTGTTTTTCTGTGTTTTTATGAGTGATGTTCACTCGTTGGCCTGATAAGTGTCTTGTGTCCAAATTTGGTGTCAATTCGTCCAGTGGTTTTTGAGTTATGTTAATCCCACATACGAACATTACATTTTTATTTATATAGATTGAAAAAAAGTTTAATTATGTGCATGGACAAAAATATTCTGGTAGGAAATATATAGTAAAGGTAAAGGTTTTCCCCTGACATTAAATCTACTCGTGTCCAGCTCATCTCCATTTCTAAGCCGAAGAGCTGACGTTGTCCATAGACACCTCCAATGTCATGTGGCCAGCATGACTGCATGGAGCGCCATTTGAGTCGCCCTTGTGTGATGCTTTGAGTCGCCCAAGGGCTGAGAAAAGCGGCATATAAATGAAGTAAATAAATAAATAAATAAATAATGCCTTCCCACCGAAGCGGTACCTATTGATCTACTCACATTTACATATTTTTGAACTGCTAGGTTGGCAGAAGCTGGAGCTAACAGCAGGAGCTCACCCCACTCCCTCGAATTGAACCTGCGACCTTTTGGTCAACAAGTTCAGTAGCTCAGCAGTTTAACCCACTGTGCCACTGGGGGCTCTGGTGGAAATAGATATGTGTGTGTGTACACACATACACACACACACATACACACACATATATACAGGTAATATGTATATGCATTAAAATTGTCGATGTTTTTTTCAATTAATTCCCTAGGTCACCCCACCGCTATCACCAGGAGACTGCATGGCTGATATTGACATTCTGCTGGACTTTGCTCCAGAGGACTTGTTTTCGTGTGGCAACCGGTGTTCTGTTGTGATAATAGGAGGGGGAAAAAATACTTGACTCTTTTTCATCGGCTAATGACACCAATTAGCAAGAAAACCCAGGGTGATGCAAAAACCGGCAATGTTTATTTTATTATTTATAGGAAACTGTCTTTGATGCTGACACACTCACCGTTATTAAAATGCTAAATAAAAAGATGTGTTCCACGTATTCATTCATCTTGTTACTTGTCCTATAATATTATTTGGTAGTAGTCCGGCTAATATCTGAATAGGGAGGGCAAATAAGTTTTTTAAACTTTTAGAATGAGGTAAGAATTGTTTTCATGGGTTGTTGTGAGTTTTCCGGACTATAAGGCCAAGTTCCAGAAGCATTCTCTCCTGACTTTTCGTCTGCATCTATGGCAGGCATCCTCAGAGGTTGTGAGCTCAGTTGGAAACTAGGAAAATGGAGTTTGTATATCTGTGGAATAATGTCCAGGGTGGGAGAAAGAACTCTTGTCTGGTGGAGGTGGGTGTGAATGTAGCCTATACCATGCAGCTGTGGACAAGTCTACATAGGGATCACCAAATGCAGTGCCCAAACAATGTATTGTTCTTATTCAGTTCTTGTGGGGTTTTTTTCGGGCTATATGGCCATGTTCTAGAGGCATTTCTCCTGACGTTTCGCCTGCATCTATGGCAAGCATCCCAGAGGTGGGACAAAGAACTCTTGTCTGCTGGAGCTAGGTGTGAATGTTTCAACTGATTGATAGCCTGGCAGTGCCTAGGGCAATCTTTTGTTGAGAGGTGATTAGATGTCCCAGATTGTTCTTATTGTTATAACTGATTTTATTATTGGGTTGTTGTAGGTTTTTTCGGGCTATATGGTCACGTTCTAGAGGCATTCTCTCCTGACGTTTCACCTGCATCTATGGCAAGCATCCTAAGAGGTAGTGAGGTCTGTTGGAACTAGGAAAATGGTTTATATATCTGTGGAATGACCAGGGTGGGACAAAGGACTCTTGTCTGCTGGAGCTAGGTGTGAATGTTTCAACTGACCACCTTGATTAGCATTTGATGGCCTGGCAGTGCCTTGGGCAAACTTTTGTTGAGAGGTGACCCAGAGGAAAAGTGTTCTTGCTATACATCAGGGAACCACTGACCGCATAAGGAAGCTGATGAAGAAACACAACCTACAAACTATCTACAGACACACTAAGAAAATCCAACAAATGCTACGTTCAGCAAAGGACAAGAGGGATCCTCTCACCTCTGTAGGAGTCTACTAGATACCATGCAGCTGTGGACAAGTCTACATAGGGACCACCAAACGCAGCAGCATTGCCCAGACACGAATCAAGGAACATGAAAGGCACTGCAGACTACTTCAACCAGAGAAGTCAGTCATAGCAGAGCAACAGATGAACCAACCTGGATGCAGCATTTTATTTGAGAAACAGAAATGCTGGACCACTCCAACAACTACCATGTCAGATGACACAGAGAAGCCATTGAAATCCACAAGCATGTGGACAGTTTCAGAAGAAAGGAAAAAACCATGAATATGAACACAATCTGGCTACCAGTATTAAAAAAACTCTAAAATTATAACAGTAAATAAAGAACAAAACTCAAACACAGGGGAACTCCAAACAAGAAACAATCAGGAACAGCTAATCACCTCTCAACAAAGAATTAACCGCCTCGAGTCGCCTCTGGGTTGAGAGGGGTGGTATACAAATATAGTAAGTAAATAAATAAATCCCCCCAAGCAGTAACACGGCACACCTAAAAACTGTCAGGCCATCAAATGCTAATCAAGATGGCCAATTTAAACATTCACACCTAGCTCCAACAGACAAGAGTTCTTTCTCCCACCCTGGACATTATTCCACGGATATATAAACCCCATTTTCCTAGTTTCCAACAAAGGATTCCCCCAAGCAGTAATAGGGCATGCCTAAAATCTGTCAGGCCATCAAGTGCTAATCAAGGTGGCCAATGTAAACATTCACATCTAGCCCCAACAGACAATATTTCTTTCTCCCACCCTGGACATTATTCCACGGATATATAAACACCATTTTCCTAGTTTCCAACAGACCTCACAACCTCTAAGGATGTCTTCCATAGATGCAGGCGAAACGTCAGGAGAGAATGCTTCTGGAACATGGCCACACAAAAATAAACAAAATCTGGCTGCCAGTGTTAAAAAAACCCTCTAAAATCATAACAGTAAATAAAGAACAACACTAAAAAAAACTGGGGAATTCCAGACAAGAAACAACTAGGGCCAGCTATTTATTTATTATTTATTTACAACATTTATATGCTGCCCTTCTCACCCCGAAGGGGACTCAGAGCAGCTTACAAGATATATATACATAAAATATATTATGTTATTAGCACAGTACAATATCAGTATGAAATATAACTATATTGTATATTGTAATATTATTAGTAATATTATAGATTGTATAAATATATAATAATAATAATAATATATTATTATTATTATTAGTAGTAGTAGTAGTAGTATATTGTATTACATTATAATATCATGAATTATGGACATTTTTGGTTATTAAAATCTACAGTATTTACTAAGATCTTTTGTGGTTACTACCACTTTTAGAGGTCTGCTTGTAAATACTTCTGTGCATCTACCAATCTTGGTATTAAGTTACCAGAGGGGGCTGTGAGATTTCCAGTAACTAACCTACTCAGTAGTTACTCATCTCCCAACAAAGGATTCCCCAGGCAGTAAGAAGGCAGACCTTGAAAACTGCTAGGCCAGTCAATGCTAATCAAGGCAGTCAATTGCAACAGTCACACCCGCCTCCAACAGACAAGAGTTCTTTCTCCCACCCTGGACATCATTCCACAGATATATAAACCCAATTTTCCTAGTTTCCAACAGACCTCACAACCTCTGAGGATGCCTGCCATAGATGTGGGTTAAACATTAGGACAGAATACTTCCGGAACATGGCCATACAGCCTGGAAAACTCACAGCACCCTAGTGATTCCTGCCCTAAAAGCCTTCAACAACTTTTTCTTTTACTTTTAGTGTTATTTTTATGCCTCCCTATTATGACCACCAGCAGGGGGCAGCATTGCTTTCTGATTTTGTTAGAGAGGAGTCAGGCTGGACCTACACTGCCAAATATTATAATCCATTAATTCTGCAAGTGTAGTTGCAGCTAATGAAGAAAGGCAAGTGAAGAGGAGGAAGAGGAATTGTATTCTTCTTTGGAAACAAAATTAAATTACTGTGTTTTTCTTCCTTAATAGGCTTTATGTGCCGTCGCGCTTGGGGGCTATTAGTCTTAAAAGGAGGATGGACGTGGCATCTTTCCCCCAAGGGATTGCTTCTTGCCCTCCTTTAGGAAACTGGAACTCCCAAGAACCCAAAACGATGTAAATAACTCAAAATAAGTTTTATTTGTCACAAAGTCATTTCTTCAATGCAATAAACTGGAAAACTTTAGCAGGGTGAAGGAAAAACACACTTTACAGTCTCTATTAGTCCTGGGTCCAAGGGGTTTGAAGCTGAGAAGCCTCACCAGTTTTCCTCTTCCTCAATGGCTGACAATGCCGGAGCAAAACCACAGCCCCAGTTCAAATGGCCTATTTTGAAGATTCAGGATCTTCCTCTGGTGCCAAAAGAACTGGCTTGAAGGCGCCTGGGTCTCCTCAGTATCGTCCAGGATGATCTGGACATAAAGCATGAGTCCCAGGGGAAAAAACCTCAGAATTGGTGCTAAGAGGTGACTTAAAACAGGGTCCTTTAAGAATGAAGTCTCTTACTCACGTCCATGTTGCAGGAACTCTCATGGCAGAATGAAAAGAAAAGGAAGTTCTCCCCTCTTGCAGGAAGAGGTGGAGCCAAACAGTGCTGATTGACAGCTACAAGTAACCAATCCATACAAATATACAGAAACATGGCAAAAGGGGCAGGATTAAGCATGATACAACAGTTTAAATCTTACAACTAACAGTTCTATACATAGGTGGCACCACTCGCGCCGTCACACTTTATATTTTGAATTGGAAAATATCCTTCATTTGCTTTTACAGTCATTCCCCTCTGTCCCCTCTACAATCCCATTATATACAATTATGTAGTAAAATAGTCTCCCTCATACGAAAGAGCAAAATCAAGGCTTGCTATTTGGAATTTTTTGTGGAATTGTTTTCAAGCAATAGCTGGTTGAACCCATGGATACAGAACCTGTGGATACAAACCCGTGGATACGGAGGGTCATCCGAACCTATTGCTATAAGTTAATACAGGTTTCTCCTCATTCAGTGTACATCGATATCTACGGTGAAGAACTGATGCAGTTTGGCATCACTTTAGCTACCCCAGCTCAATGCTATGGAGTCATGGGAGTTGTAGTTTTGCAAGGTATTTAGCATTCTCTCCCAAAGAATGCTGGTCCCTCACCAAACTACAGCTCTCACAATTCCGTAGCACTAAGTTATGGTAGTCAAAGTAGTGTCAAATTCCATCGATTCTACAGTGTAGATCAGGCATGGGCAAACTTCAGCCCTCCAGGCAAAGGCGGCCCTAGGTAATTTTCAATGGTAAGCAAACAGTATTTTGGCGCCCCAACCAACCAATCACTGATATATATTTTCTGTTCGTTGTGGGAGTTCTGTGTGCCATATTTGGTTCAATTCCATCATTGGTGGAGTTCAGAATGCTCTTTGATTGTAGGTGATCTATACATCCCAGTAACTACAACTCACATATGTCAAGGTCTATTTTCCCCCAAAAGCGCCTCAAGAGTGCCCCTGGGCAAAATCAACTATACTGCAAATGCCTACTTTGTGTAATGGGTTGAGCTGCCCCTGCCTCCAGGTATATGGGACCTCAACTCCCATAATTTCTAATAGCCAGTAGGCTGTTAGGAATTGTGGGAGTTGAAGTCCAAAACTGCTTTTTCCTCTCCTTTGCTTCAGTTCCCCCTATTCACAGATTTTCCCAATAGCGTAGACACCTTCCTTTGTATTAGTTTTGGGTGGAGCATAACACCCCCCAGAAGCCAGCCTTAGTTGGTCTATTCCACTTCCCTGTATAGAGCTCTCTTGCTGGACTCCTCCCTTTTCTACAGTCACTAGAGACTTGGGGCATTGTCTCATAATCCTAGGCCAAGCAATCCAAAAACAGACAGTCTTAGCACCTGCATTTGGCTGTCAGCTCACCGTAGCTGCTCCCAAATCTGGGTCCTGACATTTAGCAGTATTTTTACACCATCGGTCCAAAGGACAACACAAGCTTTTGGCCAGCCTAAGTTTCACAAGGAAGAAGATTGAGACAGTGTATAACCATCACTTTGCACCAGAGGCAAGAGACTTTCAAAGATTCCAGAAAGATGACTGCAACCAGAAAAATCTCCTTTTGTAATGTATTGTTTTATGTTACCTTATGCTAGTCCTGGGTGGAGTTAACCCTTTATTCATCTAGTTTCAGTAAACTCATTTGGTTATCTTTTCACCTTGCCTAAAGTGCCTGTGTCTGCTAAGGGTGTTCTGGTGCGGCTGTACCAGGAGCTCCTACTTTATTTGCTTCGTATTAAATGTTTGTTTGCAGTCCTAGGTTTCAGGGACTCTGCAGATAGGTGGCTTCCTTTGGTTGCAGTCATAGGGCAAGTCACCTGTCCATCATTGTTAAGTTTGGTCTCGCCACTTGCTCAGGGCAATTGGGAAGGGAAGGGAGCCATTTTTAGTTAGTCACAGCAAGGAAAGCTAATGTACAGGACATGTGCAAGCTTCCCCTGTACAAAAGCTTCAACACTTAAGACTCTCTGGGGGGAAACAGTCTTAAGAGTATCCAAAGATTTCCAGGGAAACAGCCCTAAAGACCAAGGAACTCCAGCTGGAAAACATCTAAGCCTTTACTGGTAGGTCCACTCGGCGTTCGAGAAGCTGTTCGACCCGGTAGCGGAGCCCACATCAGTAAGGTTACAGTCAGCCTGGGAGAAGTTAAAAAGGGGATTTTCCTTTAAAGTAAAGAAGAAGTTATTGAAGACAGTTGCCTGTCCTTCATGGGCAAGATTAGGAATCCACCAGTTGCATAAAGCCTGGAAGCATTTGTTTAGCTTTATTGAAGACAAGAGAAGTTTCTGTTTGATTGTTCATTAATAAAAGACTTTGTTATACTTCACAAGCCATCTAAAGATCATTTATAGTGGAAAACCTCAGAGAACTTCTCTTTGGGCCCCCTGGCTTCCCGCTGGGCAAAGGTTGCACGTCCTGTTCTAAAGGAAATTCTTTACAGGCCCAGCACGCGACAGAACAAAGGGTCTTAATCTTAACAGAAGGTATCAGATAGCCACCGAGTAAAGCCAGACAATATAGTTTTCCCAAAGGCTCAGACATGTCATCACACCTGATGTAGATGCACGCATAGACTATATTGAGAGGTGTCATTGAGATTACCGCTTGATAATAAGTTTGTTAAAAGAAAGGTAAAGGTTTCCCTTTGACATTAAGTCCAGTCGTGTCCGACTCTGGGAGGTGATGCTCATCTCCATTTCTAAGCTGAAGAGCTGGCATTGTCCGTAGACACCTCCAAGGTCATGTGGCCAGCATGACTCCATGAAAGGCCGTTACCTTCCCTCCGAAGCGGTACCTATTGATCTACGTACTCACATGTTTTTGAACTGTTAGGTTGGCAGATGCTGGGCCTAACAGCAGGAGCTCACCCCACTCCCTGGATTTAAATAGCTGACCTTTCGGTCAGCAAGTTCAGCAGCTCAGTGGTTTAACCCACTGCACCACCCTTGTGGCGAACTTCCATTTATAGTCTCATAAGACAAATTGTCTAATAGAACATAGATTTATTTCAACGTTTTTAGCCATTAAAGCCTGCAGAATATTGACCTATTGATCTACCTATTGATCTACTCACATTTGCATGTTTTTCAACAGCTAGGTTGGCAGATGCTGGGGCTAACAGTGGGAGCTTACCCCATTCCCCCGATTTGAACCGCTGACCATTCAATCAGGAGGTTCAGCAGCTCAGTGGTTTAACCCACTGTGCCACCAGGGGGCCCAAGTTTGTTTACAGGTCCATAGCCACCTTTCTGATTGACAGGTATGGCACATTTTCCCCTTGGCTCTGGAACAAGGTTCGCTACTGAGATTTTTCTATGGCAATAAAAAGTCAGGAATCCAGGGTGTTTCCTTCCATTATGGAAAGGAGTGGTATCAGATTCATAGAGAGGTGACCAGCCTTGACAAACAAAGCTTCGGAATGTGTTCCAAAAGTACTCCACCTTGGTTATCACCTTTGGATGCGTCATGGGCCAGCCATTTCTATTGTCCTCCTAGTGTGCATCTACACTGTAGAATTAAATCAGTTTGACACCATTCGAACTCTCAGGGCTCACTGCTATGGCATCCTGAGAGTTTTAGTTTTGTGTGACAGCAGCACTTTGCCAGAGATGGCTGAAGACCTTGTTGAACTACAATTCCCAATACTGTCTTGATGGTAAGAACTTTTTTGACAATGGAATATGTTTCCTTGGGAGTCTGGTGGGGTCTTCCTCTCTGGAAGTTTTGAAACAGAGGCTGGGGGACATGTGAAAAAGAAATCCTCGTGGACAACAAGTTAAACATGAGCCAACAATGTGTTGCTGCAGCTAAAAAAGCCAATGGGATTTTGGCCTGCACCAATAGGAGTCTGGTGTCTCGATCTAGGGAGGTCATGCTCCCCATGCTCTATTCTGCCTTGGTTAGACCACACCTGGAATATTGTGTCCAATTCTGGGCACCACAATTCAAGAGAGATATTGACAAGCTGGAATGTGTCCAGAGGAGGGCGACTAAAATGATCAAGGGTCTGGAGAACAAGCCGTATGAGGAGTGGCTTAAAGAGTTGGTATGTTTAGCCTGAAGAAGAGAAGGCTGAGAGGAGACATGATGAGGGCCATATATAAACAATGGCTTCAAACTGCAGGAAAGGAGATTCTACCTGAACATTAAGAAGAACTTTCTGACTGTGAGAGCTGTTCAGCAATGGAACTCTGTCCCAAAGTGTAGTGGAGGCTTTGTCTATGAAGGCTTCTAAACAGAGGCTGGATGGACACAATACGCTTATTAGGCCAACAAGTGACCATCACTCATTAAAACATTGAAAAACACAGCAAAAGAGACTTTTAAAGCCAAAAAACAAAAAAATACATTACAACTCATGCCCAAAACCACATATATACACAAACACACATATATACACATATCCACAAATATAAACACACATATATGCACACACAAAACACATATACACAGAAAGGGGGAAGGAAGGAAGGAAGGAAGGAAGGAAGGAAGGAAGGAAGGAAGGAAGGAAGGAAGGAAGGAAGGAGAGGAGGGAGAGAAAGAGTGAAAGAAGGAGGGAAAGAGAGAAGAAAGGAAAGAGAGAAAGGTAGAGAAGGAAGGAAGGGCAAAAGTAAATAAAAAGTGAAAGAAGGAAGGAAAGAGAGAGGGAAGGAAGGAGAGAAGGAACGAAAGAGAGGAAGAAAGAGGGAAGGAAGGAAAGAGACAAGGAAGGATGGAACCAAAGAGGAAAGTAAGCGAAGAAAGAAACAGAGGAGGAAGAAAGAAGAAGGAAAAGAGGGAAGGGTAAGTAAGAAAGAAAGAAAGAAAGAAAGAAAGAAAGAAAGAAAGAAAGAAAGAAAGAAAGAAAGGAGAGAAAGAGGGAGGGAAGGTTGGCCACAGCAATGCGTGGTGGGTACAGCTAGTAGGTATAATATAAAAATACTCAGCCACGCCACGCTACGCATTAATCAGTGTTTGCCACATATTAATGGGTGGCAGCGGTGGGATAATCAAATAAAAGTCCCCCCTGCCTGAAGATTGATGCCTGGATTTCCTGGGTTGTCCGCTTCATCAGTTAAAGCAGCATCAAACTGCTATATAGTACGGATACACCCTTGGGCCATGCCTGGGATAATCCCTTCTGCTCCATAATTCCACTAAATTGCGACCTTTCCCCCCAAGTAAACATACTGTTTCTTTAAAATAAAAGGACAGAAGTCAGGCTGGGTATTAAGCCCTGGAATGAGGGTGTAACCGGTTCAGCAAATGACACTCACACACACAAAGGTGGTGCTTTAGGCGATGCCAACCGAGTTGTGTGTCTTCGGAGGGGTCGAGAATGGGAGGAACTGATTTCTTGACCTGGCTATTAGTCACAGCTGACTAATGTGTGTGTTTGTGTGTCAGGAGGGTGGGATAGAAGGAGCAGTGAGAATGCTGGACGGCTACTTTCCCTCCTGGCGCATGAATGCCTTCGCTCTCCAAAAAGGCTCATTGCCAGAAGAGTGACAAATACTTCCGCCTGCAGACTATCCAATGCACTTGTAACCTGTGGCTGCAGAGTGGCAGCGGGACAGACACCACTGCAAGTGTATGAGTTACTACCAGCTTCTGATAGAGAGAGATTACAGAGAGAGAAACAAGAAATAAGTCTCTGCACCTGTGGATTTCTCTGGCCGTCTTCCTGGAGGGACAGAAGGAAGGATGAGCATTTCCTCGGAACCCAAATCCTTCCCAAAACAAAACGTAAACAGTCTCCAAACGGTGAGTGAGAAAAGACAAGGGTTTAGAAGAGAGTTAAATTGCACCCCTAAATATGATACCCCACATAAGAAAGTTCCTTCCATTCCCAAACTTGTAGCATTGCAAAGAGTGAGACACTACAACAGTGCTTCTCAACATTCCTAATGCCGTGACCCCTTAATACAGTTCCTCATGTTGTGGTGACCCCCAACCATAAAATTATTTCCGTTGCTACTTCGTAACTGTAATTTTGCTACTGTTATGAATCGTAATGTCAGTATCTGATGTGCAGGATGTATTTTCATTCACTGGACAAAATTTGGCACAAATATCCGATATGCCCAAATTTGGGGGGAGGAGCTGTAGTTGCTGGGATTTATAGTTTGCCTACAACCAAAAAAGCATTCTGAACTCCACCAATGATGGAATTGGACCAGACTTGGCACACAGAACTCCCATGACCAATGGAATATAGAGCACTGTGGACACAAACAATGATGGATACGGACCAAATTTGGCATAAATACTCAATATGCTCAAATGGGAACACTGGTGGAGTTTAGGGAAAATAGACCTTGACATTTGGGAGTTGTCGTTGCTGGGATTTATAGTTCACCTACAATCAAAAAAGCATTCTGAACTCCACCAATGATGGAATTAAACCAAACTTGGCACACAGAACTTCCACAATGAACAGAAAATACTGGAAGGGTTTGGTGGGCATTGACCTTGAATTTTGGAGTTGTAGTTCACCTACAGCCAGAGAGCACTGTGGACTAAAAGAATGATGGATCTGGACCAAACTTGGCATGGATGCTCAATATGCCCAAATGTGAACACTGGTGGAGTTTGGGGAAAATAGACCTTGACATTTGGGAGTTGTTGTTGCTGGGATTTATAGTTCATCTACAATCAAAGAACATTTTGAACCCCACCAAAGATAGAATTTGATCAGATTCTCATACAGAACCCCTATGACCAACAGAAAATACTATGTTTTCTGATTGTCTTTGGTGACCCATCTGACATCCCCTTGTGATCCCCCAGATGTAAATGTAATGATGGCATTAATAGAGTAAAATAATAAATGTAATAATTATAGGATAAAATAATGTAAATGTAATAATAATAAATAGAGTAAAATAATAAATGTAACAATAATGGCATAAAATAATGTAAATGTAATAATAATAATAAATAGAGTAAAATAATAAATGTAATAATAATAGGATAAAATAATGTAAGTGTAATAATAATAATAGGATAAAATAATGTAAATGTAATAATAATAAATAGAGTAAAATAATAAATGTAGTAATAATAATAGGATAAAATAATGTAAACATAATAATAATAAATAGAGTAAAATAATGTAAATGTAATAATAACAATAATAGAGTAAAATAATAAATGTAATAATAATAATAATAACAACAGGATAAAATAATGTAAATGTAATAATAATAATAATAATAATAATAATAATAATAGCAGACTAAAATAATAAATAACTTTGACTCGAGTATAAGACGAGGGGGGCTTTTTCAGCCTTAAAAAGGGCTGAAAAACTCAGCTTACTCTCAAGTATCTACAGTGTATATTCTATGTGTATATAATGAACAACATTTGGGCGGGTGCCATAATCAATAATATGTACATATCATGACATGCCAACACCTGTAATATAAACAGAGATTCCTCACCTTATCCAGGTTAATCTCTCTCCTCCCCCTCTCTTTTCCTGGCTTTGTTGTGAGACATTTTGATCCTGGAGAGAAAACAATCCACCAGTCTTCCAGTGACAAAACAGTAAATTAAATCAGTGGCAAAGGAATCTGTCAAAGTAGCTATTTTTTTTTCCATGTCCGGAACAACTTTAGAAACTGCAAGTTGCTTCTGGTGTGAGATAATTGGCCGTCTGCAAGGACGTTGCCCAGGGGATGCCCAGATGCTTGATGCTTTCCTTTTTTGTAGGAGGCTTCTTTCATGTCCCCGCATGGGAAGCTAGAGCTGACAGAAGGGAGCTCACCCTGCTGCCCAGATTCAAACCACTGACCTTCAGGTCAGGATGGGTTTAACCCATTGCACCACCAGGGGCTACCAGAGTAGCTATAACATGAAAGGAACAGACATAGGACAGGTGACACTGGGCATGAGGTCCTCCTGGTTGATCGTAAACCTGACTGGGGTATAGGGTGACAACCTGTGCTGGACGGGGTTACACTCCCCCTGAAACCACAGGCCCGCAGTTTGGGAGTCCTCTTGGATTCATCGCTTACGCTTGAGGCTCAGGCGTCGGTGGTGTCCGGGAGGGCTTTCACACAATTGAGACTCGTGCGCTAACTGCGACTGTACCTCGCGAAGGCTGATCTGGCCGGGGTGGTCCATGCCTTGGTCACCTCTAGATTGGACTACTGTAATGCGCTCTACGTGGGGCTGCCCTTGAAAACAGCTCGGAAATTTCAACTGGTCCAACGGGCAGCGGCCAGGATGTTAAATGGTGCTCCTTACAGAGAGAGGTCAACCCTTCTGTTCAAGGAGCTCCACTGGCTGCCGTTTATTCTCCGAGCCCAGTTTAAGGTGCAGGTGCTTACCTACAAAGGCCTGAACGGTTTGGGACCATCCTACCTGCGTGACCGCATCTCCATTTACGAACCCACTTCGTTCATCCGGAGAGGCCCTGCTCGTGATTCCGCCTGCGTCGCAAGCGCGTTTGGTGGGGACACGAGACAGGGCCTTTTCTGTGGTGGCCCCCCGACTCTGGAACACCCTCCCCAAAGATCTTAGACAGGCCCCTACTTTGGCAGTCTTTAGAAAGAACTTGAAGACCTGGCTGTTCCAATGTGCCTTCCCAGAATAGGAAATCTCCAATACCAAGTCCCAGAAGCACTTTATTATGTTTGATGTTTTATATCACTTTAATTGTTTTTAATTTGCTTTAGGTTTTGATTTGTTATGTTGTGTATTGTGGCCTTGGCCTTTGTAAGCCGCATCGAGTCCTTCGGGAGATGCTAGAGGGGTACAAATAAAGTTAATAATAATAATGACAACATGTGAAAGGCATCTAGGGGTCTTTGCAAACCACAAGTTGAATATACCAATGTTCACTGCTGCGCACTACTATTCCTCTCCATATTTAAATCTAATCTATGTTATTCCCTCCTTCTTTTCATTTTGTCAGCAAATTGTAGAGCTGAATGTCGGCGGGGAGATCTTCACGACCACCTTGAGCACCTTGAAGAAACATCCTGGCTCCAAACTGGCTGAGATGTTTGTGGGCGGCCAGTCCAAACTTCGCACTGACTCCAAAGGGAGATACTTCATCGACCGTCCTGGCACTTATTTCAAATACATCTTGGAATATTTACGGAGCAACCAGGTTCCCAATCAATGCGTCCAAGAGGTCTACAAGGAAGCCCTCTTCTACGACATCGAGCCGTTGATCAAGCAGCTGGAGGATTCCCCTCCGATCTTCGGGGAGCTGGTGGCCAGGAAACAGTTCCTCGCCCGGGTTCCCAGCTACACTGAGAACATTGAGCTGATGATCCGCATCGCCCGGGCCGAAGCAGTGGCCGCCCGCCAATCCAACGTCATGGTCTGTGCGGTGAAGACGGAGGAGGACCTCGCCCGGTGCCAAGACACCTTCAACAGTTTGGACACGTATAAGAAATCCGTGGTCAGGTTTGGTCCCTGGAATGCCTCACCCAGCATCTCCGATCTGCTGGACTGCATCAAAATGGACATAGAAGCCAAAGGTTACCAGATCACTTTCCAAGCCTATACTATGGAGAAGGGCTTCCGCTTCAGATCCAGTGACTTTTTCTACAAGTTTGCCTTCACTTGGTGGTAGCAGAAAAGCCAATACAGTCAGTCCTCCGTATTCATTGAGATTAGAGATCTCTATCGGTGCATGTACATTGTCGAATTAATGCAGTTTGACACCACTTTGACTGTCATGGCTCATTGCAATTAAATTATGGCACTGTTCTGTCTCCCAGGAGCCTGGTTTGCTTTACCTTACAGTTGCTTGAAGTTGCTACCCCTTGCATTTTTCCCAGGGATGCTGCAGCTCTGCAGAGCCCTGAAAGTTAACAGTTTCAGAGGCTGGAAAGCCAGTCTGTAGGCCTTTTGCAGCTATTGGCTTAGAACAGTGGTTCTCAACCTGGGATCCCCAGATGTTTTTGGCCTACAATTCCCAAAAATCCTAACACTTGGTAAACTGGCTGAGATTTCTGAGAGTTGTAGGCCAAAAACATCTGGGGACCCCAGGTTGAGAACCACTGGCTTAGAAGGTATCTTTTTGGGTTTTGAGACCGCCCTTTCTCCCAGGGAAGAGATCTCCATTTTGGAATCTCCCCTGCCTCGTTAGTTAGAGAAGGAACTTCAAATGTGCTGGTGGTTAGTCAGGATAGCTCTGGGAGAATAATTGTAAGTACTATTAAGACTATTGAAGGTTGAGATATTATAGATAGATATTGAGAAACAGATATAGATTGAGATACTATAAATAAATATGGAGTAAGATTGAGTCATAGATAGATAAATTTAGTATTGAGATATTAAGCATTACTTAATATCCAAAGCTATAAATAGGGGGAAAAAACTGCTTTTTTTCTGAACCATAGCAGCTCAGGGTTAGGGTGAAAGATTCCAGAATCTTATCTGCCATTTTGGGGAAAGGTTGCCTTAGTAACTCGAGGAAAGGAAAGAAAGATCATCTCTATTGCTTCACCAATTGACTGTCCTGTTTGTAACCTTGATGAACTGTGCCAAGTCTGCAAGGACTTTGAAGAATAAATATTCCTTTTTTGATGTTCAAAAGCCTTTAATAGTCTCAGTTGCTGAATATCTCAAACTTCTAAAGAAAGACACTTGCAGATCACTCGGACATAGAGAGCAGCACATCTTAGTTTATTTTTATAATGTCTGGGTGTAACAGCACAGGCACTAATAGTTCGGTGAGGCACCAGCACTCTTTGGCAGAGAAGGCTAATAAAGACCTTGTGAAACTACAACTTCCATAGCATTTAGACATGGAACTTAAAGTGGTGTCAACCTGCATTAATTCTACAATGTAGATACACCCTAGATCCTCTAATGCAACTTTTGGCAAATATTGACCATAGAGTCACATTGTCGGACCCGGAGACATTAATCGCCTTTGTAGTTTAATCAGTTCAGCATCCATATGTTGTTGGACTGCAACTCCCAGCCTTCATCAACTTGCTTCCTAGGGCTGCTGGGAGTTCCAATCCAATAATATATGGAAAGCTATAAGATTCTTACCAGTGTGGTGTAGTGGTTTCAGTGTTGTATCTGCACACTGGAGTTCAGGGTTCAAATCCCCACTTGGCCATGGAAACCGACTTGGGCAAGTCACACTCTCTCAGCCTCAGAGGAAGGCAAAAACAAACCTCCTCTAAACATATCTTGCCAAGGAAGTCTCATGATCGGTTTGCCTTAGGTTCTCCATAAGTTCGAGAGACACAACAACCTACTGCAAGATTATGGACGCTTCCTCTCCTGCAGATGGTTTAGACTACAACTCCCATTAACTCCACTTAACATGACCAGTGATAAGGGATTGTGAGAGTTGTAGTACAAAATAGCAAAGTGACCGAAGCTTCGCTTGCTCTGCCTCACTAGATACTGATTTTACAGATGCTGTCTACACCAGGTCACACCCAACCTCTTACAACCCTTTCTGCTTATCTTTGCAGCGTGGGAACAGTCATATTAACTCCAAGCTCTGGCATTTTTACGGATTGAGCCTTGACCATGCATTCCTAGACTTATACAGTACATCTAATACTCAGTTCAGTCTCTCCTGGGAGTTAAGGTGCATCTATACTGTCATATCAATACAGTTTGACAGCACTTTAAAATGCCATGGTTCAATGTCATGGAGTCATAGGAACTGGAGTCTGATAAGGTCCAATACTGTATAGCACAATAAAACATAGCATCGAGCCATGGCAGTTAAAGTGGCGTCAAACTGCATTTATTTTGCAGTGTAGATGCACTCTTGCAATCTCCAGACTTATTATATATATACTAAAATATAATAATAATAATAATAATAATAATAATAATAATAATCTATATAAATAAAAATGTAATGTTTGTTTGTGGGATTAACATAACTCAAAAACCACTGGATGAATTGCTGCCAAATTTGGCCACAAGACACCTACTAACACAAGGAGTGACCACCACTCAAAAATGATTTTGTAGTTGCTGGGATTTATAGTTCACCTACAATACAAGAGCATTCTGAACTCCACCAGTGATGGAATTGAAACAGATGTGACATACAGGACTCCAATGACCAACAGGAAACACTAGAAGGGTTTGGTGGGCATTCACCTTGAGTTTGGGAGTTGTAGTTCACCTACATCCAGAGAGCACTGTGGACTCAAACAATGAAGGATCTAGACCAAACTTAGCACAAATACTCAATATGCCCAAATGTGAACACTGGTGGAGTTTGGGGGAAATTGACCTTGACATTTGGGAGTTGTAGTTACTGGGATTTATAGTTCACCTACAATCAAAGAGCATTCTGAACCTCACAAACGACAGAATTGGGGCAAACCTCCCACACAGAACCAAAAGAAGTTGACCTTCCAGTCCAACTCCCATCACCAGGGCAAGAAAACATAATCAAAGCCCTCCTGACAAAGAGCCATTCAGCCATAGATATATATATGATTCCCACACAGAGAGATATAGTATCACAGATTTGAAAGGGACCCGTAAGGACAATTATATTTTGCATGTTCCAGAGTAGGCAAACCAGACACTCTCCACATCAACACTGACAAAGAAACAGTAAGAAATACTGTTTACCCACAAGCAAAAAGAAATTACATATATTAAAAACCAGCACTTTCTCATTACTTTATTTTCCAGATCATCACACTGGGCCACAGCAACATATGGCAGGGGATGGCTAGTAATAATAATAAAACTTTATTTATATTCCACTTTATCTCTCCAAAGGGACTCAAGGCGGATTCCAAACATAAAAGACAAACATTCAATGCCCAAATACAACAACAATACATCCATGCTAACAAAATTTATAGAACCCCACATATAAATACGAATTATAACTTCACAAACTCAAATTAAATAAAAAGCACAGCCTGTTATAACAGACATAAGACAAAACGTCAGAGCAGCTGTGTGTTTATTATTCTTGTTCTTCGGGGCTATTTGAACAAATCACATGCCTCGGGTGAGCTAATGTTTACTTTCAAGCCACACCATGACTATTGTCTTCCATTGAAGTGTCTCATATCTGTTATACTGACTTTTGAAATCTCCAGTTACAAATAATACACAAAATTATTCACTATCCAGTTATTCATTTATTTTATTTATCGTGTCAGGAGCAAACCAAACAGTTGTATTGCATTTTTAACAAACAAACAAACAAACAAAACACAAAGTTTGCAAGCTTGGTAGTTCATTAAATGTCCTTTGACGATTATTTGGCCACTTGGAGTGCCTCTGGTGTTGCCGCAAGAAGGTCCTCCATTGTGCATGTGGCAGGGCTCAGGTTGCATTGCAGCAGGTGGTCTGTGGTTTGCTCTTCTCCGCACTCGCATGTCATGGACTCCACTTTGTGGCCCCATTTCTTAAGGTTGGCTCTGCATCTCGTGGTACCAGAGCGCAGCCTTTTCAGCGCCTTCCAAGTTGCCCAGTTTTCTGTGTGCCCCGGAGGGAGTCTCTCATTTGGTATCAGCCATTGATTGAGGTTCTGGGTTTGAGCCTGCCACTTTTGAACTCTCGCTTGCTGGGGTGTTCCTTCGAGTGTCTCTGTAGATCTTAGAAAACTATTTCTTGACGTGCTGGCTGATACCCAAACAGGGGGCGGGTCAGAGATGACACTGCCTTGGTCCTTTCACTATTGGCTGCTACTTCCCGGCGGATGTCAGGTGGTGCAATACCGGCTAAACAGTGTAATTTCTCCAGTGGTGTAGTTATATATTATCATTTTAGCATCCCAAAATGTGGTTTAATTTCCTCTAAGGACCACTTTATCCCCATATCTTGTTTCCATTCTCATATTTCAATGATGGAAGCATGTTACTGAGCTTGGGCCTCTGGGGACCCAAGGTTTGTATTTGGGGTTATGAAGAAAAATGTCCAGCTAAGCTTAAACTTTGACCAGGTTGCCTTTGCCCACTTCTCTGGGACCCATCTATATTGCATAATGCCAAGTTTTCCACTATGTTTGTGGTTCTTTTAAAATTTCTCAATTTGCTTCTGACATCTGTATAAATAAAAATGTAATGTTCATTTGTGGGATTAACAGAACTCAAAAACCACTGGACGAATTGACACCAAATTTACACAAGACACCTAACAACCCAATGTATGTCTTTCACTCAAAAAAATTGATTTTGTCATTTGGGAGTTGTAGTTGCTGGGATTTATCGTTCACCTACAATCAAAGAGCATTCTGAACCCCATCAGCGATGGAATTGAGTCAAACCTGGCATACAGTTCTCCCATGACCAACAGAAAATACTGGAAGAGTTTGGTGGGCAATGTCCTTTGGTTTTCGATTTGTAGTTCACCTACATCCAGAGAGCACTGTGGACTCAAACAATGATGGATCTGGACCAAACTCTACACGAATACTCAATATGCCCAAATGTGAATACTGGTGGAGTTTGGGGGAAATAGAATCTTGACATTTGGGAGTTGTAGTTGCTGGGATTTGTAGTTCACCTCCAATCACAGAGCATTCTGAACCCCACCAACGATAGAATTCGGCCAAACCTCCCACACAGAACCCCCATGACCACCAGAGTGGGCCACAGCAACGCGTGGCAGGGGACAGCTAGTGATAAATAAAAATCTACATTGCCATATAATGCACTTTCAGGATGCAGTTTAACTGCATCGAACTGGATTATATGAGTCCAAAATTGCAAAATAATGCAATATAGCACATGTAATGGAGCCTCACCACCAATAGGAGAACTAGGGTTCTTAATAACTACTTCTATCCAGACTATCCCTGGCTGGCAAGTCCAACGGTGCATCTACACATGTCGAATGAATGCAGTTTCATACCATTTTAGCTTCCACAGTGCAAAGCTAAAGCATTAGTACTCTTGGACCTTGGAAAACTACAACTACCAACAGTATAGACAAAAGACACATACACAGAAGAAGAGCCTATTGTATTATTTTGTTATTGTTTGCATTTTATTTGATGTTATTATCTGTTGTATGTATTTCATTTTGCTTTATTGTAATTGTTGGGCTTGGCCTCATGTTAGCTGTCCCGAGTTCCCATCGGGGAGATGGTGGCGGGGTATAAATAAAGATTATTATTATTATTATTATTATTAGCCAGCATGGACTACGGTTCTGAAGACCCGGGTTTGAATCCCTGTTTAGCCATGGAAACCCATTGGGTAACCAAGTTACACTCTCTCAGCCTCAGAGGAAGTCAATGGCAAACCTCCTCTGAACGTATTTTACATTACATGAAGCAGAAACTACTTCACTTTTGGATTGCCACTTCCAAAATAGCTGGCTTGGGGATTCTGGGACTGGTGATCCAAAAAACAAAGGATGTATGGTGTCCTTGAAGTGACTGGCTTCACTCTGAAGGAGCTGGGGGTGGCCACGGCCAACAGGAAGCTCTGGTGTGGGCTGGTCCATGAGGTCATGAAGAGTTGGAAGCGACTGAACAAATAAACAACAACAAAATTAAATGTTAATAAAGGTGGTCAATGGAAACATTCACACCTACCTCCAACAGACAAGAGTTCTTTCTCCCACCCTGATATATAAACCCAATTTTCCTAGTTTCCAACAGACCTCACAACCTCTGAGGATGCCTGCCACAGATACAGGCGAAATGTCAGGAGAGAATGCTTCTGGAACGTGGCCACACAGCCCGAAAAACTTACAGTAACCCAGTGATTCTGGCTATGAAAGCCTTCAACAACACAATAATAATAATTAAAAAATTCACAAAAATGGGACTTGAAAGTGTGCATCTACACTGCAGAATTCATTCACATTGATGCCACTTTAACTGCCATGGCTCAATATTGTGGAGTCTTGGGATTTGTAGTTTGGTGAGTCCCCCTCGATGTACTGTCACCTTGTCGTGGTGAGGGGGCTTGCGCGTTCCGATGAACCTGTAGGCACAACAACTGGAGTCGTGCACTCCCAGGAGTGGCCGCGGGGGAGGTTCCAGACCAAGCACAGTCCGAAGACCCAAAGACCTCAACGGCGGAGCAGGCGGAGGATAACATGGCACATGTTACAACGGCTGCGAAGGCGGAAGAAGGCTGCAACAGACTGAGAAGCCACGGTCATTGTGTTAAACTACATCACCAGTGGAACCTCACTCTGTGAAGACTGTGTGTTGATCAGTTGTGCACTGACCTCCACACATTAAAAAAACCACGCACAGGCGTCTTCCAAAGAAAATAAAAACAAACCAACCAAAGTCCCATGGCGATCAGCGAGTGGCGACGGGGGCAGGACTGTGAAATCTGGAAGCCCCTAGTCACAGACTGGCACATGGGCGGTGGGTACGGACTCAGTCGTTCTACCTCAAGGGCCGAGGCAGTTGAGTAGTTCGGCAGCTGTATCCGCGACTGAGCAGCCCTTTTGAGGACCCACTCTGCTCACCCCACATGGGGAGGGGGCTAGAAAAGGTGCCCTAAACATAGTCTGCCTCACTTATCCCTGACTGGACTGCCGCGTCCAGTGGGGTCACCACCCTGCGGCCAAAAAAGAAAATGAACTTCGGTACGTGGAACGTACGGACTCTGATGGACAACAGTGGCAGTGAACGCCCCGAACGCAGAACTGCCATCATTGCAAGGAGCTGGGACGCTTCAACATCGACATAGCAGCCCTTCAGGAGACCCGGAGAGCAGGAGAGGGACAGCTGAAGGAAGAAAAAGGAGGCTACACCTTCTTCTGGAAGGGACTGCCCAAAAAAGACCAAAGAATGCACGGAGTTGGCTTCGCCATCAGAAATGATCTGATGAAACATCTGTCCGAAGCACCCACTGGCATCAACGAACGACTCTCAACCCTCCGAATCGATCTTGCCAAAAACCAACGGGCAACCATCATAAGTGCCTATGCACCAACACTAGATGCTGACGAAGACATCAAGGAGAAATTCTACTGTCAGCTGGACACCGTCCTATCGGGGATACCTAAGGAGGACAAAATCATCCTCCTGGGGGACTTCAATGCAAGAGTCGGGCGAGACTTCGACCTGTGGCCAGGGACCATCGGAAAAGACGGGGTTGGAAACAGCAACTCAAATGGCATCCTGCTTCTCACCAAATGTGCGGAGCACAACCTTGTCATCACCAACACGCTCTTCCGCCAGAAAAACAAGTTCAAGACATCATGGAAGCACCCCCGGTCAAAGCATTGGCACCTCTTAGACTATGTAATCACACGCGCCAGAGACCGCCGTGATGTGCTCCTCACAAGAGCCATGACAGGTGCTGACGACTGCTGGACCAACCACAGGCTAATTCAATCCTCGATGGCTATCAAGATCGCTCCCAAGCGCAGACTCCAAGGAAGGAAGACAAGGCGCAAAATGAACACCCAAGCCCTTCAGGAGCCCTCCAGACGAGCCCATCTCCAAACAGCACTCAAGGACCATCTACCCACAGTACACCCCGAAAATGTCGAGGAACATTGGAACAAACTGAAGACCTCCATCATCCAAGCCTGCGAAGAAACTATTGGATACCAAGCCAAGAAACATCAAGACTGGTTTGATGAAAATGACATCGAGATCCAACAGCTAATTGACAAGAAAAGGAAAGCCTTCCAAGCATGGCAGAGAGACATCAACTGTGCTGCTAAGAAAAAGATCTATGCCAGTGCAAAAGCTGAGGTCCAAAGAAGGACAAGAGAACCCAAGAACATCTGGTGGACAAAGAAGGCTGAAGAAATCCAACACCTGGCAGATACCCATGATGCTCAGGGATTTTTCAAAGCCACAAAGGTCATCTATGGACCAAGAAACCATGGGATACAGCCTCTACGCTCATCAGATGGAACCAAACTCCTGAAGGACCAAAACTCAATTGCACTACTTTGGAAAGAACACTACCAAAGCCTCCTGAATCGCAGCTCCAATGTGGCCGAAGAGGTCCTCTCACAAATCCCGCAACAACAAACCAGGGATGAGCTTGCAGCACTGCCTAGTTTGGAAGAAGTCAGCAATGCCATCAGCCAACAAAAAAATAACAAAGCCAGCGGACCTGATGGGATCCCTGCTGAAATCTTTAAAGAGGGAGGACCTGAGCTGACACACCAACTCCACCAGCTCATAGAAAAAGTGTGGGTGACCGAGAAAATCCCAGCAGATTTCAAGGACGCCACCATCATCACCCTCTTCAAAAAAGGGGAAAGAACAGACTGCGGAAACTATCGAGGTATCTCCCTTCTAACCTCCGCTGGGAAAATCCTCGCAAGAATCCTTGCAAACCGCCTTCTGCCCCTCTCAGAAGACACCTTCCCAGAATCCCAGAACGGCTTCCGCCCCTCCAGAGGAACCGTGGACATGATCTTCACTGCACGACAGCTCCAAGAAAAATGCAGGGAACAAAACCAACCTCTGTACATGGCATTCATCGACCTTGCAAAGGCATTCGACACAGTGAATCGCAGCGCTCTCTGGACCATCCTCCCAAAAATGGGGGCCCAAACAAATTTGTGAACATCCTGCGGCTCCTCCATGATGACATGATGGCAACAGTCTTGGACAGCAATGGCTCCCAAAGTGACCCATTTAAGGTGGAATCGGTGTCAAACAGGGATGTGTTATTGCCCCAACTCTATTCTCCATCTTCATCGCTATGATACTTCACCTTGTTGATGGGAAGCTTCCCACCGGAGTGGAAATAATCTATCGGACAGATGGCAAGCTATTCAACCTCAGCAGACTGAAAGCCAAAACCAAGGTTACAACAACATCTGTTATATAACTCCAGTATGCTGATGACAATGTCGTCTGTGCGCATTCAGAAGAAGATCTACAAGCCACTCTAAACACCTTCGCAGAAGCATATGAGAAGCTCGGCCTGTCACTGAACATTGAGAAAACCAAGGTGCTGTTCCAGCAGTCACCAGCCAATCCCTCTCCAATGCCAGTAATACAGCTTAATGGTGTCACATTAGAAAATGTGGACCATTTCCGCTACCTTGGCAGCCACCTCTCCACCAAAGTCAACATCGACGCTGAAATACAACACCGCCTGAGCTCTGCAAGTGCAGCATTTTCCAGAATGAAGCAGAGAGTGTTTGAGGACCGGGACATCCGTAGGGAGATCAAGGTGCTTGTCTATAAAGCTATTGTCCTCCCAACCCTGCTATATGCCTGTGAGACGTGGACTGTCTACAGACGTCACATGCAACTCCTGGAACGATTCCATCAGCGCTGCCTCCGGAAAATCCTGCAAATCTCCTGGGAAGACAAACGGACAAACGTCAGTGTGCTGGAAGAAGCAAAGACCACCAGCATTGAAGCGATGGTCCTCCAACATCAACTCCGCTGGGCCAGCCACGTTGTCCGGATGCCCGACCACCGTCTCCCAAAGCAGTTGCTCTACTCCGAACTTAAGAACGGAAAACGGAACGTTGGTGGACAGGAAAAGAGATTTAAAGATGGGCTCAAAGCCAACCTTAAAAACTCTGGCATAGACACTGAGAACTGGGAAGCCCTGGCCCTTGAGCGCTCCAGCTGGAGGACAGCTGTGACCAGCAGTGCTGCAGAATTTGAGGAGGCACGAGTGGAGGGTGAAAGAGAGAAACGTGCCAGGAGGAAGGCGCGTCAAGCCAACCCCGACCGGGACCGCCTTCCACCTGGAAACCAATGCCTTCACTGCGGGAGAAGATGCAGAGCAAGAATAGGGCTCCACAGCCACATACGGACCCACAAAGAAATCCATAATGGAAGACCATCTTACTCGTCCAACGAGGGATCGCCTAAGTAAGTTTGGTGAGCCACTAGCAGTCTTTGGCAGAAAAGCCTGGAGACCTTGTAAAACTACAACTCCCAGGATTCCATAGGTGCATTTTTACCTTTATTTCTAATTTTTTAATATTATGAATATATATATATATGGTTGCTGTGTAGTTCTACAGTGTAGATCCACCCAAAAGTGGTCTTCTGTTAACTTAAAAAATTAAATCAGATTTTTAAATATATATATATTAATACAAAAATAGTTTGACTTTCTTCTGAGCCATGTTTCTCATTCCCACGCTGCTTCTGTACATCAGTGATCCTAACTTCTTCAATTGGGAGCCGGAAGTCATGGTTGCGGTAAATACTACTTTGTCAGACAGGTCTCTTGAACCTTTTTCCACCGAGGAAGGCGGCTGGCTACGGTGGCTCCGAAGGGTCAGTAGTGACGGAAAAGCGAAACCGCGGGACTGATGCTTCGATCCAAGATGGCGGCGCACTTAAAGAAGCGAGTGTATGAAGAGTTCAGCAAAGTGGTCGTCCAGGTAACCGGGGGGGTCTTTTGAGACGCGGGTTGGGGGGCCTTGAGTGGAGATATATCTGTGGAATAATGTCCAGGGTTGGAGAAAGAACCCATGTCTGTTTGAAGCAAGTTTGAATAGCATTGAGTAGCAATGAAGCTGTAAAGTGAGGTATCTGCATAAAGGTAGCCTGGCTGTTGTTGCCTGGAGGCACCCTCTGTTTGGGAGGTGTTAACTGGCCCTTGATTACTTGTTGCCTAGAGTTCTCCTGTTTCTTATTTACTGTCTTGATTCTGGTGTTTTTTTAAAAATACTGGTAACTAACTCTTATGATAATAATAATAATAATAATAATAATAATAATAATAATAATAATAATAATAATAATAATAATAATATATTTATTTGACCAGTCTTATGACCATTTCAAAATGCAACACGAGTAAAAGACAAGGCAAAAAGGAGAGGACAGCAGCAGACATAGAATCCTAGACTTGGAAGAGACCTCGTGGGCCAGCCAGTCCAACCCTATTCTACCAAGAAAAAGGAATATTACATTCAAATCACCCCTGACAGATGGCCATCCAGCATCTGTTTAAAAGCTTCCAAAGAAGGAGCCTCCACCACACTCTGGGGCAGAGAGTTCCACTCCTGAACGGCTCTCACAGACAGGAAGTTCTTCCTCATGTTCAGAAGGTGGAATCTCCCTTCTTGTAGTTTGACGCCATTGCTTCATTGCATCCTAGTCTCCAGGGAAGCAGAAAACAAGCCTGCTCCCTCCTCCCTATGACTTCCTCTCACATATTTATACATGGCTATCATCATGTCTCCTCTCAGCCTTCTTTTCTTCAGGCTAAACATGCCCAGCTCTTTAAGCTGCTCCTCATAGGGCTTGTTCTCCAGACCCTTGATCATTTTAGTCGCCCTCCTCTGGACACATTCCAGCTTGTCAATATCTCTCTTAATTTGGGGTGCCCAGAATTGGACACAATATTCCAGGTGTGACCTGACCAAAGCAGAATAGAACATGGGTAGCATGACTTTTCTGGATCTAAACACTAGTTTCCTATTGATGCTTTTTTTGCTGCCACATCACATTGTTGGCTCATGATTCTTGAGATGATGGAACAAAAGAGAACAGACATATGGAAGAGTGGGGATTTGAACATTGGCCTTTAAAGTCATACCCTAATGCTCAGACCATTACACTATACCGGCTTTAAACATCCATATAGATACACTTATGTAAGGCAATACAAATTTATTTATTTATCGTGTCAGGGGCAACCAGACCATTGTATTACATTTCTAACAGAACAGAAAACACAAAATTTGCAAGCTTGGTAGTTGATTAAATGTTCTTTGACCAGTATCTGGCCCCTTGGAGTGCCTCTGGTCTTGCCGCAAGAAGGTCCTCCATTGTGCATGTGGCAGGGCTCCGGTTGCATTGCAGCAGGTGGTCTGTGGTTTGCTCTTCTCCGCACTCGCATGTCGAAGATTCCACTTTGTAGGCCCATTTCTTAAGGTTGGCTCTGCATCTCGTGGTGCCAGAGCGCAGTCTGTTCAGCGCCTTCCAAGTCACCTAGTCAAGGGGGAGTCTCTCATTTGATATCAGCCATGGGTTGGGGTTCTGGGTTTGAGCCTGCCACTTTTGGACTCTTGCTTGCTGAAGTGTTCCTGGGAGTATCTCTCTAGCTCTTAGAAAGCTATTTCTTGACTTAAGGTATTGGAATGAGGCACCAGCACTCTTTGGCTGAAAAGGCTTTGTAAAACTATAACTCCCCCAAGATAGCAGTGAAAGTACAGTAGAGTTGCTTATCCAACCTTCCCTCATCCAATGTTCTGTATTATCCAACGCAGTCTGCCTCCTGCCCAGATCCACAAAAAGCCAATGGGATTTTGGCCTGCATCAATAGGAGTATAATGTCTAGAGCAGGTGTCCTCAAACTTTTTAAACAGAGAGCCAGGACACAGTCCCTCAAACTGTTGGAGGGCCGGATTATAATTTTTTAAAAAATGAATACATTCCCATGCACACTGCACATATCTTATTTGTAGTGCAAAAAAAACACTTCAAAACAATACAATAATTAAAATGAAGAACCATTTTAACAAATATAAGCATATTAGTATTTCAATGGGAAGTGTGGGCCTGCTTTTGGCTGAAGAGACAGGATTGTTATTGTTGTTGTGTGCTTTCAAGTCATTTCAGACTTAGGTTGACCCTGAGCGAGGGCCGGTTAAATGACCTTGGATGGCCATATCCGGCCCTTGGGCCTTAGTTTGAGGACCCCTGGTCTAGAGTGTCTCGCTTGCTGAGGGGTTCCAGCGAGTGTCTCTGTAGATCTTAGAAAACTGTTTCTTGATTTAAGTTGTTGGCATGCTGGCTGATACCCAAACAGGGGATGAGCTGGAGATGTCTCTGCCTTGGTCCTTTCACTATTGGCCTCTACTTCCCAGCAGATGTCAGGTGGTGCTAGACAGTGTAGTTTCTCCAGTGTCTGTTTGAAGCAAATTTCAGTTAACAAACTTGAATAGCATTGAGTAACCATGAAGCTGCAAAGTCATTCAGTGAGGGTATCTTCAGAGGTAACCTAGCTGTTGTTGCTTGGAGACACCTTCTGTTTGGGTTTAGTGTTAGCTGTCCCTTGATTGCTTCTTGTCTGGAGTTCTCCTGTTTCTGAGTGATGTTATTTATTTACTGCCTGGATTCTGGTGTGTTTTTTTTTTAATGCTGGTAATTAGATTTTGTTCATGTCCATGGTTGATATTTATAACCCAGGAACAAAAATCGTGTTACATAGTAATATTTTAAATTATTTTTTTCAAACAAAAATATTGAATTAATTATGAAAGTAATAATTGTACTTTGGAGTTTTTCACAGATATCATGCTACATTCACACGCAGAATCAAAAGAGACATACATATAGCATAGGTTCTTCTTCTTAAAGGAACACTGAGAGGAGGAGTTGGGGGTGAAAAGTGATCTCCCTTACTCCTGTACTCTCCCCTTCACTCTCTGCACTCTCCATTCTTCACTATGAGGGGCTTTCCCCCTTTCCATTGTCATCAGAAGCGACTTGCAGTTTCTCAAGTCACTCCTGACACGACCAAAAAAAAAAAAAGCTGGCCACCGTGCACATTCTGATTTCTGATATTGTATGTCACAATATATATTTATATCCTGTAGACATGGCCCTCTAGAACCATTGGAAATGTAAGAAAATTACTAGTATTAACTCATTCATAAATTGCCCCTTTAAAAATCAAATTGCCCCTCTGTGAGGTGTGTGCCCCACATTGGGAACCAGGGATCTAGATGGCTATAATAACAAGACAATTCTTACAGCATAATATGTGGAGAATCATTTGGCATTGCCTGCCTCCTTTCTTTGATGAAACACGGCCTTACACAGTTTATTGTTACAGCAACAGCAGCATGAAGAGATTTCTGCAAAGAAGCTCCGGCTGACCAAGCCAAGTAAGTCAGCAGCGCTCCACGTGGATCTGTGCAAGGCGACTTCACCAGCAGATGCTCTGCAGTACCTGCTGCAATTTGCCAGGAAGCCAGTGGAACCAGAAAGTGTGGAAGGAGTGGTCCGAATCTTGTTGGAGCATTATTACAAGGTGAAATGAGTAGGTCCTGCAGTTTGATCACCACGGCTCAGTGTTGTGGAATTCTGGGAATAGTAGTTTGGTGAGGCACCATCTTTCTTTGGCAGAGAAGGCTAAAGACCTTGAAAAAACTCCTGTGATTCCATTGCATTGAGTCGTTAACAGTTAAAGTGATTTCAGACTGCATCAGTTCTAGAGTTTTATTTGTCGTGTCAGGGCAACCAGCCAATTTTATTACATTTCTAACAGAACAAAACAAACAAACAGACAAAATACAAAATTTGCGGGTTTGGTAGTTGATTAAATGTCCTTTGACCAGTATCTGGCCACTTGGAGTGCTTCCAGTGTTGCTGCAAGAAGGTCCTCCATTGTGCATGTGGCAGGGCTCGGGATGCATTGCAGCAGGTGGTCAGTGGTTTGCTCTTCTCCACACTCGCATGTCATGGATTCCACTTTGTGGCCCCATTTCTTGAGGTTGGCTCTGCATCTCGTGGTGCCAGAGCGCAGTCTGTTCAGTGCCTTCCAAGTCGCCCAGTCCTCTGTGTGCCCAGGGGGGAGTCTCTCATTTGGTATCAGCCATTGGTTGAGGTTCTGGGTTTGAGCCTGCCACTTTTGGACTCTCGCTTGCTGAGATGATCCAGAAGTTCTAGAGTGTAGATCAGGCATGGGCAAACTTCAGCCCTCCAGATGTTTTGGACTTCAACTCCCAGTTTCTAATAGCCTACTGGGTTGGAATCACATTCAGTCACATTCAGGGAGACTGAAATAATTCAGGTTTCCTCTGTTTTTTTATCTCTATAGGAGAATGATCCTTCTGTCAGACTGAAAATTGCCTCCCTGCTGGGCTTGCTGTCAAAGACTCCAGGGTTTTCTCCCGACTGCATTCTGGATGATGCCATTAACACACTTCAGAATGAGAGTATGTAAGATTTTTCCAGTGGAGTTTGATAAGAAATTGGAATCTGTCCAGACTGAACTTTGGGTTTATTTGTCTCAGGTGCTGCTGTCAATATATGCATGAAGCTGCTTTATATTTAGTTCCATTTTTCCCCTCTGGCCAAAAGAATAAAGTTCTTTTTCTGCTAGATGGATTTTGCCAAATATTGTTTCTTTCTTTTTCAGATGACTTCTTTCCAATCTTGAAGTGCAATACTGATTTACTTTTCTTGTTTTATTTTAACCTTTGAAAACTTCCTTTTGTTCCATGTTGGGACAAAGGTGGAATATACATATACGTCATTTCATCGGCAACTACTACTACTACCACTGCAGAGGAGAATAATACATTTCCTTTCTCCATCTTTGTGCTCCTCCCCTCCCCCTCAGTTATTCATGCCCCATTTATAGCTGAAAGCTGTATACACTATAGTCCCCAGGGTTTATTGTGTTATACATACTTAGGCGATCCTCGTTGTCCGAGTAAGATTGTCCTCCAAGTTCGGTGTCTAGGCGATGGGTATGTAGGTGACTGTGGAGCCCTATTCTTGACCTGCATGTTCTCCCACAGTGAGGGCATCGGTTTCCAGGGGGAAAGTAGTTCCAGTCAGGGTTGGCTTGGCGCACCTTCCTTTTGGCACGTTTCTCGCTTTTGCCCTCCATTCATGTCTCTTCAAATTCTACAGTACTGCTGGTCACAGCTGACCTCCAGCTAGAGCGCTCAAGGGTCAGGGCTTCCCAGTTCTCGGTGTCTATGCCACAATTTTTAAGGTTGGCTTTGAGACCATATTTATATCTATTTTCCTGTCCACCAACATTCTGATTTCCATTCTTGAGTTCGGAGTAGAGTAACTGCTTTGGGAGAGGTGATTGGACATTCGGACAACGTGACATACAATTCAACTGAGTTAATGGCGAAGGACCATCATTTCAGTGCTGGTGGTCTTTGTTTCTTCCAGCACGCTGACATTTGTCCACTTGTCTTCCCAAGAGATTTGCAGGACTTTTTTGAGGCAACGCTGATGGAATCGTTCCAGGAGTTGCATGTGACGTCTATAGATAGTCCACGTTTCGCAGACGTATAGCAGGGTTGGGAGGACAATAGCTTTATAAACAAGCACCTTGGTATCCCTACGGATGTCCCGGTCCTCAAACACTCTCTGCTTCATTCGGAAATGGTCAACATTTTCTAATGCGTTATATAGCTCCAAAACCTTTGTTTTTTTATGCAGCCATTCTGGAACATGAGTGAATGCAAACCATAATAATATTGATTATTGTTCTTAGAGTCGCACCAGGTTCTTGCTCAGCTGCTGGATACCTTACTGATGATTGGGAAGAAGCTCCAAGACAGCCTTGCAGTGCGTGTGCGCCTGGTAGATGTCGCTTGCAAGGTAACTAGCGGTGTGATGGAGTGGAAATATTATTAGTGAATTGATCATAGGGATGTAATGGCCACTTCTAGTCCAAACATTTTGAAAAATGGATGCTTGTTCCTGTACCTAAATCTTCTCTGGTTTTGCCTGCTTCCTCATATTGCAACTGCTATCTTTGTTTTCATTTCTGGCCAGTCTCAAGAGCTAAATCCTTTGAAACAGATAATTTATTTGCATCTGTTTATGTAGTGTCTGTCTCTGTCAGTTGTATAATGAAATTGAATGTTTGCCGTATATGTACCTGAAACTGCTTTGAGTCCCCTAGGGGTGAGAAAAGCGGTATAGAAATACTTTCAAATAAAATAAAATAAATAATTGGCTCTGAGTCCCCTCAGAGAGATAGAGCAGAATATAAACAAAGTATATTATTATTATTACCATTTTCCTAGTTCCAACAGACCTCACTACCTCTGATGATGCTTGCCATAGATGCAGGCGAAACGTCAGGAGAGAATGCCTCTAGACCATAGCCATACAGCCCGACAAAACCTACTACAACCCATTATTACCATTATTATTATTATAAAAAGATATGGTGAAATGAACAAAGCATTGGCTTTCAGTCCTTGCAGAGGAATTCGTAGGGACAGCCAGGATTATATCTTCTGGGGATAGTTGGAAATTGGAGGGTACAAAATCAAAATCAGGGTTCAGCAACTACACAGAGGATAGGGCCCAATTTTCTATCTACACACTCATAAGCATACCAGAATATCTTCTTTCTGTTCTGTTCTTCCTTGGTAACTAGTGGTTTGGGTTTTTTGTGTGTGTCAGAAGTGACTTGAGAAACTGCAAGTCGCTTCTGGTGTGAGAGAATTGGCCGTCTGCAACAATGTTGCCCAGGAGACGCCCAGATGTTTTACCATCCTGTGGGAGGCTTATCTCATGTCCCTGCATGGGAAGCTGGAGCTGACAGACGGGAGCTCACCCCGCTCCCCGGATTCAAACTGCCAACCTTTCTGTCAGCAGTCCTGTCAGCACAAGAGTTTAACCCAGTGGTTCTCAACCTGTGAGTCCCCAGGTATTTTGGCCTACAACTCCCAGAAATCCCAGCTAGTTTACCAGCTGTTAAGATTTCTGGGAGTTGAAGGCCATAACATCTGGGGACCCCAGGTTGAGAGCCACTGGTTTAACCCATTGTGCCACCAGGGACTATAGTGGTAACTAGTAGTGCCACTGAATGAGAGATGGAAGGGAAAGAAGGTATTTCATAGGTTGGCCAGTGAGAACTGGAGGTGGTTCCTGTGTCAAAGAGGGGTTTTTAGTGGGTATTGCTTGTTCCTTGATAGCAAACAACACCTGCAAAAAGTCTCACTTTTAGGCCCCTTCCATACAGCTGTATACAAACCACATTCAACTGGATTATATGGCAGTGTGGACTCAGATTATCCAGTTCAAAGCAGATACTGTGGATTATCTGCCTCAATATTATGGTTATGGGGTTGTGTGGAAGGGCTCCTACTCAACCATTAAGATATAGGAGCCATACCATGTTTTCACTCTTGTGACTAATATTTGAGGGAATTTGGAGTTCTGAAGTGGATTGAACAGGTGCGTTTCCAGATGTTTGCAGGCATTCTGGAGGACTTCTGTTGTGATTTTTAGGCTGTTGCCATATGAAAATTCTGTCTAGTTCTAGTCTCCTGGAGAACCACAAGAGACAATGTCTGTGTAAACAGCCATCCAGATTCAGTTTGAAACAAGGACAAGAATATCAAGAATCAATTTCCTTTATAAGGGGAAGCAGCTGTTCAATAAATATTCCTCTGCTAAAGATAAAAATGTCATGGGAAACTAGAACTATTTTTTTATTGATGTTAACTATCTAATTTTAACTTGCCAGATTGCTTAGTGTGGTCTTAATGTGTTAGAATTTTTAGAAAAGTTTTATATTATTTGATTGGTTAAGCTAATTTATTGTACACTCACCTAAGATTCTATAGTATAGGCCAGGATATCAGTATGGAAGTAAGTAAATAAATGATGTGTTTCCCTCTCTTCCTTAGCATCTGACTGATTCCTCCCATGGTGTAAGAAACAAATGCCTTTTGCTGATTGGCTGCCTTGGAACTGTGGAAAAGGGCTCCGTGAAAGATCCCGAAGGCCAGCCTGCCAAAGATGTTCAGAAAATCATAGGGGATCACTTTAATGACCAGGATCCTCGGGTCAGGACTGCAGCTATAAAAGCTATGGTATGTATGGGTAGTGATGTTGTGGTTCAGCCAGCTGAGGATGATGATGAGGGGTTTGGGGGTGTAGGGCCTGATGCTTCTGGAGGTGCTCAGACAGATGGGATGTTGGAACAGGATGGTGATTCCCCGATTGGGAGAACGGAGGGGGGTTTATATAAATATAAATATCTATCTAATGTATCTATATAAAAATGCTCTGTGCATAATGAGTACCTTAAAACAAAAGAACCAATGAACGAAAACACAACAAATTTGGCAACAAAACATCTCACAACACAAGGAGTGACCATCACTCAAAAAATTATGATTTTGTCATTTGGGAGTTGTAGTTGCTGGGATTTATAGCTCACCTGCAATCAAAGAGCATTCTTAACCCCACCAACGGTGGAATTGAACCAAACTTGGCACACAGTTCTCCCGTGAGCAAGAGAAAATACTGGAAGCGTTTGGTGGGCAGTGTCCTTTGGTTTTGGAGTTGTAGTTCACCTACATCCAGAGAGCACTGTGGACTCAAAAAATAATGTATCTGGACCAAACTCTACTCAATATGCCCAAATGTGAGCACTGGTTGAGTTTGGGGAAAATAGAATCTTGACATTTGGGAGTTGTAGGTGCTGGGATTTATAGTTCACCTACAATCAACGAGCATTCTGAACCCCACCAACGATGGAATTGAACCAAACTTGGCACACAGTTCTCCCGTGAGCAAGAGAAAATACTGGAAGCGTTTGGTGGGCAGTGTCCTTTGGTTTTGGAGTTGTAGTTCACCTACATCCAGAGAGCACTGTGGACTCAAACAATAATGTATCTGGACCAAACTCTACTCAATATGCCCAAATGTGAGCACTGGTGGAGTTTGGGGAAAATAGAATCTTGACATTTGGGAGTTGTAGTTGCTGGGATTTATAGTTCACCTACAATCACAGAGCATTCTGAACCCCACCAATGATAGAATTGGGCCAAACCTCCCACACAAAACCCCCATGTGGGCCACAGCAATGCGTGGCAGGGGACGGCTAGTACATTTATATAAATAAATATAGGGTATTTTTTATATTTATTAAATATAAATTTATTTTTATTTATATTTATAAAACTATAAATATATTTGTAGGGTATAAATATAGGAAATAAATAAATAAATAAATTTGGTTGATTCTCTGTGTGAAAATGAAACTGTTTTAGAAGCTGACAGACAGAGAAGGGAGGAAGTGGGGTTGGACAGAGATTCAAGGCTGCTCCTGTCGGGGGAAGAATTCTAGGTGCAAGCCGAGCCATGGGAAAAGAAGGCAGAGGCGGAGAGAGACTTCTCAAGACCAGCGGAATACTTTCATGCATTTCTGTCCTTAATTAGGGAAAGAATAGCTCTCAGGTCTCAGATCAAAACTGGTCTCAGATCAAGCAATGCAGCAAATAGAGCAAGACGCTCCTGCCTTGTTCCTGGTCTTATCTTAGCTTCAAGCGAAATTTTCTACTCAAGTTTTGCTATCAGTCTTGGGGATTTTATCATGTACTCAAGCTCATGTTTTGTTCTTTGTTTCTTGGATTAATCAAGCTCATGTTTTATTCCTTGTCTCTTGGATTAATCAAGCTCATGTTGGTTCCATGCACCTTGGATTAATGTTCATGCTTTAACCTTTATTTAAAGCAGGGATGGGGAAAATGCAGGTCTTTATTGCCCCTAAATTCCTGGGGGCAAATTCGTCACATTGATTTTGTCTGTTTTAGACTCAGTAGAGACATTTGTCTGTTTTAGACTTAGGAGAGACATTTTGGACTCTTCAAAAACTCTTTTTCTTTGGAAGTAACAAACTGGAGGTTTTTCCCCCTATAGCTCCAGCTCCATGAAAGAGGGTTGAAGCTGCAGCAAACCATTTATAATCAGGTAATTTGCTGTGTTTTATGTGTTCAGTGAGAGACACTCACATACTGCAAATGTAGGGGGGTGACAGGTTGGGATGTTTCATTGGAGAAGATCTAATTGTGGGTTGCCTTGAGTCCCACTCATGGGAAGAGGGTGGATTATAATTGAATAAATGGAAATAATATGAGGTGCCATTTTGAAGAGCTATCCGAATTTTGCAGATTGTTTTCTGAGGTGTGAGAGGGTGAAAAACTTCTACACAACTTTTGGGGTCCCAACCACAGCTATATTGGCTTGAGTTTTAGTCCGAGAGCCATCCGTATTTACTTAGTTAAATGTGTTTGTATTTTATAAATTACACACTGTGTAAAATAGATGGAGTGATAACACAAAATAAAAGATTTTGTGATTAATGATTGCTTGGAAACCTTCCATTTCAGGCATGTAAGCTCTTAACAGATGACTACGAACAGGTCCGCAGTGTTGCCGTTCATCTCACCTGGGTTCTCAGTCAGCTTTATCCAGAAAGGTAGGCATGGGTGTTAGATTAGCCACAAAGAAGGATGTAAAGGTGAAGAAGGAGATTCTGAAGACTGAGTTGCACATTTGTTGCACCAATATTTTGAAAATCTGTAGAGGAAGCTGGGCAGCATTGACTGCTTATTCTGCAATGTTTGCAGAATCCTGGATTTTCTTTCATTGAAAATAGTATCATTAAAAAAGCAGAGTTAAACAGTATTATAGTTTCAGTCAAAGACAATGACAACCAATGATAAAATGCGAGAATTAATGCTCCTGGAGGACTTGAGAAGCAGCAATATTTTAAAACAAAGTGAAGTGTAATCCTGATACTTACTTTGTCTCCAAATTTATTTATTTCTTTATTTATTTACGGCATTAATATGACGTCCTTTTCACCCCAAAGGGGACTCAGAGCGGCTTACAAGATATATTTTCATACAATATATTATATTATTAGCATAGTACAATATCAGTATTATATATTACTATATTGCACTATACCATTATATTGTATAGCTTTTTAAAAATAAAATCAGAACTAGAGTTCTAGACACTTCAGGTTTCATTTTACAATATCAGGAGTTTTGGAATTTGGCCTCAAATTTATGCGGATGACACCCAATAATAATAATAATAATAATCTTTATTTATACCCCGCCACCATCTCCCCAATGGGGACTTGGAGCGGCTTACATGGGGCCAAGCCCGGACAATATATTACAGCAGAATAAAACCAAAAACATAAACAACAAACAACATCATCAAAATTACATAGAGAACACAATCACGATAACAGTGGGCCACATGTACAGGATAAAACAATTAAAAGATTCTAATGAGATAAAAATAGGAGCAGGTTATTTGCAGGAAGCTCGTAAAAACAAACAGAATTGTGAAACTAAACTTCCCATTTGGAGGGCGTATACTCCAGTGGCCAGGCATGTAGCCGGGGGGGGGGGGGCCTTGGGGGGCTTGGGGGGCTTCATCCCCCCCCCCGAAATTCTCATGGTGGTCCGTGAGAAGGCTTTACTGGTACATTATTTAAACTGTTATGTTTATTCATATCATGATCTGATCACCATGTTCAATATATCCCATATGCATGGGGTATTGGGGTAACGATAGAAAACTATTTCTTGATTTTATTTATTTATTTATTTAATTATTTATTTACTTTGCTTATATACCGCTGGATCTCAAGCCCGAAGGCGACTCACAGCGGTTCACAAACAGTAAAAACAGTAGAAACAGCAGTGGTTCCATACAACATATAACAATTGACTTAACACATTATCCATAAATTACCAATAAGCAATTACAATGCACAATTATTACAAAAAACAACCGTACCCAATCTTCTCATCATCCAAGCGTAGTCAAGGTTCGTCGTCCATTGTTCCATTCCTATGTTCCATTACCAGATTGCACTAAATTACTCAAACGCCTGCACACACATCTTCACCCCCCCCCCCCCCCCCCCAAATCGAAATCCTGGCTACGGGCCTGCCAGTGGCAGAAGCATTGAGGAGAGCAATAGTATCATGTTATACATCTTCTCTCCAAAGGCGCACCCAACTCTATTACTCCTTTCCTCCAAATTCCAAGGATGCCGTTCTGGTCCTGAACCAGTGCCTGTCATCAGTAATGGATTGGATGAGGGCCAACAAGCTGAAACTAAATCCAGACAAGACAGAGGTGCTCCTGGTCAGTCGTAAGGTGGATCAGGGTGTGGGATTACAGCCTGTGTTGGATGGGGTTACTCTCCCCCTGAAGACATAGGTCTGCAGTTTGGGGATGATCTTGGAGTCATTGCTGACCCTGGTATCCCAGGTGGTAATGGTGGCCAGGAGCGCCTTCACACAGCTCAAACTTGTGCTCCAGTTGCGCCCATACCTTGAGACGCCAGACTCAATCCATGCCTTAGTCACATCCTGTTTGGATTACTGCAATGCTCTCTATCCGGGGCTGCCTTTGAGGATAGTTTGGAAGCTGCAACTTGTGCAGAGATCAGTGGCTAGATTGCTAACTGGAGCACTGTATGGTGAGAGGACAACTCCCATGCTGCGGCAGCTCCACTGGTTGCCAGTCCGCTTCTGGGCTAAATACAAAGTTGTGATTGTTACCTATAAATCCCTAAATGGTTTGGGTCCAGGCTATTTGTCAAATCGCATCTCCCTATATAGACCATCCCGTGCACTGTGATTAACAGAGGAGACCCTGCTCTCGGCCCCACCCCCTTCACAAGCACAATTGGTGGGAAGGAGAGAGGAGGCCTTTTCCGTGATGGCTCCCTGTCTCTGGAACTTCCAGGAAAAAAAAAACTCCCCCCACCCTCCTCTCCTTTAAGAAGCTTCTGAAAATGCACCTATGCACTTTAGCATATGGAGAGGCGAAGGACTAGGACACTTTAATCCATTTGGAATGATGGCTAATCCCACTTGTATTATATGGCTGCCACGATATATCTTAAATGAACACTGGTACTAGCCATTTTTAAAGTAATTTTTTCTTAATTGCTTTTATGGTAAATGTTGCAATGTTTACTCATATTTTAGTCTAAAATGCCTTATTGGATTGTTCTTTTATATTTTTTATTTCAATGCTTAATTCTTTGTTGTAAGTCCACTGTTAGTACTGTGTTTTACCATGTATTATTATTTTTATATGTTAGTATTATGTTTATGTTTATCTAAATGAATATAGATATTTATCCATGACTAAGAGAAGTTGTTCCTCTTTATTGTGTTTATAAGTAATAAATCTGTCATATGACATTATATTTGAAGTTTCAACAACAATAACAATACTTCGTGTATCTTAGTAATAGATATCTGTGTACTAGATATTAGTACTTGAATGTTTGCGTTTTTTGTGTAAACCATTCTGAGTTTCTTTAGGGAGAAAGGGCGGTCTAGAAATAAAGTTTTTAATAATAATAATAATAATAATAATAATAATAATAATAATAATAATAATAATATTGTCGAAGGCTTTCATGGCCGGAATCACTGGGTTGTTGTAGGTTTTTTCGGGCTATATGGCCATGGTCTAGAGGCATTTCTCCTGACGTTTCACCTGCATCTATGGCAAGCATCCTCAGAGGTAGTGAGGTCTGCTGCAAGTAGGAACTTCCACCGATATATAAACCCTTTTTCCTAGTTCCAACAGACCTCACTACCTCTGAGGATGCTTGCTATAGATGCAGGTGAAATGTCAGGAGAGAATACCTCTAGACCATGGCCATATAGCCCAAAAAAACCTACAACAATCCAATAATAATAATAATAATAATAATAATAATAATAATAATCTGGAAAAGCTGACACGATATGAGGATTTAAAAATCGAACTGCAAAGACTCTGGCACAAACCAGTAAAGGTGGACCCAGTGGTGATCGGCACACTGGGTACAGTGCCTAAAGACCTTGGCCTGCACTTAAACACAATCGGCACAGACAAAATTACCATCTGCCAGCTGCAGAAGGCCACCTTACTGGGATCTGCACGCATTATTCGCCGATACATCACACAGTCCTAGACACTTGGGAAGTGTCCGACGTGTGATCCAATTCAACAACCAGCAAAGTGTCTGCTATGGACTCATCTTGTTGTGTTTCAAATAATAATAATTATTATTATTAGTGTGCAGCCTGTGCTTTAGCTTAGGAAATGGAAACTGGCTCCTGTTCCTTGGCCACTTATGCCTTAGAACAGGGGTCCCCAAACTACGGCCCGCGGGCCACTTCCGGCCCACCAAGGGCCCTTATCCAGCCCGCGGAGGAGGAGCGCCGCCCCCCCCCCCACACACAGTGCCCCTCTGTTGGCTGGCTCACGCTATCCGTCAGGCCCAATGGGCAGCGTGAGCCAGCCAAGGGCGGCTGCTCCGTGAGGCCTACTCACGAGTAAAGCACCTCACGAGGTTCTTTACACGCAAGTAGGCCGCACGGGGCTGCTCCTCCCTTGGCAGGCTCACGCTATCCGTCAGGCCCGATGGACAGCGTGAGCCAGCCAAGGGCGGCTGCTCCGCGAGGTCTACTTGCGAGTAAAGCACCTCGTGAGTAGGATAGGATGGCCCTTGCGGTCTCTTCCTATTTGTGTCATACAAAACTCTGGGGTGCACCATACAAAAGCTATTGTGTGGTTTATTCCAGATGGTTAATTTTTCTGTAGTTTTAAAAGGAAAACCCTATAGACTATCTCCTAGCGACTTTTTTTTGCCAGATAAAACAAAATCTCTACACAATTCATTGTATTCATAGTACATATGTAATACGTTCTCTCTCTCTGTTGTAGTATTGTCCCAATCCCTTCCTCCAATGAAGAAATCCGTCTAGTTGACGATGCATTTGGCAAAATTTGTCACATGGTCAGCGATGGCTCATGGGTGGTGAGAGTCCAAGCTGCTAAATTGCTGGTAAGTGCCCTTCTCTTTATTCTTAAGCGGTTAGAAAGCAGGACATCATTGGCTGGCTGGAACATTAAATATATGAAAGTTGTTGTTGTTCATTCGTTCAGTTGTTTCCGACTCTTCGTGACCTCATGGACCAGCCCATGCCAGAGCTCCCTGTCGGCCGTCATCACCCCCAGCTTCTTCAAGGTTAATTATTTTTATTTAGAAATGTCTTTGACCTGCTTCTGGAGAGGGCTTTCTTGATCCCCTTTCCAAAGGCTGGAGAAGAGTATTTGGAACAAGAAGAAAAGCTGTTGAGCTTGTGTCCTTTATATGGAAAAGGTGTCCTTCTTCATTGTATCATTGTGATCATACCATTTGATGTGTATTCAGAAAACTCAAGAGTTCTAATAATGGGAGTTTGTAGTTTTCACAGGGTGCATCTACACTGTAGAATTAACGTGGTTTGACACCACTTTAATTGCCAAGCCTCATTATTATTAACTTTTATTTATACCCTGCAAAATCTCCCGAAGGACTCGACGCGGCTTACAAAGGCCAAGGCCGCTGACAACAACAACATACAATACACAACAAAACTCATAAGAAAATAATAAACATCAAGCAAAACAATAAAACAGTAATAGTAGTCTACCTCTCAAAATAGTGACAGGAAGTAATAGTCCACTATTTTACATTACCATTTTGAGAAGGACTCTGATTAAAACATTTATACATGTGTGTATTTCAAAATTTCGATAGATGCAGGCGAGAATGCCTCTAGACCATGGTCATATAGCCCGAAAAAACTTACAACAACCCAGTTTCAAAATTTTGTTTATATCCTGCATTTCTCCTGAACAGGATTCAAAGTAGGTTACAGCAGAGGCCCCTTCCATGCAGCTGAATAAAATCCCACAAAATATTTATTTATTTATTTCCTATATTTATATCTCACCCTTCTCACCCCCGAGGGAGGACTCAGGGCAGCCTCACAAACACCATACGGTGTTGTCATAATAAAACCATCAACAATACATTATAATATTAAAAATATTAAACCAATAGATTAACACACACCTATTAAAATCAGAGTCTAAAATCCAGTTCGGGTCAAATCATTGCCATAAGTGTTAAAATCTGCTTTGAACTGGAATATATGGCAGTGTGGACTCAGATATCTAGTTCAAAGCAGATATTGTGGGACTTTCTGCCTTGATAGTCTGGGTTAAAAGGCTGTGTGGAAGGACCCAAAGATACTTGGTCTTATTGAGGATTTCGCATAGTCAGTGGGGTGTTTATACATGTTTATGGTTGCTGGTATGTATGTGTGTGTGTATCTATATAAATAAAAAATATAATGCTCGTTTATGGGATTAGCATAACCCAAAAACCACTGGGCGAATTGACACCAAATTTGGACACAAGACACCTACTAACCTAAGGAGCGACCATCACTCAAAAAATTAGTATTGTCATTTTGGAATTGTAGTTGCTGGGATTTATAGTTCACCTACAATCCAAGAGCATTCTGAACTCCACCAATGATGGAATTGAACCAATCTTGGCACACAGAACTCCAATGACAAACAGAGAATACTGTAAGGGTTTGGTGGGCATTGACCTTGAGTTTGGGAGTTGTAGTTCACCTACATCCAGAGAGCATTGTGGACTCAAACAATGATGGATCTGGACCAAACTTGGCACAAATATTCCATATGCCCAAATATGAACACAGATGGAGTTTGGGGGAAATAGACCTTGACATTTGGGAGTTGTAGTTACAGACCACTGGTGATCCATGGACCACAGGTTGGGAACCACTGACATAACTAGTACAAATGTGCACCACAGTTACGGATTTTTTTTATCAGCATTATCTGTCAGATAAGGTATAATATCATCCATCTCTGTGTCAGGCAGAGCTGTTAGGTTGCTAAACTGTAGTCCCTTCCACACAACTGAATAAAATCCCACATTATCTGCTTTGAACTGGAATATATGGCAGTGTGGACTCAGATAACCCAGTTCAAAGCAGATGTTGTGAGATTTTCTGCCTTGATATTTATTATTTATTTATTTATTTATTTATTTTATTGCATTTGTTGACCGCCGTTCTCAGCCCTTTCGGGCGACTCACGGCGGTGTACAACATATAAAAACAGTTTTACAATACAACCCTCATACAACACAATAAGCACATAACATCAATAATACAACAATAATTACTCTAAATCATCCGCGTCGTCTCATCGTAAAATCGTAAACCAATCTCGTATTCCATATTCCGTTCCAGTCATCAATGCCAGTTGTTGTAATGTTTAGTTGAACGCCTGCTCGAATAGCCAAGTCTTTAAGCTCTTGCGGAATGACATAAGGGAGGGCGCCTGTCTGATGTCCACAGGGAGGGTGCTCCATAGCCGGGGTGCCACCACCGAGAAGGCCCTATCTCTCGTCCCCGCCAAACGTGCCTGTGAGGCAGGCGGGATCGAGAGAAGGGCCTCCCCAGATGATCTTAAGGCCCTCGTGGGCTCATAGGCCGAGATGCAGTCAGAAAGGTATTTTGGGCCAGAACCGTTTAGGGCTTTGTAGGCCAGCACCAGCACCTTAAATTGGGCCCGGTAGCAGATCGGCAGCCAGTGGAGCTGGAACAACAAGGGCGTTGTGTGCTCCCTGCGTCCCGCTCCTGTTAGTAACATGGCTGCCGCGCGCTGGACTAGCTGAAGCTTCCGGGCCGTCTTCAAGGGCAGCCCCACGTAGAGAGCGTTGCAGTAGTCAAGGCGGGATGTGACCAGAGCGTGTACCTCGGGAAGTCAGACTTCCCGAGGTACGGGCGCAGCTGGCACACGAGCCTGAGCTGTGCAAATGCTCCCCTTGTCACCGCTGAAACCTGGGGATCCAGGCTCAACGATGAATCCAGGATCACACCCAAGCTGCGAACCTGCGCCTTCAAGGGGAGTGCGACCCCATCCAGCACAGGCTGTAACCCTATGCCCCGTTCGGCCTTGCGACTGACCAGGAGTACCTCTGTCTTGTCTGGATTTAATTTCAGTTTGTTCGCCCTCATCCAGACCGTTACAGCGGCCAGGCACCGGTTCAGGACCTCGACAGCCTCCTTAGTAGCAGGTGGAAAGGAGTGACAGAGTTGGACATCATCTGCGTACAGATGACACCGAACCCCGAAACTCCGGATGATCTCACCCAGCGGCTTCATGTAGATATTAAACAGCATGGGGGACAGTATAGAACCCTGTGGAACCCCACAGGTCAAAGGCTGTGGTGTTGAACAGGTGTACCCCAATAACACCTTCTGGGTGCGGCCCTCCAGAAATGACCGGAGCCACTGCAGAACAGTGTCCCCGAGGCCCATTTCCGCAAGGCGCCCCAGAAGGATACCGTGGTCGACGGTATCGAAGGCCGCTGAGAGGTCCAGGAGCACCAACAGGGACACACTCCCCCTGTCTAGCTCCCGGCGCAGATCATCCACTAAGGCGACCAAGACCGTCTCAGTTCCATGTCCCGGTCTGAAACCAGATATTTTGGATTATATAGCTGTGTGGAAGGGCCCTGAGTCCAAAATTACCTTCCTCTTCATGTTTCTTTTTTCTCCCTTTCTTCTAGGGATCTATGCTGCAAGTTAGTTCTCAGTTTTTAGAACAAACCCTGGACAAGAAGCTGATGTCGGACTTGAGGGTACAGAAACCTAGTCTTTTCTATTTTCAGTTTGTCCTCTTGCTTAACAGAAAGGAAAAGTGGGTTGCTGTGACAAAGGAAAAGGTTCTATAGTTTAGGAGATATTGACCTTGCACCTGGCATGTTGGAAGTTGCACAACAGGTTTCTTTTTCTTTTTTCTCTCCGTTGTGTAGTTTTTTTTTCCTGCCAGACTTTCTGGTAGTGAGATTTGAACCTTTTGTTCAGCCTTTGTGCCCTTGCTTTTTTCTTCAACCTTTTTGCTCTTGCGGAAAAAAAAATCACCCCAGACAGTTTCAATTAGATTGAGAATGATGCAGTTGTTCTTCTAAATGACAGTATTTTATTCTCCTCTGCTTACTGAACAGTGAAGAAGTATTTTCAAAAATACATGTATTACTTTGACACCTGTTTCAGTTAGGTAGTAGAAGAAAAAATATGCAGACACTGCATGGGTCTGGTTCCTTATACCATATTTCCCCCAAAATAAGACTGGATCTTATTTTAATTTTGGCTCCAAAAGACACATTAGGGCTTATTTTGGTGGGTGGGGGTGGGGAATGTCTTATTTATTTATGTGCAACAGTTTACCGCATATGCTCGAGTATAAGCCAGTTTTTCAACCCTTTTTTGAGACTGAAAAAGCCCCCCTTGGCTTATATTTAGTCAAGGTTATTTATTATTTTACTGTTGTTATTATTATGATTACATTTATTATTTTACTCTATTATTATTACATTTATTATTTTACTCTGTTTATTATTGTTATTATTACATTATTTACTCTATTATTACTGTTATTACTTTCCATTATTTTATTACATTTATTATTTTACTCTCTATTATTATTGGAAGGATATGTGAGCGAAAGGTTACAATAGTGGTCTAATCAGAGTTGGACATATTTATATTTAATATAAATTAATTAATTAAATATATATTATTTTACAATTTAATATATCCTTCGTGAATTGTAACCAACATAATACCCGTAAATGTATCCAACTGACTATCTTAACTGGAAATTATTATTGGGGTAGGACTTATATTACGAGCATCCTGAAAAATCATGCTAGGGCTTATATTCTGGTGAGAGCTTATTTTCAGGGAAACAGGGAACAAATAATTCATTCTAGGTTTTCCAACAAACATTTCTTGATCACACAAATCCTTCTCCAGCATCCCTACACAAATCCTTCTGTGAAAAGGAGGTCCAACTTTCTATCTCAATTGAGATGCTAAACTGTTAATTAATCTGCCTCATCTAGTCACAGGATATGAAACTTAATGTTGCAGAATGAGGAGCAAATGTCTTGGGCTTTATCCAAGCCATGTCCCATTGTGTGCTGTTAAATCATACTTGAGAGAAAGCGTTGCCCTTTTTATGCCAGGGCTGATGTGTATCTTGCATCTGCAGCGAAAACGCACGGCTCACGAACGTGCAAAAGAGCTCTACAGCTCTGGGGAGTTCTCAAGCGGCAGGAAGTGGGGAGACGACGCCCCCAAAGAAGAAGTGGACACTGGAGCTGTGAACCTGATGGAATCTGGTGCTTGTGGGGCCTTCGTTCATGGCCTGGAAGATGAAATGTATGGTGAGTCGAGGGCTTCTTTCGGCCAGATACTCAACAATTTTTAAGGATTTCTCATCTTCTTCATTGCTTCTTATTTGTCTGTCTTCCATCCAATAGATTTCTTTGTAGCAGGCATGAGCAAACTTGGGCCCTCCAGGTGTTTTGGACTTCAACTCCCACAATTCCTAACAGCCTACCGGCTGTTAGGAATTGTGGGAGTTGAAGTCCAAAACACCTGGAGGGCCCAAGTTTGCCCCTGCCTGAGTTAGAGGACCTACGGATTTGTCTGCATGTATCCCTCTATCCCTCTCCATCTTTTCAGAGGTTCGCATTGCTGCCGTTGAGGCCCTCTGCATGTTGGCCCAATCCTCCCCCTCCTTCGCCGCAAAGTGCCTCGATTTTCTGGTCGACATGTTCAATGACGAGATTGAAGAAGTGAGGCTGCAGTCGATTCACACCATGAGGAAGATTTCCAATAACATCACCCTGCGGGAGGACCAATTGGACACGGTGCTCGGGGTTTTAGAGGCAAGTTTCTTCCCTCACTCTCCTGCTTCTTGGAAGAATGTCCTTTTATTGGTTATTTGGGTCCTTAGTGCTCATTTTAGATATTCCCCATGATTTGTCTGGCTGTGTTTTCCTCGCCATACACAATCTCTTAGCTTGACTAACCCTCCAAACAACATTGGGAGTGTGCCACGGCCTCTTCTCACTTCTCTCCATTACTTCCAGTTATGTGTTTCCAAGCTAGAGATAGTCTTAACCATAGCATATAACTTGTTTCGTGAGGCAGTGGAAATACACAAGGAAATCCTATCAATGATATAATCCTACATAAGGTCCCTTATACGTGCCATTCTGCTGACTTGCCATGCAACATGCATATTCAGTTCATGGTTGCAGAAAAAGGAGTTCCACAAATATGTCTTATTTCATGTCAGCCTAAATTCCATTGTTAGTCCCAACTAGGATCAGTTTATGCACCATTTAACAATGCATTGAATGGATCTGTTCTAGTTGGGGCTAGCCCAGGCATGGGCAAACTTTCTAACTTGGGGGATGCATGCTAGCACTCCCTGTTAGGAGGACTGGCTTCCCAGTGATGGATGGAAGGAAGGAAGGGAAGGAGGAAGAAAGACAGGGAAGGGAAGAAGGACGAAAGGGAGGAAGGGAAGGATGGAAGGAGAAAAAGGGAGAAGGGAGGAAAAAGGGAAGGAAAGACAAAAGGGAAGGATGAAAGGGTGGAAAGGATGGATGGAAGGAAAAAATAAGAAAATGATGAAAGGGAGAAAGAGAAGGGAGGGAGGGATAAAGGAAAGAGAGAAGGAAGGAAAGACAAAAGTAAGGGAAGGATGGAAGGAAAAAGAGAAGGAAAGAAGAAAGGGAAAAAGAGAAGGAAGGAAGGGAAGGATAAAGGAAGGAAAGACAAAAGGGCGGAAAGGATGAAAGGGTGGAAGGAAAAACAGAAGGAAGGGAGAAAGGGAGGAAGAGAAGGAAGGGAGGGAGGGAGAGAGGGATAAAGGAAAGCGAGAAGGAAGGAAAGACAAAAGGAAAGGAAGGACGAAAGGGTGGAAGGGAAGGATGGAAGGAAAAAGAGAAGGAAGGAAGAAAGGGAAGAAGTGAAGGAAGGAAGGAAAGGTAAAGAAAGGAAAGACAAAAGGGAGGGAAGGATGAATGGAAAAAGAGAAGGATGGAAGGAAAAAGAAGGAAGAGGAGGAAGGGAGGGAAGGATAAAGGAGGGAAAGAAAAGGGAGGGAAGGATTTTATTTTTATTTATCGTGTCATCCGCAACCAGAACATTGCATTACATTTCTAACAGAACAAAACAGACAAACAGATTAAAAAAAAAAACACAGAAACAACCAGAGACTGGAGGGAAGGATGAAAAGGTGGAAAGGAAGGATGGAAGGAAAAAGAGAAAGAAGGAAGGAAAGGAAGAATAAAGGAAAGAGAGAAGCAAGGAAAGACAAAAGGGAGAGAAAGATGAAAAGGAGGGTCAGACTCAAGAAGGTAGGAAGGATGAAAGGGTGGAAGGGAATTGAGGGAGGAAAGAGAAAGGAAGTAAGAAAGGAAGGAAGGAAGGAGAGAGAGAGAGAAAGTGGGAGAGAGGGAAGAAAGGAAGGACGAAAGGGTGGAAGGGAAGGAAAAAGAGAGGGAGGGAAGGAGGAAGAAAAGAGAGAAAAAAGGAAGGATAGGATGGTATGAGAGAGGAAGGTCTGAGAAAAGAGCCCAAGGGGCTGCATCCGGCCCCCAGGCCATACCTGGACTAACCAATAGGATTCAGCCACACAGGCTTGGATGGTTGGTAACTAGAGTCGACCCTCCACATACTCAGTGACACTTAAATATATGTTTTAATAATTAAATGTGAATTGATGGCTTTGATATTTTAGATCACACGTGTCAGTCTCAAGGCCCATGAGCAAAATCCAGCCTGCCATGTCATTTTATGTGGCCCTCCAGATGCTGGACTACAATTCCCCTATTCCTCCTCATTAGACATAATGACTAGAGCTGATGGGAGTTGGGGTACGGAACATCTGGAACACTACAGTTTGTTCTGTTTAGTCAGGATCATGAGGTTTGAATGTAGACACAAGGCTTGTGGATATGATGGATGACCTTAAAATATTTTTAATTTTTCCCCAACCTCAGAGCCACAAGTGCTTTCGGGTTGCCATTCCCATTATCCCCAGTCATCTTGGCAGATAGTCAGAAGTGATGGAAGTTGTTTAGTATCACCTGGGGAAACCAAACAGGCTACTGAGTAAAAAAAGAGTAATCTTAGTTATGCATCATCATTCTAAACATTTTGATTATTACTTCAGGATTCTTCCAGAGACATACGGGAAGCTCTCCATGAGCTTCTATGCTGCACCAATGTCTCAACAAAAGAAGGCATCCATCTTGCTCTGGTTGAGCTGCTGAAGAACCTGACCAAGTATCCGACTGACAGGGATTCCATCTGGAAGTAAGTGCGGTTCTCAACCTTCCTAATGCCGCGGCCCCTTAATACAGTTCCTTATGTTGTGGTGACCCCAACCATAAAATTATTTTAGTTTCTACTTCTTAACTGTAATTTTGCTACTGTTGTAAATTGTAATGTAAATATCTGATATGCACGAAGTATTTTCATTCACTGGATGAAATTTGGCACAAATACCCAATACACCCAAATTTGAATATTGGTGGCATTGGGGAAGGATTGATTTTGTCATTTAGGAGTTTTGGTTGCTGGAATTTATAGTTAACCTACACTCAAAGATCATTCTGAACTCTACCAATGATGGAATTGAACCAATCTTGACACACAGAACTCCCATGATCAACAGAAAATACTGGAAGGGTTTGGTGGACATTGACTTTGTGTTTTGGAGTTGTAGTCCACCTACATCTAGAGACCACTATGGACTCAAACAATGATGGATCTGGACCAAACTTGACACGAATACTCAATATTCCCAAATGTTGACACTGGTGGAGTTTGGGGGAAATAGATCTTGACATTTGGGAATTGTAGTTGCTGGGATTTATAGTTCAGCTACACTTAAAGAGCATTCTGAACTCCATAAAAGATGGAATTGAACTAATATTGGCATACGGACTCCCATGACCAACAGAAAATACTGGAAGGCTTTGGTGGGCATTGACCTTGAGTTTTGGAGTTGTAGTCCACTTACATCTAGAGAGCACTGTGGGTTCAAAGAATGTTGGATCTGGACCAAACTTGGCATAAATACTCAATATGCCCAAATGTGAATACTAGTGGAGTTTGGGGAAAATAGTCCTTGACATTTGGGAATTGTAGATGCTGGGCTTTATATTTCACCTACAATCAAAGAGCATTCTGAACCTCACCAACGATAGAATTGGGCCAAACTTCCCACACACAACTCCATGTCCACCTGTCTTGCGACCCCCCCCCCCGGGGTTCCGACCCCCAGGTTGAGAAACGCTGCTCTAGACCAGGGGTCCTCAAACTTTTTAAACAGAGGGCCAGGTCATAGTCCCTCAAACTGTTGGAGGGCCGGATTATAATTTGAAAAAAACAAATGAATTCCTATGCACACTGCACATATCTTATTTGTAGTCAGTCAGTCAGTAGCCTTTATTTTGGTCAACAAACCATTGGCTAAGTTAAGTGAAAGTAGAATGATGAAATACAACATTTAAATAATTAATAACATCACATTTGTCTTATGATTAATGAAAACACGTATAATGTATTGTCGAAGGCTTTCATGGCCAGAATCACTGGGTTGTTGTAGGTTTTTTTTGGGCTATATGGCCATGTTCTAGAGGCATTTTCTCCTGACGTTTTGCCTGCATCTATGGCAAGCATCCTTAGAGATAGTGAGGTCTGTTGGAAGTAGGAAAATGGGTTTATATATCTGTGGATATATAAACATGAAAATGAACAAAATCTGGCTACCAATATTAAAAAAAACTCTAAAATTACAACAGCAAAACAACAGGGAGTAAACAATCAGGCACATCTAATCACCTCTCAACAAAAGATTCCCTCAGGCACTGCCAAGCCATCAAATGCTAATTAAGGTGGTCAGCTGAAACATTCACACCTAGCTCCAGCAGACAAGAGTCCTTTGCCCCACTCTGGTCATTCCACAGATATATAAACCCATTTTCCTACTTCCAACAGACCTCACTACCTCTGGGGATGCTTGCCATAGATGCAGGCGAAACGTCAGGAGAAAATGCCTCTAGAACATGGCCATATAGCCCGGAAAAACCTACAACAACCCAAAACAAGTATAACCATTCCCTATCGGTTTGTAGTGCAAAAGACACTTAAAAACAATACAATAATTAAAATGAAGAACGATTTTAACAAATATAAACTTATTAGTATTTCAATGGGAAGTGTGGGCCTACTTTTGGCTGATAAGATAGGATTGTTGTTGTTGTTGTGTGCTTTCAAGTCGTTTCAGGCTTAGGTTGACCCTGAGCGAGGGCCGGGGCCTTAGTTTGAGGACCCCTGCTCTAGACCATCACAATGGAAAGTTATCAATTTGGGGATATTAATATCCAGTTGCTGTGTTTCTTCAAATTGTTTCTGACTTATGACAAACCTATTATGGAGTCCTCCTGGTTAGATTTGTTCAGAAGGGGTTTGCCATTGTTTTCCTCTGAGACTGAGAGAGTGTGACTTGCTCAGGGTTTCCACTCCATCAAACTGGCTCTTTACTACTAGCTATATAAATTAAATACAATGGGAACATCTCATGTATGTATTTGTTTTTAAAACGGTGCTAATTCAGATGTCAAAGATCTGTCATCAAGTCAATACTCATTTTGGAAGCATAAAAAAGCATACCTTAAAATCCTACGTGACTCACGTTTCCCTTTCTTTTATTTATTTGTTTCACTTATAAATCAGCATTCTCCTGGAGGTGGGCCCAAGGCAGCTCACTAAAAGAGACTCATTTATTTAGTTCTGGAGTTTTTAGACACTTTTTTGAATGAGATTAAAGAGAGACGATGCAGTGTTTTACATTTGGTTCTGTATCTTGCAGGTGCTTAAAGTTCCTAGGAGGCAGGCACCCAACCCTTGTGCTTCCACTTGTTCCTGAATTGCTGGGCACCCACCCTTTCTTTGATACCCCAGAACCTGACATGGATGACCCAGCTTGTATCCTTTTTTATTCTCCCTGCATTCCAGCAGGATTTAAGATTTTCCCAGGAAACGTTTAACACTTTACAGTTTGTTTAGATCAAAAATTATACATTTTCTTTTCATGACATAATATATTGTCAGAAATATTAAATATTAACTAGGTATTTTTGATTACAAAAGTGTGAGTCAAGCACTGAAAGAGTTAGTAGGCTGAAGCCTATTAGAGTTAGTGGGCCAAAGCTAGTGTCGTCCTGAGGAGTGTGAGGTAAACCTCTGTGTGAAAGAAGCCTCATGTGAAAAAGCTCCAGTGTATAAAGGCTTCTGTGTGTAAAGCTACTATGTGTTTGTTTATTTGTGTTATGGAAACCTAGTTCTTGTAAGTAGTTTTATTTATCGTGTCAGGAGCAAACCAAACAGTTGTATTGCATTAAAACAAACAAATAAACAATCAAAACCTTGGTAGTTGATTAAATGTCATAGAATCATAGAATCAAAGAGTTGGAAGAGACCTCATGGGTCATCCAGTCCAACCCCATTCTGCCAAGAAGCAGGAATATTGCATTCAAAGCACCTCTGACAGATGGCCATCCAGCCTCTGTTTAAAAGCCTCCAAAGAAGGAGCCTCCACCACACTCCGGGGCAGAGAGTTCCACTGCTGAACAGCTCTCACAGTCAGGAAGTTCTTCCTAATGTTCAGATGGAATCTCCTTTCTTGTAGTTTGAAGCCATTGTTTCGTGTCCTAGTCTCCAAGGAAGCAGAAAACAAGCTTGCTCCCTCCTCCCTGTGGCTTCCTCTCACATATTTATACATGGCTATCATATCTCCTCTCAGCCTTCTCTTCTTCAGGCTAAACATGCCCGGCTCCTTAAGCTGCTCCTCATAGGGCTTGTTCTCCAGACCCTTGATCATTTTAGTCGCCCTCCTCTGGACACATTCCAGCTTGTCAATATCTCTCTTGAATTGTGGTGCCCAGAATTGGACACAATATTCCAGGTGTGGTCTAACCAAAGCAGAATAGAGGGGTAGCATGACTTCCCTAGATCTAGACACTATGCTCCTATTGATGCAGGCCAAAATCCCATTGGCTTTTTTTGCCGCCACATCACATTGTTGGCTTATGTTCAACTTGCTGTCCACAAGGACTCCAAGATCTTTTTCACACGTACTGCTCTCGAGCCAGGCATCATCGTCCCCCATTCTGTATCTTTGCATATCCTTTGACCAGTAGCTGGCCACTTGGAGTGGCTCTGGTGTTGAAGGTCTCCATTGTGCATGTGGCAGGGCTCAGGTTGCATTGCAGCAGGTAATCTGTAGTTGTAAATAGTGCAATCATAATACTTTACTACAAAGAAAACCCTCCTGTGGAAGATATAACATTGGTCTCTGTGTTCTTTTTATCACTTTGTGCTACTTGTGCTTTGACATGCTGCTGCTGATAAGTTACTGTGCTGTGTATTTGTGAGGGTGAGTCTTTTGTCACTCACCCAACAAATATATCTATATAAATAAAAATGTAATGTTCGTTTGTGGGATTAACAGAACTCAAAAACCACTGGACGAATTGACACCAAATTTGAACACAAGACTCCTAAAAACCCAATGTATGTCCTTCACTCAAAAATGGATTTTGTCATTTGGGAGTTGTGGTTGCTGGGATTTATAGTTCACCTACAATCAAAGAGCATTCTGAACCCCACCAACAATGGCACACAGTTCTCCCATGACCAACAGAAAATACTAGAAGAGTTTGGTGGGCAGTGTCCTTTGGTTTTGGGGTTGTAGTTCACCTACATCCAGAGGGCACTCTGGACTTAAACAATGATGGATCTGGACCAAACTCTACACGAATACTCAATATGCCCAAATGTGAACACTGGTGGAGTTTGGGGAAAATAGAATCTTGACATTTGGGAGTTGTAGTTGCTGGGATTTATAATTCACCTACAATCACAGAGCATTCTGAACCCCACCAAAGATAGAATTGGGACAAACCTCCTACACAGAACCCCCATGTGGGCCACAGCAACGCGTGGCAGGGAACGGCTAGTATTTTATTTTATTTTATTTTATTTTATTTTATTTTATTTACAGCATTTATATTCCGCCCTTCTCACCCCGCAGGGGACTCAGGGCGGATTACAATGTACACATGTATGGCAAACATTCTATGCCAATTAGACATACAACGTATATAGACATACACAGAGGCTATTTAACTTTTTCTGGCCGCCAGGGGAGCTGTCGCTTTCATCGTCCATCTGCAACACTGATGAAGTACTTCCGTATTTCCCACATGCTTTGCTGGAGTGCTTTTTGCTGGAGTCTTTTTATGGCCTCATAAATTAGTTAATTAGCCTCCTCACACATAGGTGGTACCTAATTTTCCTACTTGACAGATGCAACTGTCTTTCAGGTTGCAAAGGTCGACAACAAGCTACACAAAATTGGCCGGAAGCTCACTCCGACCCGGGCTGGCTTCGAACTCATGACCTTCTGGTCAGAGTGCTCTTCATGCAGCTGACACTCAGCCAGCTGCGCCACAATCCCGGTGCTATATATACAATCTAACAATAAATAAACGTTAAAAACATCTTTAATCATATTTCTTATCATTATTTTTAAATTTCCATTACAACTTATACTACATATAAAACAAAATATCATATGTGGTATGAAAAAATCTGGCACCATCAAATGTTTGTAGTTCAAAGAATCTGTTGGCAACAATGCTTTTGTGCCATTCTGTGGCCCACGTTCTCTCCTTCTTGTACCTAAGGTTTTTCCCTGTGCCTACAAATGTTACTTCAGTCATTCTAGAATTTCAGATCTATTTTCTTAACCTGATGGACAACCAGACATTGCAGTCTTGGTTTTCATTTTCAACGCTGCCAAGTCGTGTCCAACGATGCCTGCCCTGTTCTCGGACCACACCTTTCGGCACTACACTTACCTTCGGGACAGTCTCTCTCACCTCGTCCCTCCTTTAAGAGTAAGCCGGGTATTTTAAGTTTGAGTAATCGCATATGCTATTTTACATTGCAAATGGAGATATCTCTGTATTTTAATTCTGCCAAGGACTTTAAAACTCTGTTGTTTGACATCTATACGGTTCTGGCCCAACCTACCTATCCGAACGTATCTCGGCCTATCAGCCCACCAGGACCCTAAGATCTTCTGGGGAGGCCCTGCTCTCTATCCCGCCTGCTTCACAGGTGCGGCTGGCGGGGACGAGAGACAGGGCCTTTTCTGTGGTGGCCCCTCGGCTATGGAACGCCCTTCCCATGGAGGTAAGATCAGCCCCCTCGCTGATGGTGTTCCGAAGAAGATTAAAAACCTGGATGTTCGAACAGGCATTTGGTTAATTCGGTGCAATGAATGTGATGATTAAAGGATTGGTAATATGGACGACGAAACTGGATCACGATTTTAGTCAGGAGATGCATTGGATTGTTATTGATGTGCCAATATTGTGTATTATGTTTTTATGGTTTTAAATTGTATACTGTTGACTGTTGTATTTTGTTGTAAACCGCGTTGAGTCGCCAGCTAGGCTGAGAAACAGCGGTATACAAGTACAGTAATAAATAAATAAATAAATAAATAAATAATATTTTCTTCAATAAACTGTTTTGCGGTTTTGGGCTCGATGACACTCAGCTAGTGCTGAAGATGGAAGGCCGACCGGACTCTGTACCCGATTGTTTCCATCAGTGCCTCGAGGCCGTTACTGGATGGCTGCGTGCCAGCAGGTTGAGGGTGAATCCAGCAAAGACGGAGATCCTATGGCTGGGTCGACCGGGCAGTGGGGACATCCAGCTGCCTACCCTGGATGGCAAGGCGCTACACCCGTCATCATTGGTCAAGAGTCTGGGAGTCCTTTTGGACCCTCTGCTGATGATGGAGGCCCAGGTCTCCGCAGTTAGCAGAACCACCCTCTTTCATCTGCGGCAGGCTAGACGGCTGGCCCCCTCCCTGTCCAGAGACAACCTAGCTACAGTGATCCAGGCTACGGTCATCTCAAGACTGGATTACTGTAACGCCCTCTACATTGGCCTTCCTCTGTCGGTGATCCGGAAGCTCAAGTTGGTACAAAATGCAGCTGCTCGGCTTCTTGCGGGAACTCCGATGAGATGCCACATAACACTAATCTCACTACAGCTGCATTGGTTACCAATTGAGCACCGGATCACTTTCAAAGTGATGGTACTCACCTTGAAGGCCTTGCATGGTCTGGGGCTGATGTACCTGAGGGACCGCCTCACCCCCTGCCAACCCCAGAGATCCCTCCGTTCTGAAGACCAAGATTTGTTGGAAATTCCCAGTGTCAAGACCTTGCGTCTAACAGCAACCAGACGCAGAGCCTTTACAGCAGTGGCACCATCACTCTGGAATACTCTGCTATCTGAAGTCCGTGCCTTGTGGGACCTATCAGCTTTCCGCAGGGCATGTAAGACATACCTGTTTCGACGGGCCTTTGATTTTTAATATTGCTGTTTTTAAATTGTTTTAAATCGTTTTTAAATTGTGTTCAATTTTAGCCTGTTCTTGTAAGCCGCTCCGAGCCCCAGGGGAGTGGCGGCATATAAGTTCAAATAATAATAATAATAATAATAATAATAATAATAATAATAATAATAAAGAAATGCTGGAGTACTGGTCCAGCTCCAAAAAGGTTCCTGACATTTTACAATGGGATATGGTGGGCCCTTGATATTCATTGGGGATTGGTTCCAGGACTATCAAAATCTGTGGATGCTATCAAAACATGGATACCAAAATCTGTGGATGCTCAAATCCCATTTCCGCCTGTCTGTCCACCTGTGGGAATTCCATGTTAATGCATACATTAATTGGACAGAGTGCAGTTTGCTGAACTTGGCTTTTCATTCTCCGCCCTTCCTGTCTTTTGCTTAGTTGCCTGGGAAAAAGCTGGCATCTTCGCCTGTGTCTGCCAGCCTTGCCCTCCAGGAAGACCCCTCCCAGGAATTTCTGAAGCAGAGCTTGGAAAGAGTGTTCAATCTTCAGCATCTAGACCCACAGGGCATTCAGGAGCTGCTTGAGTTCACCATCCGGTAATCGTCCCAAACTACCTTTTTTCCAGTTTAAAGCATCTGCTGCAAGTGCAGAAACTGTTGGGGGAAGCAACCTTCTCAAGCCTGTTCTATATGATGTTTGTCTGTTTTGTAATGTGTCATTTAATAACCTGAAGTATGTGTCTTATTTGATTTGCAGTTTCCTTATCTCTATATACTTGAAGCAGTGGGAGGGGCTGCAGGTCACGTGACTGACTCAGTGAGAGTTTAGAATGTTCCGGTTTAAACAGGATGACAAGTTAGGGAATGTGGGTTGAGGAGTGACTGTTGGAAAAGTGTGTTTGAGCCTTAAAGGAGCTTGAGTATAGAAGTCTGTCAGAGTGCAGAAGCTTATGTTAGGAAGTTAGGAACTATTCAGGCTTGGGTTTTATGTAAAAGTAAACTCTTATGGCATTGATAAATTAAAACATAGGTATCATTTCTGTGATTATGGAGGTCTTGCTGCATCTATCTAAATAAAAATGTAATGTTCGTTTGTGGGATTAACAGACCTCAAAAACCACTGGATGAATTGACACCAAATTTGGACACAAGACACCTAACAACCCAGTGTATGTCCTTCACTCAAAAAAATTGATTTTGTCATTTGGGAGTTGTAGTTGCTGGGATTTATAGTTCACCTACAATCAACGAGCATTCTGAACCCCACCAACGATGGAATTGAACCAAACTTGGCACACAGTTCTCCCGTGAGCAAGAGAAAATACTGGAAGCGTTTGGTGGGCAGTGTCCTTTGGTTTTGGAGTTGTAGTTCACCTACATCCAGAGAGCACTGTGGACTCAAACAATAATGTATCTGGACCAAACTCTACTCAATATGCCCAAATGTGAGCACTGGTGGAGTTTGGGGAAAATAGAATCTTGACATTTGGGAGTTGTAGTTGCTGGGATTTATAGTTCACCTACAATCACAGAGCATTCTGAACCCCACCAACGATAGAATTGGGCCAAACCTTCCTCACAGAACCCCTATGTGGGCCACAGCAACACGTGGCAGGAGACAGCTAGTTAAATATAAATATATAAGCACCACAGCAGATTTCTCTTGTTACACGTGTATGTATGTGTTTGGCTATCCTATGTATATAGTCTGATATTATATATGTTTGGGATTTTGTATATTATTTTTCTTGCCACTTGTTTTAAAATGTATTTTGAGGCCTCCCTTTCTTTCATACTTTTAAAAAAAAATCTGTGAGCTTATACATCACAGTAAGCCATGGCTTGTACTAATAATGGTTTATTTATTTATTTACTTTATTTATACCCTGCCATTCTCTACACCAGTGGTTCTCAACCCCTTGATACAGTTCCTCATGTTGTGGTGACTCCCAACCATAAAATTATTTCCGTTGCTACTTCATAGCTGGCATTTTGCTACTGTTATGAATCATAATGTAAATATCTGATATGCAGGATGTATTTTCATTCACTGGACCAAATTTGGCACAAATACCTGATACACTCAAATTTAAAATCTGGTGTGAGTGTGTGTGTGGGGGGGGGGGGGTTGATTTTGTCATTTAGGAGTTGTAGTTGCTGGGATTTATAGTTCACCTACAATCTAAGGGCATTTTGAACCCCGACAGTAATGGAATTCAGCAAAACTTGGCACACAGTTCTCCCATGACCAACAGAAAATACTGGAAGGGTTTCGTGAGCATTGACCTTGAATTTTGGAGGTATAGTTCATCTACATCCAGACAGCACTGTGGACTCAAGCAATGATGGATCCAGATCTAACAGCATGAATCCTCAATATGCCCAAATGTTAACATTGGTGGAGTTTGGGGAAAATAGACAGGACATTTGGGAGTTGTAGTTGCTGGGATTTCTAGTTCACCTACAATCAAAGAGCATTCTGAACCCCCCAATGATAGAATTGGGCCACACTTCCCACAAAGAATCCCCATCACCAACAGGAAATATTGTGTTTTTTGATGGTCTGTGATGACCCCTCTGACACCCCCTTGCGACGCCCCCATGAGTCCCAACCCCCAGGTTGAGAAACACTTCTCTACACCAAAGGGGACTCATTGCTTGTAGATAAAGTTGAACAGCAAGCAAATCAAAGCAAGACTTGTCTTCTCCATTTTGGTTTTGTCTCTGATTTGTTTCTCTCCCACTCCTTCTGCCAGCTGCTGTGAGAAAGGTGGGACATAAAGGTGAATAAATACACAGACAAACAAAAGTAATAGCTACCCACTAACATTACTTTCTCTTCACCCCTTTCTTTTTCTTATACCTCAAGAGACCTCCAGAGATTTGGAGAGCTCCAGTCTGACTTGGCCGGGATGGCTGACTTCTGCGCCGCTTACCTTCGCTGCCAACTGCTTCTCATTAAGGTGCGCCTTTCTCTTTACATGTAAACACTGGTTCTGTTGCTGCCCTTTCCACTGCATGATGAAAGATGTTCTTGCCCATTAAAGTCTGTTCAAAAGTGGAACTCTCTGCCCCAGAGTGTGGTGGAGGCTCCTTCTTTGGAGGCGTTAGGCAGAGGCTGAATGACCATCTATGGAATGTGATTTTCCTGCTTCTTGGCAGGAGTTTGGACTGGATGGCCCAGAAGGTCTCTTCCAACTCTAGGATTCTATGATTCTGAATCACACTCTCAGCCTCAGAAGAAGGCAAAAGCAAACTCTTTCTGGACATGCCTTGCAAAGAAAACCCTGTGATAAGGTTGTTTTAGGGTCACTGTAGAATGGAATCAATTTGAAATCAGGCCACACCAAAGATTATTGGTTACTGGGAGAAGTAACCAATGTTATTGTCCATATCTGAGTTATACTAATTGTATTCTTTATTTTGCTTATTGCTTGTTGTTTTCACTATTGTTTGTCGTTTTATCCTGTGTTGTTGGGCTTGGCCTCATGTAAGCTGCTCCGAGTCCCTTGGGGAGATGGTGGCAGGGTATAAATAAAGTATTATTATTATTATTAGTAGTAGTAGTAGTAGTAGTAGTAGTACGATGTGGGACTAGCCAGGCCTTTTGAACCGATACTGGAGACTGTTCTTAATGTACTGATATTGTACTATATTAATAATATATTGTATGTATATATACCTTGTAAGCCACTCTGAGTCCCCTTCGGGGTGAGAAGGGCGGCATATAAATGTCGTAAATAAATAAATACTAAACATGAAAGCAAAAAGCATCATCTGTTAAATTTATGTGTTGTTGTAGGTTTTTTCGGCCTATATGGCCATGTTCAAGAGTCATTCTTTCCTGACGTTTTGCCTGCATTTATGGCAAGCATCCTCAGAGGTAGTGAGGTCTGTTGGAACTAGGAAAAGGGGTTTATATATCTGTGGAATGACCATGGGTGGGACAAAGAATTCTTGTCTGCTGGAGCTCGGTGTGAATGTTTCAACTGCCCACCTTGATCAGCATTTGATGGCCTGGCAGTGCCTGGGGCAATCTTTTGTTGAGAGGTGATTAGATGTCCCTGATTGTTTTCCCTCTGTTGTTTTACTAAATATTAGTAGCCTAGTTCCAACAGACCTCACTACCTCTGAGGATGCTTGCCATAGATGCAAGCGAAACGTCAGGAGAGAATGCCTCTAGAACATGGCCATATAGCCTGAAAAAACCTACAACAACACAGTGATTCCGGCCGTGAAAGACTTTGACAATAAATTAAGTTTATATTCTTTGCCAAATGGTTATTTGCTGGTTACCTTTTTTGTGTGAGGATGCTATTGCAATATCTTTTGGTTTCTCCTGCAGGCTCTTCAGGAGAAGCTGTGGAATGTAGCTGCACCCCTGTATTTGAAACAGAACGCCCTGGCATCAACAGCAGCAAAGCAGGTAAAGTGGCGTGTGCAGGAGGATGGAGGGAGAGCAACACTTACCATATGTACCCTGACATGGGCAAACTTCTGCCCTTCATGTATTTTGGACTTCAACTCCCACAATTCCTAGCAACCAGTAGGCTGTTAGGAATTGTGGGAGTTGAGGTCCAAAACACCTGGAGGGTCAAGGTTTGCCTTTGCTAGAATTTACTCATGTATAAGTCTAGAAATTTTAGTCAAAGAATGGACTCAAACACGTTGTTATCCATGTGTCGGTATATTACACTTTAATTCTTATATACAGTATATAAAAAGGAAGAATCTCTGAGTAGAAGTCATAGACTCATAGAATCAAAGAGTTGGAAGAGACCTCATGGGCCATCCAGTCCAACCCCCTGCCAAGAAGCAGGAATATTGCATTCAAATCACCCCTGACAGATGGCCATCCAGCCTCTGTTTAAAAGCTTCCAAAGAAGGAGCCTCCACCACATTCCGGGGCAGAGAGTTCCACTGCTGAACGGCTCTCACAGTCAGGAAGTTCTTCCTCATGTTCAGATGGAATCTCCTCTCTTGTAGTTTGAAGCCATTGTTCCGTGTCCTAGTCTCCAGGGAAGCAGAAAGGAAGCTTGCTCCCTCCTAAGTGACCAAAGTAACCTAAAAGTAACCCAAAAGACCTAAAAGTAACCCAGGATAGCTTAAAAGAATCACCAACCCCAACTAGTAATTCTACTACAGCATTATTTTGTCTCATCATAGTCTGTTAATTGTTTTTTATTCGGAATATGTGGCCTGCCCATTGTCATCTCTATCCTGATTGTGTCTATTGGAATTTTTATTTTATTTTATTTTATTACTATTATTATATTATTATTATTTTAATGTCATTTTGATAATGTTGTTGTTGTCTGTGATATTTGTCAGTGTATGATTTATGTATGATGTGTGTTTAAATGTAATTTTATGTAATAGGATTGTGATTGTAATAGAATTATATTTCCAGAATGTATTTTTACTCTAAAGGGTTAAACAGCAGAGTTAGCAAGCTGTGAAAATGTGACCCTGAGTTCTTGCCTTGAGAGATTAGGGAGTGTACAGAGATAACTCTCTTCAGCTACAGTTTGTGTATGAGTTCTTATCTCTTTCGGATTGTTCTTCGTGTCTGTCTGCTGATTGTGTATGGTGTGTTGTTTGAGCTGCTTTAGTAGAGCTGAGAACCTGCTTTTACCTAAGACTCCAGAGTCCATTATTCTGAACTTCAAAAGCTTCTGCTATACTCTGCTAACGCCGACAGTATATACTTTGATTTTATTGCTGTATTATGTTGTTCGGGCTTGGCCCCATGTAAGCCACTCCGAGTCCCCATCAGGGAGATGGTGGCGGGGTAGAAATAAAGTAGATGATGATGATGATGATGATGATGATGATGATGATGATTATTATGGAGCCCCTGGTGGGGGACTCGGAGCGGCTTACATGAGGCCAAGTCCAAACAACAATTACAACAAAGAGAAACCGAAAACGCAAACCGAAAATGCGAACAAAAAACAACAACATCATAATTACATAACATTATATAATTACATAAAATTATGATGTAATATAAATAATATATTAATATATTATTAATATTATTATGTAATATAAATATATAATTATAATATATTATTATTAGTATTACAAACATACAATGTTGTATGTTTGTTTGTGCTGTCAAAAACGTAATACAACTGTTGGTTGCCTGACACGATAAATAAATAAATAAATAATTAGTATTATATTGCATTACATTATAATATCATAAATATGTGTATATACAATATATTATATTACGTTACATTATTATGGAGCTGTTTGTGCTCCCTCTATTTTATCAGTTTTATACTTATTTATGCAATGCTTTTGATATGAAATAAATACATAAATCCGCAGGTTTATAAGAAGGGTCTGTTTTTATTAAGGTTTTTCTTAATTAAAAAAGCAATTTTAGTCTTAAAACAGCACCACCGACTGTCATCTACACAGAATAAAATGCATGCCTATCAGCAAAACAAACACTATTCCTTCCCAAGGTGATTCTCTGACCTTGATCTTTTCAAAGCAGGCATGGGCGAACTTTCGCTCTCCAGGTCTTATATGCCCATGACTTATATACGGGTTTGACTCCTACATGAGTATATACAGCATTTCGATGAGACAACTCTTGGAGGTGGGAAGGGTGATTTCTGATGACAGGAAGATGAATCAACCTCAATGCTCTGGAACCCCAGGGCCCAAATTTAACAGGGAGAAAAAAAATTGTTGTGGTGCAACTTGGTAAACAAGTCCTTCGTGAATTAGATGAGGGCACCAAAGCATTTATCAATGTCTGTTACAGGCTAGCAGCTCGTATCTGGTTTGTTGGTGGGAACTCAAGGGAAATGCCATTTTACACTTCCACGCCTCAAAAATGCTGACTATAGTAGCTTGCTTAGGAGCTGAACTTCGTAGTCTGAGGAAGGACACCAAGTTGCTTTTTTCAGTGTAGAAATTTTCCCTGGTGGAACCTGTCAATGAAGAAGGAATGGTTTCGCCTGCATCTATGGCAAGCATCCTCAGAGGTTGTGAGGTCTGTTGGAACTGGTAAAATGGGTTTATATATCTGTGGAATGACCAGGGTGGGACAAAGGACTCTTGTCCGTTGGAGCTAGGTGTGAAAGTTTCAACTGCCCACCTTGATTAGCATTTGATGGCCTGGCAGTGCCTGGGGCAATCTTTTGTTGAGAGGTGATTAGATGTCCTTGTTTGTTTCCTCGCTGTTGTAATTTTAGAGTTTTTTTAATACTGGTAGCCAGATTTTGTTCATTTTCATGGTTTCCCCCTTTCTGTTGAAATTGTCTACAAGCCATTGAAATACACAAGGATGCTTGCCATAGATGCAGGCGAAACGTCAGGAGAGAATGCCTCCAGAACATGGCCATATAGCCCGAAAAAACCTACAAAAACCCAGAAACATTTCACGTCAATGGACAAGTGTTGAAAGAAGTCCAGTTTACCACAATTTATTTTATTGCATTGCCTTCAGAAAAAAGTGATGCAAAAACAAAACAAAAACAATAGCAAATAGAAATGGATGGCTTGAAAAAATTGCAAGTTCAGACCCAGAAATAAATACAAGTGCTTAGACTCAGAATGTACTGAAGGGTGCCATGTTCAGTGGTTCTGGATGTCAGTCTTTTAACTTGGTTCTGTTAATGGATCTTGCGGATCAGGAAGCGAGCCAGATTCAACAAACGCAAAAGCCTCTCCATCTCTGATATAAACCAGCATCTGAATGGGAAATCTGCCAGAACTGAACAATGGTGTTTCTTCTTGCCTAGATCATGGAAGAAACGTATAGGATGGAGTTTATGTATAGCGGCGTGGAACACCGGCAGGTTGTCATCATCCACCACATGAGGCTGCAGGCGAAGGCGTTGCAGCTGATTGTAACCGTACGGACGACAAGAGGGTGAGCGTCTCATCTCAAATACAGAAAGGTTGCCTGCCTAGCACCCTAAAGCAGGCATGGACAAACTTCGGCCCTCCAGGTGTTTTGGATTTCAATTCCCACATATAACATGGATTTTTGTATTTTCCTTACAGAGCAGAACCTCTCTTTGGAATATGTGAGAAGTTTTTGCAGGAAGTGGACTCCTTTCAAAGGTATGTTTTCTTGTTTTTGACCCATGTGTCTTGAATGATAGATGATATGATGAATCTGGATCTAGAGTGTCTCACTGAATGTGGGGCAGAAAAATACAACGAGGGTATTATTTTTATGAGGGTCTTTTGTTAATAAGCCCACTCACTCGACGAGATCATGGTGAAATTTCCAAGTCAGGAGAAGCCATTGCCTCATTTCAAGAGGTTCTACCTTCGCTGCAGACTTTCCTTGAAAATGTTAGAATCTCAGATCTTCTGATTTGCTGCTCTAAGGATTGTGTGTCTGCATAAACAACTCCATTTGTGAGATTCGCCATACTCCATGCTCTTGTTAACGTCCCAAATAAACTACTGCAATGTGCTCTACGTGGGGTTGTCTTTGAAGACTGTTCGGAAGCTTCAAACTACAGAGAGGAGATTCCATCTGAACATGAGGAAAAACTTCCTGACTGTGAGAGCCGTTCAGCAGTGGAACTCTCTGCCCCGGAGTGTGGTGGAGGCTCCTTCTTTGGAAGCTTTTAAACAGAGGCTAGATGGCCATCTGTCAGGGGTGATTTAAATGCAATATTCCTGCTTTTTGGCAGAGGGTTGGACTGGATGGCCCATGAGGTCTCTTCCAACTCTATGATTCTATGATTCAAGTGGTCCAGAGTCGCCAGAAGGCTGAGAGGGGTGGTATACAAATACAGTAAATAAATTTATTCCTATCTGTGATCGTAGTGCACAGATAGTGATCGTAGTGCTGTTGAGGCTACCCAGAAGCACATCTCCTCCTGCCGAAGTGCCTCGCCTTCTCTCCTAATCACCTCTTTCTTCTCTTGCTGCATCCCAGGTGCTTCATTGCTGAGCTTCCTCACATGCAAGACAGTTTTGTCGATAAACTCCTGGACTTGATGCCCAGACTGGTTACCTCCAAACCTTCAGAAGTTGTCAAGATCCTACAAGCGACGTTGCGACAGAGTAGCTTCCTTCGCCTTCCGCTCCCAGAGAAAGTGAGTATATCTCCTGGACAGGTACTCTTTAGCATGAGATTTTGATCAACCTGGAGATTCCATGCACACTGCTGATCCTGTGTTGGTGCTGGAATTGGTTCTCAATTCCAAAAAAGGGAATGGAGAGGGAGTATTTATGGATAGTGGGTTTCGTCAGAGTGCAACAGAAGCTTTGAAGCTTAGAAGAATGGACACTTTGAGGAAAGGTCCTAGAGCACCGGGATTGTGGAGCAGCTGGCTGAGTGTCAGCTGCATGAAGATCACTCTGACCAAAAGGTCATGAGTTCGAAGCCAGCCCAGGTTGGAGTGGGTTTCCAACCAATTGTGTAGCCTGTTGTCGACCTTTGCAACCTGAAAGACAGTTGCATCTGTCAAGTAGGAAAATTAGGTACCACCTTAAAGTGTGGGGAGGCTAAATTAACTAATTTATGAGGCCATAAAAAAGACTCCAGCAAAGCACTCCAGCAAAAAATCATGTGGGGAATGTGGAAGTACTTCATCAGTGTCGCAGATGGACAATGAAAGCGACAGATCCCCTGGCGGCCAGAAAAAGTTAAATAGCCTCTGTGTATGTCTGTATATGTTGCATGTTAAAATTGGCATTGAAGGTTGCCATAGATGTGTACACTGTAATCCGCCCTGAGTCCCCTGCGGGGTGAGAAGGGTGGAATATAAATGCTGTAAATAAATAAATAAATAAATTTGAGACTTCAATAAAAGCAAACACATAGCTTTACTGAGTAGAGCAAATATACAGCGCACACTTGCGTTGACACCCAACCAAAAAGACAGAAACAAGACAAAAGCACCAAAGTAAGAAGGACGAACGAAATCTTATCTCTGGATCCTCCCTATGTGTTCCAGGCATACTCAGGGTCACAACTACACACTTCATTAGAGGCTTGACTGATTAACCCTTTCAGAGTCAATACACTCTCTGCTAATACAATCAGGTTACATTAACAGGCATTACACAAAATTACATTTAATCATTCACATTACACTAATCTTACATTAACAGATTTGTCACAAAAGATGTACTGATTTGCTTCTTTGATACTGTAGATCCACAGGGCAAGCGCCACCATTATTGAGCCAGCAGGTGAATCCGACAACCCTCTGCGCTTCACATCAGGTTTAGTCGTGGCCTTGGACGTCGATGCAACTCTAGAACATGTGCAGGATCCGCAGGGCACAGTGAAAGTTCAGGTAATGTGGATCGAGTTCTCCTGGTTCCATCGCGGATCCTGGATCCCCAGGTCTCAGCGATGGCCAGGGGAGCATTTGCAGAATTAAAACTTGTGTGCCAGTTGTGCTTGTGCCTTGTGAAGTCAGACTTGGCCTCAGTGGTCCACGCATTTGTTAACACCCCAAATAGACTACTTCAATGTGCTCTACGTGGGATTGCCTTTGAAGACTGTTTGGAAGCTTCAGGTGGTCCAGATTCCTCGTTGGAGAAGGGTACAGGGAGCACACAGCCCCCCTGTTACATCAGCTCCACTGGCTTTAGCCTATAAAGCCCTAAATGGGTCTGGCCCATCTTACCTGTCCGAACATATCTCCCTCTATGAACCATCGCGGAGATTTAAGATCTTTTGGGGAGGCCCTTGTCTCAGTCCCACCTCCTTCGCAGGTGCTTCTGGTGGGAACGAGAGACAGGGCCTTCTCAGTGGTGGCCCTCAGCTGTAGAACTCCCTCCCTAGTGATATTTGATCAGTTCCTTCCCTCCTAGCCTTCAGAAAGAAAATGAAATCATAGCTTTGGGACCAAGTCAGTAAATTGATACAGAATATATGCAATGATAACTGGAATGGCTCCGTATTACGATCTTGGACTGAGTGGTTTTAATCGCTGGTGTAATGTTTAGCTGTTTTAATTCTTGGTTTTAATTTACTTGTTTATTTTAATTGTATGTTGTTTTTATGGCATTGAATTGTTGCCTATGTGTAAAGCCACTCTGAATCCCCTTCAGGGTGAGAAGGGCAGGGTATAAATATGGTAAATAAATAAAATAAAATAAAATACTGCATTGCTGTGCAGACCAAGGTTCTACTTGGCCCCACATTCTATCTTCAGCACTGGTCAGCCAAGCATATCAGGGCATTCGTAATCCAGACATGGCTGTCATGGTCTGATGGGACGATCTCTCCATTTCTCCCCATCTGGAACTGTCAAATATATTGCTTCGAGACATGGGAGTGCATTTTAGCTTCTCGAACTGATAACTACTGAAATCCCACAAGTGCCTATATTGATAAAATTATCCCGAAGATACCACATCTTGTCTGAACTTGGACATTAAGTGGAGTTAGGCCTACTTTGTGCTTGGACGAGCAACCACTAGCGAAGACAGGGTGCTGTAGGCTATATTCAGAGGAAGGCAGGGGCAAACCGTACCTGAGTCTTCCTTGCATTTAAAAAACTATGAAATGTACTACATGTGGTTGTCATACATTAACAGTAGACTTGAAGGGATATTCTTTTACAAATGTATGATGAAAATCCTTCTAATCTCCATCCATATGCCAACCAGTTATGGGTTTGTGGGAGGCATACCTTGCACTGGCTTCAGGGTTTTTAAATATATCATTTCATGTAAAGAATGTGGAATCCGTAATACAAAGGAATGCAAACTAAAGAAAACAAAGCAGAGTGAGCGCTATAAGCATATTGTAATGTCCTGCTTTTAAAGTGACAAGATGTTCATTTGTAAAAGCAATTCCTGATGGATTTATTTATTTAGAAGTTTTATATACCGGCCTTCTCACCTCCGAGGAGGGACTCAGGCCGGATTTGCTAAAATAATGTTTCAGGTTGTGGTCATCCCCCAAATCTAATCATTCCCACCTCTAGAAGAAGAGAATGCCTCTAGAACAGTGTTTCTCAACCTGGGGGTCGGGACCCCTGGGGGGGTCGCAAGGGGGTGTCAGAGGGGTGGCCAAAGACCATCAGAAAACATAGTATTTTCTAGGTTCTTGTGGGTCTTTTCGGGCTATAGGGCCATGTTCTAGAGGCATTTCTCCTGACGTTTCGCCTGCATCTATGGCAAGCATCCTCAACCTCTGAGGATGCTTGCCATAGATGAAGGTGAAACATCAGGAGAAATGCCTCTAGAACATGGTCCTATAGCCCGAAAAGACCCACAAGAACCTATTGATTCCAGCCATGAAAGCCTTCGACAATACATAGTATTTTCTGTTGGTCATGGAGGTTCTGTGTGGAAAGTTTGGTCCAATTCTATCGTTGGTGGGTTCAGAATGCTCTTTGATTGTAGGTGAACTATAAATCCCAGCAACTACAAGTTTATTTTCCCAAAACTCCCCCAATGTTCATATTTGGGCATATTGAGTATTCATGCCAAGTTTGGTCCAGATCCATCATTGTTGGAGTCCACAGTGCTCTCTGGATGTAGGTGAACTAGAACTTCAAAACTCAAGGTCAAGACCCACTGGACCCTTCCAGTATTTTCTGTTGGACTTCTGTGGGAGTTCTGTGTGCCAAGTTTGGTTCAATTCCATTGTTGGTGGAATTCAGAATGCTCTTCGATTGTAGATTAACTAAATCCCAGAAACTACAACTCTCAAATGACAAAATCACATACCCCCAAACCCACCAGTATTCAAATATTGGGTTTTTGTGCCAAATGTGGTCCAGTGAATGAAAATGCCTCCTGCGTATCAGATATTTGCATTATGATTCATAACAGTCGCAAGTTTACAGTTATGAAGTGACAACAAAAATAATGCTATGGTTGGGGGTCACCACAACATGAGGAACTGTATTAAGGGGTCGCGGCATTAGGAAGGTTGAGAAACACTGCTCTAGAACATGACCATATAGCCTGAAAAAACCTACAACACCCCAGTGATTCCGGCCATGAATCCAGCCATACATTCCCACCTCTCTTGTCTACTTCCCTGTCCTTCTATTGTCAATGCGCTTGTCTATTCTCTCCCTCTTACACCTTCCAGCTGTAGTCTCATTCTGCTAAGGTCTTTCCCTATCCTACCTATCCTAGTTATACCCTACCTTGTTCATGCCCAGCATTATTATTTTTTAATTTTAAATTATTACATCTGGCCCAGCCATAGGTTTTTAAATGCTTGTATGTTATTGTTCATTGTTATTGTTTATTGTTTATTTTTGTTTTGAGATTTATTTTACTGTTTTGTATTGATTATTTTGTTACTGCCTTCGTTTTATTGATGTACTGCGGGCTTGGCCTCATGTAAGCCACACCGAGTCCCTTGGGGAGATGGTAGCGGGGTACAAATAAAGTTATTATTATTATTATTATTATTATTATTATTATTATTATTAATTATTCCCCCCCTTCAAACTCTTCTCCTCCAGTACTGAGAAACATGACTTTTCTCTTTCAGGTAGTCTATCCAGACGGTCAGGCGCAGCTGATCCATCCCAAGCCGGCAGACTTTAGGAACCCCGGACCCGGAAGGCACCGGTTAATTTCTCAGGTTTACCTGTCACATACTGCCTGGACAGGTAAAGAAAAAATTAGCTGTATTGCATTGGTAAAATCTGTATAGCATAGGTCTCACTTGAGCAATGAAGAGTGTAGCTTCTTTTTTCCCAAGGAAGAAGCAAGAGCATAGCTGCAACCCCTCCAAAACAGGAATATTGATTTTCTGCACATATGCCAGCCACCTACAAAATATCACTCGTTAATTGCTGAGGACATAAGTCAGCACCCTTCAAGTTGCGTGACTTCCTTTTTAGTCTCAATAGTGATAGATGTCACAACGCCAGGGCTCTACCGGTACGCAAGCAGAGGTGAACCAAAACAAACACGTTTAATCAAAAGCAGCACTTATTTGAGACTAAAAAGGAAGTCCATGTCTCGCAGGCATATAATAGGGTTGGGAGGACAATAGCTTTATAAACAAGCACCTTGGTATCCCTACGGATGGCAGAGGACCATCGCTTCAATGCTGGTGGTCTTTGCGTCTTCCAGCACGCTGACGTTTGTCCGCTTGTCTTCCCAAGAGATTTGCAGGATTTTCCGGAGGCAACGTTGATGGAATCGTTCCAGGAGTTGCATGTGACGCCTGTAGACAGTCCACGTTTCGCAGGCATATAGCTGGGTTGGGAGGACAATAGCTTTATAAACAAGCACCTTGGTATCCCTACAGATGTCCCAGTCCTCAAACACTCTCTGCTTCATTCGGAAAAATGCTGCACTTGCAGAGCTCAGTCGGTGTTGTATTTCGGTGTCAATGTTGACTTTGGTGGAGAGGTGGCTGCCAAGGGAGCGGAAATGGTCAACATTTTCTAATGTTACACCATTAAGCTGTATTTCTGGCATTGGAGAGGGATTGGCAGGTGACTGCTAGAAGAGCACTTTGGTTTTCTCAATGTTCAATGGGAGGCTGAGCTTCTCGTATGCTTCTGTGAAGGAGTTTAGAGTGGCTTGTAGGTCTTCTTCTGAATGTGCACAGATGACATTGTCATCAACACATTGGAGTTCTATAACAGATGTTGTTGTAACCTTGGTTTTGGCTTTCAGTCTGCTGAGGTTAAAGTATTTATTTATTTACAGCATTTATATACCGCTTTTCTCACCCCAAGGGGGACTCAAATAGCTTACCATCTGTCCGATAGATCTGTCCCGGTCCTCAAACACTCTCTGCTTCATTTAGGAAAACGCTGCACTCACAGAGCTCAGGTGGTGTTATATTTCAGTACCTATGTTGACTTTTGTGGAGAGGTGGCTGCCAAGGTAGCGGAAATGGTCAACATTTTCTAATGTTGGAGATGGATTGGCTGGTTCTGCTCTTTTGAACTAGAACTGGCATCAACCCCTTCCATCACACACTGCTATGCCTGACTCCACCAACCACCATCCACTGCAGAACATGATACATGAACAATAGAACAGCAAGGATGTGCTTTTAAAAAAAATGAAACCCAAATTTGGGTAATTTAAATTATGTGGGTAAAATGCCAGCAATTTGATGGTCCTACAGATTTTCTCAAACTTTGTTTCTCAAACTTTGGTCTTCCAGATGTTCTGGACTTCAGCTCTGGAGTGGGATATATTTATAATAATAACATTTATTTTTTTTTGTCGTGTCAGGAGCAAGTCGCTTCTGGTGTGAGAGAATTGGCCGTCTGCAAGGACGTTGTCCAGGGGATGCCCGGATGATTTGATGTTTTTATCAGTCTTGTGGGAGGCTTCTCTCATGTCCCCGCATGAGGAGCTGGAGCTGATAGAGAGAGCTCATCTGCCTCTCCCTGGATTTGAACCTGCGACCTGTCGGTCTTCAGTCCTGCCGGCACAGGGGTTTAACCCACTGCGCCACCGGGGGCTCCTATAATAACATAATAATAACAATAAAACATAATAATAATAATAATAATAATAATAATAATAATAATACCATAATAATAACATAATAACTCTTTATTTATATCCCACCATTCTCTCCCTGAAGGGGATTCAGGGCAAACATTCAATGCCGCTTTGCATAGACAATACACAGACAGACAGAACAGGAGGTGGTTTGTTTCAGCTGTTTTTGGTGCCATGGAAGATCGGGCTTGAGTCCTGGGGGTGCTGTTGCTCTATCCTCTATGATGAAGAGCCGTCAGGACTTCCTCCTCCCTTCTGGTCACCCAGCATTTTCTGATCTTCTTTCTTTATGGCGTCGTAAAACACCTCCCCCACTTTTAATTGGTACCTAATTTCTCTAATCACAGCTAAAGCTGTTTTTGAATTGCTTAGGTAAGCAATGAGCTAGGCTGACAGTTGGCAGCTCTCGCCAACCCGGGGTTTTGAATTTCCATTGATAGATCTTATGATTGCTGAAGATTTACCAGCTGTGCTAAACCTCTGACTGTTTATATTTGTTTCTATATTAGGCATGGGCAAACGTGAACCCTCCAGGTGTTTTGGACGTCAACTCTCACAATTCCTAACAGCCGGTAGGCTGTTAGGAATTGTGAGAGTTGACGTCCAAAACACCTGGAGGGCCTAAGTTTGCCCCTACCTAATGTAAACAGTGTAGAATTGCAATGTCTATCTGTCCGTCCTTCCATCCATCTAGCTGTCTGTCTATACATCCACCTACCTACTTACTTACTTACTTGTTATTTCCACTTTAGAGCCTTGTCAGATCGAAGTGCGGTTGTTGCTGGCGTACAGTTCAGACAAAAACAGGACGCCCACGAGGCTCCCTCGTGCCATTTGGGGAGACAGCATGGAGTTCCTCCCTCAGCCCGAGAACGCCATCGAAGGAATCATTCCTTTCAGCAAGCCTGTCAAAGTCTATATCATGCCGAAACCTGCCAGACGGTGACACCTTTTTGTGTGTGTGTGAACTCTATCTTGAACTGCTGCGAGTGTTCTTGGAAGCCGTTTGAGACACTTGAGAACCAGGGCAGGACATTCATGCCATACTTCCCTGGGACGTACTCTGTTTCCAGCCTTCAGAATGGAGCTGTTTTCTCTAAGGGAATTGAGGCGTATCAGAAGACGATGGAGGGACAAACTTTGCAGTTTCTTTCAATTCTATGATTCAAGAAGCAACCCAACCGAACACTGCCGTCCCTTGAATAAGGAGTGTTTTAAGAATAGTGCTGATGCTGGCAATCTTGTTTTATATCTGAAACATACATTAAACATGCCTTCTGTAGATGAATTGCCTATTCTTTCTAGTATCTCCTTGACTTTTTCTGGGAAGAAAAAATGTCTTCCGCTTGATGGCTTGAGAATACACTACTCTCCAGGTTGCTGTGAGTTTTCTGGGTTGTATGGCCGTGTTCCAGAAGCACTCTCTCCTGACGTTTCGCCCACATCTGTGGCAGGCATCCTCAGAGGTTGTGAGGTCTGTTGGAAGCTAGGCAAGTGGGGGTGTAATAATGTCCAGGGTGGGAGAAAGAACTCTTTGTCTGTTGGAGGCAAGTGTGTGTTGCAACTCAGGGTAGTTTTCACCTTGCTCCCAAACACCACCACAGCAAAGCTGTAGATTTTGTAGTTTATTGAGAAAAAGGCAAAATCAAAACATAGCATGAAGAATATAAAAGCTTAGTAAGGCTTAGAGCAAAGACACAGTTCCCTAGATCCAAAGGCAAAAACATGAAGCATAATCTTTTAAGCAATGGACAAACAATAGTCCGTGGAAAAACAGTTAAACACAAGACCCAAAATCCCAGACTCAGGAAGCCAGAAGCATGCTGCTTAAAGCCAAGGTTAATCCATAGAAGTTTGCATGGAAAGAGCTACATTGAACTGACAACCCCTATGTGTCAGCGAGAGGGCTAAATACCCATTGCAGACATGAACGCATTGCGATGACCTTTGGCAGACTTGGCTTCTCGCTTGCTAGCCAAGCGAGAGCTTCTCCGGACCCTTAATTGCAGACGATCTTGCCTGCTCATTAATTCGTTATCTTCGAGGCTCTCTAACCCCTTATCTTGGTCCTGCAGCTGGACTGGATCACCGTGGGAAGGCAAAGGAGGCAAAGACATCTCCACCTGGCCGCGTGAGAATTCACTCTCATTATCAGTCTCACTAACATTCCTTTCCCCTGAGAACTGACTTGCTGTTTCCCCTTCTGCAGCCTCACCTCTAACCCTGTCTGAGACAGGAACAGAGATCTGTAACCCATCGTCCTCATTATCATCTTGTAGGAACTCTGGCTCACAAAACCCACAAGGCTCAGCTTCAGACTCAGAGTCAAACTGAGTCCCAACAGTGTGAATGTTGTAGTTGGCCACCTTGATTAGCATTGAAGCTTCAAAGTCTGGCTGCATCCTTCCTGGGGGAAATCCTCTGTTAGGAGGTGTTAGCTGGCCCTGATTGTTTCCAGTCTGGAATTCCCAATTCCTGCCTGGAATTCCACTCAGAAATGCAATGCTCAGGACTCATCGCTGTGCCTCAGATGTTGGTGGTGGCCAGGGGAGCATTTGCACTATTAAAACTTGTGCACCAGTTGCACCTGTGTCTTGCGAAGTCAGACTTGGCCACAGTAGTCCATGGTCTGGTTACATCCCAAATAGACTACTGCAATGTGCTCTTTGTGGGGCTACCTTTGAAGATTGTTCCCAAGCACTAGTGTTGGCTCCTACCAGAGAACTAGCTACAAATGGTCCAACTGGTGGCAGATTGCTCACTGGAGCGGCATACAGGGAGCATACAACCCCCCCCCCCACCCCCATTACAACAGTTCCACTGGCTCCCAATCTGCTACCAAGCACAATTCAAAGTGCTGGCTTTAGCCTATAAAGCCTAAACGGTTCTGGCCCAGCTTATCTGTCCGACTGTATCTCCCACTATGAACCACTGCAGAGTTTAAGATCTGGGTAGGCTCTGCTTCCAGTCCTGCCTCCCTCACAGACACCATTAACGGGGATGAGAGACAGGGCCTTCTCAGTGGTGGCCCCTCAGCTGTGGAACTCCTTCCCCGAGATATTAGCTCCAATCGTATCTCCCACTCTGAACCACCGCAGAGTTTAAGATCTGGGGAGGCCCTGCTTCCGGTCCCGCCTCCCTCACAGACACCATTAACGGGGACGAGAGACAGGGCCTTCTAAGTGGTGGCCCCTTGGCTGTGGAACTCCTTCCCCCGGATATTAGCTCCGATCGTATCTCCCACTATGAACCACTGCAGAGTTTAAGATCTGGGTAGGCTCTGCTTCCGGTCCTGCCTCTCTCACAGACACCATTAATGGGGACGGGAGACAGGGCCTTCTCAGTGGTAGCCCCTTGGCTGTGGAACTCCTTCCCCGGGATATTAGCTCAAGCCCCTCCCTCCAAGAGAGTGAAAACATGGCTCTGTGACCAAGCCTTTAGAGAACTTGTGCAATAGATAGACTTGGAACGGCCTGGATTACACTTGTAGCTTACGCGTTTAACTCTGAATGTATTGTTTTTAAATGTTTTAATTGTTTTTAATGTATTTTTAATTCTGTTTTAATATTTCTTTAAGTGTACATTGCGTTTTAAGGCATCGAACCATTGCTTGTGTGTAAAACCGCCTTGAGTCCCCACCAAGTAGAAATCTATATAAATAAAAATGTAATATTCGTTTGTGGGATTAGCATAACTCAAAAACCACTGGGCGAATTGACACCAAATTTGGACACAATACACCTATCAAGCTTTCACTTATAAAAACACTGAAAAACACAGCAGAAGAGACTTAAAAAGCCAAAAAAACAAAAATTACATTACAACGCATGTGCAAAACCACATACACACAAATATATATACACAAACACGCATATATACACATGCCTGGAGCAAACTTTTGTTGAGAGGTGATTAGGTGTCCTTGTTTGTTTCCTCTCTGTTGTTGTACTGTTGTAATTTTAGAGTTTTTTAATACTGGTAGCCAGATTTTGTTCATTTCCCTGGTTTCCTCCTTTCTGTTGAAATTGTCCACATGCTTGTGGATTTCAATGGCTTCTTTTGTAGTCTGACATGGTGGTTGTGAGAGTGGTCCAGCATGTCTGTGTTCTCAAATAATATGCTGTGTCCAGGTTGGTTGGACCACTCTCACAACCACCATGTCAGACTACACAAAGAAGCCATTGAAATCCACAAGCATGTGGACAATTTCAACAGAAAGGAGGAAACCATAAAAATGAACAAAATCTGGCTACCAGTATTAAAAAACTCTAAAATTACAACAGCACAACAACAGAGAGGAAACAAACAAGGACATCTAATCACCTCTCAACAGAACTTTGCTCCAGGCACAGCCAGGCCATTATATGCTAATCAAGGTGGTCAGTTGAAACATTCACACCTAGCTCCAGCAGACAAGAGTCCTTTGTCCTACCCTGGTCATTCCACAGATCTATAACCCCTTTTTCCTAGTTCCAACAGACCTCACTACCTCTGAGGATGCTTGCCATAGATGCAGGCGAAACGTCAGGAGAGAATGCCTCTAGACCATGGCCATATAACCCGGAAAAACCTACAACAACCCAGTGATTCCGGGTTGGTTTATCAGGCGCTCTGCTATGGCTGACTTCTCTGGTTGAAGGAGTCAGAGAGAGGAAACAAACAAGGACATCTAATCACCTCTCAACAAAAGTTTTCCCTAGGCACTGTCAGGCCATTATATGCTAATCAAGGTGGTCAGCTGAAACATTCACAGCCAAGAGTCCTTGTCCCACCCTGGTCATTCCACAGATATATAAACCCTTTTTCCTAGTTCCAACAGAGGTTCTGAAGACGAAAGTGGCAGCCATCTCATTGTGTCTCCCACAGTGTGCTTGCAAGCCCTTGGTTTATCTCTGTAATTTTAGCAATTCGTTTTAGAACCTCTGAAGCTGCCATTAGCCACAGATGCAGGCAGAACATTAGGAGAGAATGCTTCTGGAACATGGTCATGCAGCCCAAAAAACTCACAGCAACCCAGTGATTCTAGCTATGAAAGCCTTCAACAACAAATATGAAATGAATTTGCATGTGCACAATTAGTGTACGATGTGAAGGGTTTCCCTCCAAGAGACAGTGAGATGGCTGCCACTTTCCTCGTCTTCATAGAATCATAGAATCAAAGAGTTGGAAGAGACCTCATGGGCCATCCAGTCCAACCCCCTGCCAAGAAGCAGGACTATTGCATTCAAATCACCCCTGACAGATGGCCATCCAGCGTCTGTTCAAAAGCTTCCAAAGAAGGAGCCTCCACCAAACCCCGGGGCAGAGAGTTCCACTGCTGAACGGCTCTCACAGTCAGGAAGTTCTTCCTCATGTTCAGATGGAATCTCCTCTCTTGTAGTTTGAAGCCATTGTTCCGCGTCTAGTCTCCAGGGAAGCAGAAAACAAGCATGCTCCCTCCTCCCTGTGGCTTCCTCTCACATATTTATACATGGCTATCATATCCTCTCTCAGCCTTCTCTTCTTCAGGCTAAACATGCCCAGCTCCTTAAGCCGCTCCTCATAGGGCTTGTTCTCCAGACCTTTTATCATTTTAGTCGCTCTCCTCTGGACACATTCCAGCTTGTCAATAAACCTCTCAATATGCCATTAGCCAAAGATGCAGGTGAAACGTTAGGAGAGAATGCTACTGGGACAGAAAATCTCAAGGTGTTCCGTCTTCCTCCTTGGCAAAAAGCGGATGTCTTAATAATAAATCTGTTAATCCTAAAGATACCCTAGGTTGGGTTGTGTGAGTTTGTATGGCCATGTTCCAGAAGCATTCTCTCCCGATGTTTCACTCACATCTATGGCAGGAAGCAGCCAAGCTTTGAAGCTACAAGGCTATTCAATGTTAATCTGTTATGAGCCATCACAAAATGTAAGATCATGTGGAGAGGCCCTGCTCTCGATCCCACCATCATTGCAAACACGACTAGTGGGGACAAGGGACAGGGCCTTCTCTGCGGTGGCCCCTGTCTGTGGAACTCCCTCCCCAGGGACATCAAATTGGCCACCTCCCTCCTGTCTTTCAGAATGCTATGGGACCATGCATTCAACCAGAATAAACAGCAAGTAAAAGAAGTTTTAAGACAATGAATTGACCCACCCTGGACCTTAGACTCTGGATTTAGGATTCTGATTTTAACAGGCGTGTTTTTAATCAATGGTTTAATTATTATTATTAATATTTTAATGTATTCCTGATTTTGATTGTTTTTATGATGTCGGCATCCTATGATGCTTTTGTGAGGCCTCCCTGAGTCCCCCCTTGGGG